TTAAAATTAAAAGCATAAAATAGTCATTTTATTACCTATTTCAAATAAGAAAATAAAAATAAACAATGTACTTTATCAATGGCATACACTGTATATTGAATATTACATAAATTAAAACATAATGGTCACTTAGTCAATTTAATCTTACCAGGGTGACCTCTTGGAAAAAAATGTCCTGGATCCGCGCCTTTTTTTTTAAAATTCATATAAATATAAAATTTATTCAAATATGTGTGGCAGTTGGCAGTAAGCAGTCAGCAGTTGGCAGTAAGCAGTTGGCTGTCGTATGGAATTTTATGGAATGCCATATACGACAGCCAACTGCTTACTGCCAACTGCTGACTGCTTACTGCCAACTGTCAGCTGCTTACTGCCAACTGCCACACATATTTGAATAAATTTTATATTTGTAGTGATATTTATATGAATTTTCACAAAAAAAGGGGGAAAAAAGGCACGGATCCAGGACATTTTTCCAACGGGGTCACCCCGGTAAAATTGAATAATTTGAATAAAATGACCAATGTTTTATCTTATGTAATATTCAATATATGCGGTTGATAAAGTACATTGTTTATTTTTTTTATTTGTTTTCCTATTTGAAATAGGTAATAAAATGACTATTTTCTGCTTTTAATCTTTAAAGAAGCCCCCCCTCCCCCGGAGACAACAAAACCTTTGAAGAGAGAATAATAATAAAAAAGATTTGACGTTTCGCAGAGAAAAATGTTTTGAAAATAAATTTCCGTTTCCCATCACATTCTATAGTTAAAAAAATTTCCTCAAATTAAAGATGTATACCTCTGTGTGTTAAATGTTTCACATGCATAGATCGGGGGGGGGGGGGGCATTTAAAATTTGTACAGTCATACGTTAAATAAACTAAACGAACTACCGGTATAACTGACCTTGGACCCTCCACTTAGAAAACGCCGATCAAACATTTATATCTCTTTGTTTGTACAAATAAAATATGTTTTACATGCATAGATCTAGAGAGAGGGGTCCGGAACACCCCTCTGAAATTTGTAAAGTCATTTAATGAACAAACTAAACCAACTAAAAGTTATTTAATGTATAAAATAAATCAACTAAAAGGGACCTTAGAACCCCCCCCCAACCGAAAATGTGGATTCGTGTTAAGTTGGTATGAAAAATGTCATACACATGAAGGTATGACGCATAAGAACCCCCTCTCCCCGGCCGAAATAAATTTTCACATTTTGGAAAGGACTTTACGTATTTTTTCTTGTCAAGAAATTTCTGGATTGGATCTTTTTTTTTTACCAGAGTGATATGGAATGCCATATACGACAGCCAACTGCTTGCTGCCAACTGCTGACTGCTTACTGCCAACTGTCAGCTGCTTACTGCCAACTGCCACACATATTTGAATAAATTTTATTTATGTAAATTTAAAAAAAAAAGGCGCGGATCTATAGGACATTTTTTTCCAAGATGGTAACTCTGGTAAAAAAAAAAAACCCAGAAATTTCTTGACAAGAAAAAAATACGTAAAGTCCTTTCCTAAATTTGAAAAATTTATTTCGGCCGGGGAGAGGGGATTCTTATGCGTCATACCTTCATGTGTATGACATTTTTCATACCAACTTAACACGAATCCACATTTTCGGTTGGGGAGAGGGGGGGGGGTTCTAAGGTCCCTTTTAGTTGATTTATTTTATACATTAGATAACTTTTAGTTGGTTTAGTTTGTGCATTAAATAACTTTACATATTTCAGAGGGGTGTTCCGGACCCCTCTCTCTAGATCTATGCATGTAAAACATATTTTATTTGTACAAACAAAGAGATATAAATGTTTGATCGGCGTTTTCTAAGTGGAGGGTCCAAGGTCAGTTATACCGGTAGTTCGTTTAGTTTATTTAACGTATGACTGTACAAATTTTAAATGCCCCCCCCCCCCGATCTATGCATGTGAAACATTACAGGGACGTAGCAACATTGGGGGGCCACCTCCCCCCCCCCCCCCCACTTTTTTTCCGAACATTACCTTTACTATTGAAAATGTATATTGAAAGGATGGTTGCCCCCCCCCCCCTCCCCCACTTCTTACCATAGTATAATGATATCAAGGATATGTATTATTGTGTGGAAAAAAATGTAAGTGAAAGGTACTTGGCCTTATAAAAATGTTAGCCACTTACCCCCCCCCCCCCCTTCCCCCACGAAATAGGATTTTCGAGTATGGGCAATTCCCTTTTTTTTCTTGTCAACTTTTACAGGTGAGTATAAATTTTTTTTTCTCTGGTTGCCCCCCCCACCCCCCCCCCCACTTTCAAAAACAATGCTACGTGCCTGCATTATAACATACAGAGATATACATCTTTAATTTGAGGAAATTTTTAACTATAGAATATAATGCAAAACATCTTTCTCTGCGAAACGACAAATCTTTTGTATTATTATTCTCTCTTCAAGGGTGACCCTCTTGGAAAAAATGTCCTGGATCCGTGCCTTTTTCCCCTTTTTTGTGAAAATTCATATAAATATCAATACAAATATAAAATTTATTCAAATATGTGTGGCAGTTGGCAGTAAGCAGCTGACAGTTGGCAGTAAGCAGTTGGCTGTCGTATATGGCATTCCATAGAGTGTCCCTCTTGGAAAAAATGTCCTATAGATCCGGGCCTTTTTTTAAATTTACATAAATATCAATATAAAAATAAAATTTATTCAAATCTGTGTGGCAGTTGGCAGTAAGCAGCTGACAGTTGGCAGTAAGCAGTCAGCAGTTGGCAGTAAGCAGTTGGCTGTCGTATATGGCATTCCATAGGCATTCCATACAATCTAGAGTCTTGTGTTAAATTGTTTTTAGCCGAGTATTAATAAAAAAAATTACGAATATTTCAAAACAATTATTTAAAACAAAAACATAGAAAAGGTTATAAAAAGAGTGGATTGCATTGGATATGAGTAAAGGGACAGTATAACTGACTGTAAACATTTAGTACAGCACTTACTTTTTAAAAAAAAATTCTTTGCAATAAATTAAGGTAACAGAAAATTGATTTTGAATTCACATACCTTGCTTTTCCCAAGGTGGGATTCAGCCGACGATGGACCCGCATTTGAATCCATTTTTTAACTGTTTAAAAAACAGCATTTCTTTTTAGAGGATTAGACGATAAAAAAGGAGAAAGCGGTAAAAATTGCAAATCAAAATATGACTGGTAAACAAGAGAGTAAAATTGTCATTATTTGCAAGTATTATGTTTAGAAATCATTTCTTTTCTGCTTCGCATGGCAAATAATCCCAAAACTAGATTACTTTGATGACTTACATATAAAATGATATTGACAGGATAGGTTAATTATTATTATATTAAAGTATATATATAATCGAGTTGCCACAAAATTTTCTCTTCTTATCCTGCAAGATAATTATATGTAATTTCTTAAACCAATATTCTTAATCTTTACTTACGTTAATACAAAACCTTCCTCAGCTTCGTACTGCAAATACTAGTACCTATATTGCACCCAAAACTCTGAATTTTGGAAAAAGGCTCCTCGCCAAATCGATTGAGTGAGAAACCAGTCTATTATGACGTCATGGCTTTGTGACGTCACGTGATAGACAGTAAGGACGATAACTCTAAACAGATTGTTGATGGATTGAGTTTTTTGAAATATGAAAAAATATAACCTGACCGAACCACAGACCTTCATATTATATTTTTCTTATTACAAGAAAAAATAACCACATGTCTAATTAATAAAAGATATATGATTTTCTTGGGATATAATTAAAACTTTCCAAGAACAGCAAAGCCAAAGCACAGGAGTTCGCGTACCTATCAATTATACCAAAATTTTCATTAAATAAAAAAATACGTAATACGTATAATAATAACACTGTTATTATTATAGGTATTACGCATCTTTTTTATTTACCGAAAATTTCGGCAAAATTGATAGGTACGCGAACTCCTGTGGCCAAAGATAGTCATATTGATACATGGAAGCAATGGCATAAAATATCCTCAGAGAGTGTAGATTCAAGTTTGCTCAATTCATGCCCCTCATTAATGTACAAGAAGTTTGAGACTACATTCAAACAATAAAATGCTTTCTTTGTTTGTAATTACTGGAATTAACAGAAGCAGCTGTTGCAGAAAAAATACATAACCCGCGTAAGCAGGTTATGTAATTTTTTTTCTGCAATAGCTGCGATCGTTAATTCCAGTAATAACAATCAAAGAAAGACATTTTAATGTTTATATTTATATCTGTTTAAATAATCATTTAAAGAATTAAAGAGTTTAATTTTTGTATTAATGATGCGAATGTCTTTATACGTTTCATTGATGGAACAGCCACTGATCTAGAAATCTGTACAGGCGACATGCCTAATGTAGTTCATGCAGTGATTAACGCAATGGGTTTTCTTAAGAAATAAAGGGGAAAATATTCAGTGGATGTAAATATATTAGTTTAAATGTAACAATACTGAAGTGATTTCTGCAAAGACAGCTGGTAACCATGCAATATGTTCCATGGGACTCTGGCTTTTGTACTTGTCACAAGAATATGACTTAAAATCTAAAACAATGCATCTTACTAATTTTCAATAAAATCCATTCTTACATACAGCATCTTTTCTCTGTTGTAAAGGGTCAGAGGTTCCAGTGGGCCTAATTAGTTTACAAGTTCTAAAAACTATAATCTTTTTAAATACTTTTGTTTATTTTAACAGAAAATGAATACCGACATATACATCATACAAATCAGCAATATAGCTTGTATTGACTATATTTTTAATACAGATTTTCTACGCAGATATAACACCTGCAATTTCACAATGAATCAAAAATAATTAAAATATTCTATTTATAGATGACATAGATTCGTGTTATTTGCTTTTCACTTACTGGAAGACAACCAATTCCCTTTTTTCCCTTATGTTTGTAGGATGGTAAAACCCCTTTAATCATGTGACATTTTCACTTATTTATAAAACATGTTTTAATTTTCATCATCATATTTCTTAATGAAAGGGAAACAACCAGTTTACCTGCATAACTAAAGGAAGATGTATATATTGAGAGCTGTCACAACTTATTCTTAATGCCAACCCCCCCCCCCCAAAAAAAAAAAAAAAAAAAAAAAAAAAACAAAAACAAAAACAAATTCAATTACATACTATAGAATGGAAATTGTTATTCAGCCATTAATAACCATAGGATACAAAATTCAAAGACACAAATCTGAATAACACCTTTGAATATTTATAAGAAAAAATCAATACAGATATTGTCTCCCATAAACTACATGTATAAATAAAAAAAATCATATTTGAACATAATATACATCTTCTTTAAATATAAGGTAGCATTAGGTCACCTGTTTTTACTCAGGTGACCTAATAACTAAGCACCAGAAAGCAATAAAACCAAAAAAGTTATTAAAGCAAATGAATGAAAAATGAAGTCAACATAATTCTTGTTCTTATCAATGTCTTTCAATGATATTTATTGTCTAGCCTTGCTAGATCACGGGGCAGTAGAGAGATTCTTGCGGAGAAACTTGTACAGGATGTTATGGAATTCCTCCGGTTCGTCTATCCAGGCTGGATGACCTGCCCCTTTTATTTCATGTTTTTCACTGTCAGGTAAGTTCTGTAAGTTCTTTGTAGAAACTGGGCCAATCGTTTGATCTTTTTCTCCATACACAATCGCTGTTGGAATCTAAAGAAAAATACATGATGTCTCTCTAGATCTGTGGTTTTCACCAAGTTCATGTAAATATCTTCCATGCATACTTATATATATCTATTGTACACCACTTTTTCGCGAGAACTTTATTTTCGCATAATTACGTGAGACAGTGTGTTCGCATATAATGGTATTCCTTAATATTATATAGAGCAAAAACCACAATTCGTGAAAATTTTGTCTCGCTTATCAAGAGTCAATAACTATCTCACAAAAATAAGGGATCACAAAAATTCAGTGATCTACAGTAATTTTATTTATATCCATAAAAGCCCCTTGATTGTGAAATCTTTGACTCACATGAAGATTTTTATAATCCTCTGCTGTATAGTCCCCAGTAGCCACTGGAGCCACAGGCACGAACCCCCTGGAGCGCTTTAGTACTGCTGATGGGTCCTTGAAGAGATAGGGCAGTGAGTAACCCCCACTCATGGAGGGACTGACAATGACGGGGGCAGTCAGTTTGAGGGCAGAAATCAGTTTCTCCAGGAACAGTCCTTTATCTCCAACATCTGTCTTCTCACTCTCAGTTTTTGCTCCTACAAAATGTTCCTCATGAATTATGGGTGTGTTAAAATGTAAAATTGGTTATATGAACTACAAGAAGGAAAAAAAAAACCTTAAGGACAGGGTATGTGTAAATATCTTTGCGTATGAACAGACATTAAGAGCCATTCTCTGTAATGATTTGAAATTTTATATAGGAGCTGTGGCACACATAGTCTCAGAATTTCCCCAAACTCTCTATGATAAAAGTCATTGATACCCTAAACTGAAATCAGGCAAAAATTGGTTGCTATGTTTTGTAGTTACCATGGCAACATGTCTTAAAGTTAAAAAAAATGGCATTTTTTAACATGTTTAGAGCCCCATATTTAACATTTGCAGCAAAGCAAAGAATTGGCAATGACTGTTTCCAAAAGTTGAAGGTCAGATGTCTCAAATGCATGATGAACATGATTGGTAAATCAACTATTACATATGCTACTATGGTAACAAAGTATTCTAAAGTAAAAAAAATATTCATTGAATTTTATAAAGTCATACACGTAAAAATAAAAAGCAATTATAGGATGAAATGTGACCAAATAATAGAAAAAAGAGCCTTGAAACATATATACCAAGAACAAAATATGATATTTCATTTTGGTTGGCAATGGTTGCCAAGGTTTTTATACCACAGAGAGCCTTCAAAGTAACACTCTGTATGTTTAAATCTGATCCTATCTTTTAAAAAAGCAGATTTCCTCATAACTAATGATCAATTTTGAAAGATGTTGGTGTGCTCGTAGTTTTCCCTTTTGAAAAAAATTCAGATTAGATTCTTTAAATAGAGCGTTGCTATGGAAATAAGCAGAAAATATATGCTTAAAAACCTGAAAAATATTTTCTTTCCTTGGATACGTACCCTTAAATGTAGATTCCCAAAACTTTTATGATTGATATTTATTAACAGCTAACCTGACTTTTAATTTTGACTATCATCCAATCTCTAAATGGATGCAAGAAGTTGGCACACAGGGTTTAATATTGATATAAAGTTCACAAAATCGAACATTTTCCTTTTTGGTAACCATAGCAACAGTGTTGTTTTCTTTATCAAAATTTATCAATATTTGATATTCAACTTCAGTTCTAACAAATAAGTACTATTCAAGCTGTGTCCTTTAATTTGTTTCTTGATTAAATGGCAATTTAATTCTTAATGCAGCGAAAAATAATTCACTTTTAAGCACTGGTTCTTTGTTTCCACGGTAACACTGCAAAGTAGCAATTATACCTAATTTTTCTTATGGTTTTGGTGTTGCAAGGTCCTAAGGATGCATATTTACCAGTCTTGAATTTTCATGTTTTTCCTCAAGATGGTAGCATTAACCCAATCTTAGTTACTGGTTTTGCATGGTTACACTGTGTTACCATGGCAACCATAAAAGTTATTTATGGAATAATATTGCTTATACTTATATACTTAAGGTCAAACATTTTCATTGTTTTTCTTAAGTCGTTGATTGAGTTAGAGCATGTAACACCTACCATTAGTGAATACGGAGTGTTTTTCAGCATATTTCAGCATTTTCAATGTATTCCAAATACCCTTGGTTACCACTTACTTAGAGATATATTCTAAACATTTCTTTACAGTATAAGTGACATCAAGGTGTCATGCTTTTGTGAGAATGGTTTGTTGGCTTTTTCTAGTTTCTATTAAGCCACAGTAAAGATTTAAGGTAGCTGAAAATCTCGATTTTTCATACTTTTCTGGCTGTTGCCATAGCAACCGAGACACATAGCAACGAAATTGTGTTTGATATTTGTTTCTGGTGTCAAGTACTAAGCATGGGTGAAGTTTCATCAAAATCGGTGACCATGCGTGGCAACGAAGTTTAAGTGGTTACAGAGAATGGCTATTAAAAGTTACAAGTATTTTGATCTCATAAAATAAATTTTGCCTTTGAACATTTCCATTCTACCAAGGTATATTGTTATCCCCAAAATTAAATTCAAAATTTAAAACAGCATACTGAGGATAAAATACAAAAAAAAAAGAGGCCCATGGGCCACATCGCTCACCTGAGAAGCTTTGGCTATGCTGTAAGTTATTTCCTAGATTTCCCCCTTGTAATACATATTGTGACTCCACCCTACCCCCAGGGGTCATGATTTGAAGAATTTGAAATCTACACTATATCAGGAAGCTTCCACATAAGTTTCAGCTTTTTTGGCCCAGTGGGTTTTGAGAAGAAGATTTTTAAAGATTGTTCCTATATATTTCTATGAAAAACTTTGAGACTTTATTGTGCCCCCCCCCCAACCCCGGGGTCATGATTTGAACAATTTAGAGTCTACACTACCCCAGGATGCTTCCACATAAGTTTCAGCTTTTCTGGTCCAGTGGTTCTTGAGAAGAAGATTTTTAAAGATTTTTCTTATATATTTCTCTGTAAAAATTTGATTCCCCATTGTGGCCCCGCCCAACCCCTGGGGGTCATGATTTGAACAATTTAGAATCTACACTACCCCAGGATGCTTCCACTTAAGTTTCAGCTTTTCTGGCCCACTGGTTCTTGAGAAGAAGATTTTTTAATGACCCCACCCTATTTTTGTCTTTTCTTGATTATCTCCCCTTGTGAGGGGACTTGGCCCTTTATTTTAAGAGCCTGTCTACGAGAAAACCATGCAGATATATAGAAAAATGCTCTGATAGGCACTCTCAAGAACAAACTAATTTTTATTATTAACTTAAAGGACACCCATTGAGAGTCAAAAATGTGTTGTTTATTTTTGCATCGGTTGTTTCTATTTTTAGTAACAGCCAATAATTCATTTTGGTCAATATTCAAGGGAAAATGCAAAAAAATGGTGTAAAAATGACAATTTCAATATTTAAAAGTAAAAAAGAAAAAAACAATATATAAATAAAAGGCTATGTTTTCTCATAGAACTAAGTCGTAAAATTAAGTTGGAATCATTTTTTTTGTAAAACCCCTATATAGAAGGTTGTCACAAGGGCACAAATATTGGCATGGTGCCAAGAAATGATAATGGTTCATTTTTTGTTAATATTCAGGGATACATTTCTTAGAAAGTAACGCTTCTTTTTTCAGAATTTTGTGCATTTAAGAATCTCTAGGATATTATCCAAACAATATGTAAAATCCACCTTTGGACTCTCAAGGACAGAAAAGTTATATCGTAATGAAATTATCTCAAATTCAAATGATGGAAAAATCATGATTTTTTAAGTTTTACTTTTAACCGTAATTTTAATGAATTTTGTGTAAAATATTTACAAATATAAACAATGAAAATTATTTTTAATTTTATAAAAGCTATAAATAAATTTTTCCCTGCTTTTCCTGTGAAAAAAAAACGTATTTTAGTATTTATTTAGATTTTGTTAGAATTATCTCCCCTGTTGCGCTCTTCTGTAGAGAAGGTAGATAATGATTATGTGTACGATGTTTATAAACAGATGTCTGTCATCTAATCGTTTTAGGCATCAATTATGTGTGATTTGAAGAAAATTGTCCCTCCTGTGAATGTAATTTGTTACGTATATACTAGTGGCCTATGTATAAAATGCATAAAACATGATGAAAACCATCGGGATCAAAGTACGGTTCCAACCACGTGTAAACATTATGGCATCCTGAGATGTATCTGAGACGTTTTGTTACCGTTTTGTTCGTCCCCAGAAAAAGATTCAAGTGCGTGAATTGTCAACGAGTCTTCGGATTATGGCTCTGATTTTGATGAATATGATTCTGACAGCAAACATTCATTTGGTAGCAAGACGGATGTAGTGATGATGATACCGAATCAACAATGTTTGAATTTGAAAAAGAAACAGGTAGGTGGATCTTGGTTTATAATACTATGTACCTTATAAAAAGGCTTATTGATATGTAAATTTAAAAAATAAATCAATAAACAATTTTGATGGGGACTTGATTGTGGACAAGAGAAGATTTTTTACAAGACACTATCAGGTCTGGTACAATCACTAGATATAGCTATATAGGTCTACTAGCTTGAATTACCTACTTAGTTAGCTTTATTTACCTACCTGAAGTAGCTTTATTTAGCTACCAAAGTAATTTATTTCTATAAAAAATACCTACGTTAATGTAGCTAAATCTAGTGATTGTACTGGACCTGAATTTATACCTAGCAAACCTGTCAAGGGAAATTTCAACATGTTCAAGGTTGGTACTTGTACATGTAGCAATAAAAATAACAATATTGCAAAATAATTATAAATAGCATAAGTAGCCTTTGTGGGGTGATGAAGAGGGAATGAAAAGTTGAATAGGTCCAGGGTTTTCAAAGACTGTTTACTAATAGGGTACATTAAGAATTGGATAGGTGGGTCTTCACTGTCAATTAAATCACCATTATTGCCTTATATGTGGGCTGCATGATTATAAAGAATCTCATTAGACAAAATATTTTTTTCAGATATTTATGAAATGTTATAAAGATCGGGCTACAGTTATGATTTTCGGCTTTTCATATATGATTAAAGGAAAAAAGAGTTGTCAAATACTTGTACTTTTCAAATTAAAGGTCACCATGTGTTCCTTGACAGGTTTGTGTTTAAAACATAACTAATTAAATATTATAAATATGTCTGGGAAATTATACTTTGTAAAGAATATTTTCTTTCATTCTTATATTTCCCGTGCAATTTCAGATTATTCATATTCATTTCCCTGGTTAGGGCTGGGCTTTACAATGGGATTTTCAGCTGTGGAGCTATAAAGAATTACTACATTCAGGTTTCCAATGTAGTTTTGTGAACAGAATCCAGAATTAAGAAGAGGAAAGACAATGCAGATGCAGCATTAGCATTACCAATTACTTATCACTGCTGAGGAAATGGTAAAGATGTGTTATATTATTATACCTCTACTGTCATTACTCTGTATAAATTAATACCATAAAACTCTATTTCCCCGATAAGTGACTATTGCCCTCATCTGAAGACTACTCCCTGGAAAATCAGAGTTGTTCCCTTGGACTACTCCCTCATGAATATTTATTAGTAATTTTAACCAATCAAAGTGTTCAGTGGGTGGAGCGTTCAAGGAATGTCGAGTCTTTGACGTCATGTTATTTGCAATGTAGCTATGACGTCAAAACATTTCGATGTGCGATGTCAAAATCATACTTGAATTCTACCAAAATGAAGACAACGATAATTTTTCGAAATGACAGTGAAAATACTTTTTAAAAAATAATTTAATTGTTTAAGGACACGATGCTTCACTTATCATACATTGTGTTAAACCGCATGCATTTGTAATTATGCCTCTACAGTTTTTTTAAAATGTTGGAATATCTGGTTAAAAAAATTTAAATCGCCTATCATTGTTTCGGTATAATAAAAAAGTTATGGAATGGGAACTCGGGAAATAACAAATTTATTGTTCCCCTCGGCAGAAAATTATTTCCTCCGGGAAATAGTTTCCTCCCTCGGGGAATCATAAATTTGCTATTTCCCTCATACCCATTTCATAACTGTATACTATAGTACATGGAAAGGAATTGCCTTGTCTGTCTGTCGATTTGCCACATGCATTTTTCCCTACTCTATTACTTTACTTCAAGGATATATGAAGCTCTTGTTTTCTTCAAAGAAAGCCAGAAGAATTTGTGAAGAATCTTACCTAAATCATTTGATGACATTTTCTTCAATTTATTAATTTAAATGAAACATAAACATGACATTTACTTTAAAAATCTTAGAATATGTCTTGTATGGTTTATTTCAATTTAATTTGAAAACTGTGTTTTTTCACAGGTACCTGCTTTGAGTACTACTCTTGTGTATTTGGAGACAGTCCAGTTGTTCTTTAAACCAGAAGTGGAAATTTCAGTGCTTGTTAAATTTTCTCCAGAAGTTATTGGATGATACATAGGAAGAAAAATGGTGTCATACTGAACAAAATAGTTTGGATACACCTTATAGATTTTGAAAGATTGAGACCTCAAGATCAACCCAAATGATATTTAATATGTATCAGGGTTCACTTGCAGGAATACACAGAAATTCAGAGTAAATTTTTAGTGTTTGTTATCTTAGAAAAGATCAAAGTTCAAGGTCAGCAGTGCTTTAGTTTTACCAAATATAAAACTATTATAAAGACTAATTTCCTGTATACAGGTATAGCAAATAATTCAGAATATGATTTGGGGAAACCATGATTTTTTCTTTTAAATCTTACCTTAATTTAGAACCATGATGTACAATGTATACTTAAGCAAGTAGATTTTTTTTTAAGCTTACAAAATTTCAAGGTCATTTTAATTTCGGAAGTGAATATAAAATATCAGGAAGCAGTCAAGCATTGTAATTTATTTGTTGTTGAATGTACTTAGTTATTGAGTAATATTCAAATTTTAATATGCAATGAAATTAAAAATTATAAAATAATTAATGTCCTAATTTGTTGATTTTTAAAACTTTGTGTTCATTCATTTTGAGGTTGTTGCCATTACAATACATGTATATCTGTCAAGAAAATAGCTCTGATATTCCTTTTTGTTCAGTTTGACCCTTGACCCTTAACCTTTAACATTGTGACCTCAAAATCTAAAGAGGTCCTCTACTTTTTAAGAAACCAATGTACTAAATTTCATATATGTCAAACAATGGGTCCTCACAATTTTGAATGGTTAAAATCTACATACTGGTATATAGAGAATTATTACCCTTGACCTTTGACCTTGTGAACTCCAAATTAAAAGGGGTCATCTACCTATTAGTAGATACCAGTGTACTATGTTTATTATTTATCAAGCAAGTCTTTTTTAAGATAAGAGAGAACACACTTGGTCTTCTGATTGAAAAACAGGTACTAAACAGTATGTGAATATCACCCTGCTCAAAGAAAATGTAAAATAATACAATTCTGCTACCCCCCCCCCCCCCCCAAATTTAAACCCCATTTAACCCCCTAAGAAATAATTATTGATTGAAAACAAAAATGTTCAATATACTGGTATTTTTCAACAGCAAAATTTGAATTCTTGAAAATATTTAAATCAGCAAATAACTCCTTGCTGAAGTTCAGGGATGAGAAAATTTGAAAATTCACAAAAAATGTCCAACTTTAAGTAAAAAGTACAGCAAAATATTTGAGAGTCCAAAGACAGATTTTTTATATAATGTAGACAGACATGTTGTCTAATAATTGGTATGAGATTGAGTTGATTCTAAGCGTTACTTTCTGAGTTATGGGTTTTTGAAAAGTTAATATTTTTACCAGTTTTCAAAAATCTGGAAATATGCCAGATTTGTGACCTTTTTGCACTTAAACGAGGGCACAGTTTGTGATTATGAAAAAAATTCCGAAACAAGTGTATCTTGTTACTTTCAACCATATATGGATAATTTATATCATAATCAAGTAAAATGCTGAATTTTTAAATATAAAATATCCTATAAAATTCCTGTTTTCACCCTGCGTTTGGACCAAGAATTCTATTTTTAGTAACAGTGTCGATTTTACCCCTTAAGTGAGACCACACTGAAAAAAAATTTGTGGCAAAATATTTCATATTATAGAAGAAATTTACACACAAAACATGAAGTTGATCAGAGAACCTTGCTCCCATAACCTCTTGCATGGTTTTCTCGTAGACATGCTCTTAACAATTAAAATTTCCCTTCACCCAAGGATGCTTTGTACCAAGTTTGGTCAAAATTGGTCCGGTGGTTCTTGAGAAGAAGTCAAAAATATGAAAAGTTTACAGACGGACGGACAGACAGATAGCTAGACAGACGGACGGATCAGAAAAGCTCTTTTGAGCCTTCGGCTCAGGTGAGCTAAAAAGGTTATTGGTATTCAAAAACACGTCAACATATCATGGTATTTGATATAGAGGTTCAAGATACTAAAGTTGAACTGTATTTACAACTGCTGTTTATAAACATTATCTTCCTGGGACTCACCATCTGGTAAATCCACTGCCACCGGGTGATATCCAAGAGCAGAAAAGATTGTCAGGGTGTGTATCTCCTCCCAGTTCTTTGATGAGAATACCTGTCCATGCAGGAATAGAATGTCACCTGCCCCTAATGATGGAACGACCTCACGCACCACTATCGCAACACTCTGTCAAGTAAACATAAAAACTTTTGATCTAACTTGTAATGCAAACGATGCAAATCTGCAATATTTTTCAGATTTGGACAACTGTTAGTCCGCCATACATTTAAACATGCTTTTAACAAAGTGCCTGGGACAGATGACCTTGCTTCATTATAAATGTCATCCATTTTTGAAATTGTTAATTTCATAATATATATTTCAAAGCCATGGAGAAAACAAAATCATGTTCATGTCAGTATATTAGCATTAATTTATTATAAGCACGTTTGCTTTAAGCACATTTTACTGTAAATTATTACAATATCACTGCATGTTCTAGAATACAAACCTTGCCATCTTTTATCTCTACTTTCACCTTACGTTCTTCTACTTTTAAGGTTTTGGCCTTGTCAAGAGCATCCTGGGGTATTGAGGTCATCCCCTCTTTCTTTTCCTCGGACTTCAGAAATGTCCCTATGTATTTGTAGTTCTTATAAACAACAATTATGACTGTGATAGCCAAGATAAAGAAGATGACTGTTTTGTTGACATGAATGCCGGAAGGACTCATTTACATATCAAATCTGCAAAGATAAACACGAAACATCGGTAATAAGATGCATTATCAGCTTTCCCCTCTTCATATTTCAATTCAACTCTAGCTCTCAAGATAAGGCTAAGATAAATAAATTTTGTGTTTCCTATTCCAACTTGAGAAAAAATAGGGTAGATAGGTAGGGAAAACATTAATTTAATTTTATTTTAACATTTTATTTGCAAGAACACTGCAGTTTTTCCCCAGGGAAATTGCTGTCAAAGTATTTTTGATTGTGTATATTTAAGTGTTTGTGTGGAAAAAAGCGAGTTATTTTGTCCTTTGTATTTTTCTGACCTATATATTTACTAGATGTTATTTATTAAATTATTGCAAACTTTAAAAAATCTGAAAAAATAAGGGCTTAAAAGAATAGCATTTGTGTCTGTTAATAAAATAATATAACCCATACAGCTGTTTTGTGTTTACTACATTTACATGCTATAATATGAGGAGGGTGCAGTTTTTCTGACCAAAATCATTAAAATATCTTGTGTTTTCGACCTAAATAAAGTATGAGCAACCAGTCCGTAAATATCCATGGCATATTCCAAACTATAAAAATACGAATAAGAATTTAGCATTGTAATATGGTTCAGATTAATTGTCTAATATTTACATTCACTGAATATTTTCTACTTCATTTCTTAAGAAAACCCATTGCGTTAATCATTGCATGAACTACAGTAGGTATGTCGCCTGTATATAACAGATTTCTTGATCAATGGCTGTTCCATCAATGAAATGTATAAAGACGTTAGCATCATTAATACAATAATTAATCTTTTTAATCCTACTTTAAATGATTATTTAAACAGATAAATATAAACAATAAAATATCTTTCTTTGTTTGTTATTACTGGAATTAACGGTCGCAGCTATTGCAGAAAAAAATTACATTACCACGTTATATATTTTTTCTGCAACAGCTGCTTCCGTTAATTCCAGCAATAACAAGAAAGCATTTTTTTAAATTTTAAATATGTGCATTTGGAGGCTTATCTACTAACAATGCAGAAAGGATATGATTGTCGGCTATGCACATATTAGACAATTAATCTGAACCAATGTAACATGCTATATGATATATCTGACCAGGAACCTTCGTACTACAAGTGGAAGGTCCCTGATCTGACTAAATGTTTATTTTTTTATAATGCCTTTAGTTCTAAAATGTTAAGGATACACCAAAGGTTTCCAAAGGGCAAAATTTAATTTGCTTGTAATTCTTTCATTAACAAAGATAACATATGAAAAGTATATATCATTTGAAAGCTTCTTAAATTTACTATTTAATGATCTTAATTTAAATTTTCATTTTTATCTTATTTAAAAGTTATTAATATTTTAATGTAAATATTAGTGCATTTATATTTTATAAAGCAACTTTTTTGTATTCCACCTCTCAAAGTCAAAATTTTGCCTCAAAGATTAAAGATTGAACTTTAAAAGTTTCTCAAATTTTTGATAAATCTTCTTATTCAAAAGTTACATCCATTTGTCTTTTAATGTTACCAATTTATAGGCCCAATTCTACATTTCCCCCAATAATTTGAGAACTGAGCAAGATATCAAAAATCTGAGATACGGTTTCGTGAACAAACATTTGAGACACGATCTAGCCAGTTTTCAGAGAAATTGGTCAATAAACAAGGGAGCTGAATCCTTTGAAATAATACCACCAACTTTCTGATCTTACTTTACAGTAGAGGGCAAAAACCCATTACACAACAGAGTCTGCCAAAGCTAGAAATATATGACACCTTGAAGATTCAGCTTTGGATACCTGTCACTTATCCATATTTCCTATGCATATATTCACAAGAATGGGAGGTTCTATTCTTTATTTAGGTGCTTTTAATGAAGTAAAATAGGTTCAATTCTGAATCAGAAAGATTTCCCGGCAAAATGGCAAGAGCTAAGCTCCACCTCCTATTTCATGGTCATTAGTGACCTGTTAGATCTCCTTCCCTAACTCTAGAGTCCCTGTAGTTTAATTACTGATAACCTCTGTGTGGCTAGTGAAGAATTCCCGGAGTGGTCACAGTGATTTATTGCTCCTTTCAAAAGCAGGCAGTTACAGACCAAATCAGAAGCTTCAATAACGGCACATTCACATGTGTTAGTGTTTATGTTTGATTATTGCACAGGGACTTGCTCCTGGTGTGTAAAAATATCTATTAAAAAAAAAAACACAAACGATATACTATAAACTACACGTATGTCGTTTGTTTTTTTTTAATAGATATTTTTTACACGCCAGGAGCAAGTCCCTGTGATTATTGTTAAATAATTAGAAAACCATTCAATAATCAGCAAGAATTTTTCATGCATTATAAAGCAGTGGTTAGCATTGTTTTCTTAGCCAAAAATTGACAAAAATCTTGAAAAAAGCCTTTGGTGTATCCTTAATTTCCTCAATTCTTCGTACATGATCTGATGATGAAATGAATTACGCAAAATAAAAAAAAAGCATGCGTTCATTTAAGTTATCATGCTTCTATATTCTTAGTTTGAAGTATGTCGTTTGTTTTTTTTTTAATAGATATTTTTTACACGCCAGGAGCAAGTCCCTGTGATTATTGTTAAATAATTAGAAAACCATTCAATAATCAGCAAGAATTTTTCATGCATTATAAAGCAGTGGTTAGCATTGTTTTCTTAGCCAAAAATCTCAAAATTGACAAAAATCTTGAAAAAAGCCTTTGGTGTATCCTTAATTTCCTCAATCCTTCGTACATGATCTGATGATGAAATGAATTACGCAAAATAAAAAAAAAAGCATGCGTTCATTTAAGTTATCATGCTTCTATATTCTTAGTTTGAACTTAATTGATACAATTACTCCTAATTACATTACCTTAATTAGCTGGATTAAAAATAAACATTAAATTTATTTATTTTTTTACGCGACGTGTAACGAAGAAACTGAAAGTAAAATCCGATGCCTTCCGATGGCTTTGCTTGTACTTTCGGAATGACGAAGTTCGAAATCACGCACATTTGACGGAGCTATTAAAGACGTAAATCATGTCAGAAGAATCATCAACTCCATCAAATGGTTTGTACACATTAACATGGTATTGACAAGTTATCATATCGAGAATTCAGTACATTTTAGAGTTTGCAGAAGCGATACATTGTCTGAATTTCCTCGGCCATAATACAGGTCCAGTCTAAAGACTATTTCTACCTACGTAGCTAATAGCTACGTAGGTATTTAAACCTACCCAAAGTAGCTATTTTTACCTACTTTCTGCTTTACTTGCATTTTGTGGCCAAACGCAGGAACGGCGCAACATGGTGAGCTCCAAATTTCTTGATACAGTCACACTGATGATGGATATGACAAAAATTTGGCCAAAAAATGATTACTTCGTATATTATCAATTTTGCATAGAAACTAATGTAAAATTGCCAATTCAGGAAGTAATCATTTTTTGACCAAAATTTTGTTGTATTCATCATCAGTGTGACTGTATCAAAAAATATGGTATTCACCACGTTGCGTCGTTTGGTCTTTTGGCCACAAAATGCAGATAATACAAAAAGTAGGTAAAAATAGCTACTTTGGGTAGGTTTAAATACCTACGTAGCTATTAATAGCTACGTAGGTAGAAATAGTCTTTAGACTGGACCTGTAATATACACCAGCTGTACACATCGTTGCAAACCACAGGTTTTGAGTCTGCTAGCTTCCTCAAACGATGATAGAGGGAATCGATGTGAATCACCCGTGGCTTACAGATGATGTAATATACAAGTACTGAAAACTTGTATTAGGAATGAAAGCATATTTTAGAACCTCTAACTTTAATTCTAACATTTAAGCTATATGTTAGCAAATCCTTAGAGCATTGCTTCAGTGTTAATAGATTACTTACACATTTTAATTCATTAAATAAACCAAATTCTCACCTGAAATTATCATGGCTAAAGCGTAATCTCAGCAAGATGTCGTAGTGGACACCAGACCAAAATTTTTAGTCCCTGAGACATCTCGCTGAGATTATGCTAAAGTGATTCTAATAACTGCACAAAAACTTTTACTTACATTAATCTAAAACTGGGAAGTATGCCGCAATGTGAGAAAGCAGGCCTACAAGTTGATCACATTTGACAGCTTGATGCCAAGTACGGGAGTACCAGCAATGCTCTTACAGATTGTGGGTGTGACAAAATTCAATAAAGGTAAATCTTAACCCATCCACCAAAACAGTACACAGCATTCGTTTTAAGTATGTAAAAGTAAGAAAGCTGTCACTTAAATCACTATATAGGGAACCCCCAAAAAAGTGAAACGGATACTTTGGGGACAGGCACAATAAAAAGCTTTCTACATTTTGACATACGAACTGTGCCAAAGATCAGGTCAGATACCTTTGTATGAAGTCAACATTGTAACAGGTGTAATGGTTTGGGCCTTTGATATCGGCCTGGGTAGCTCAGTTGGTAGAGCACCTGACTAGTGATGCAGGGGTCCTGGGTTCGATTTCCGGTTCAGCCATACATTTTCTCCTTTGCCTGTCGATTTGGTGCCGTTGACCACCCCTGTACTTGCAGGTGAAAGTCCTGCCATGGGCTGATACAAACTTGGGTTAATTGTATCTTTGAGTGCAAAGACAATTTAAAGAGGGAGGATTAACTGTGTATTGGTTTGGGCACTCAGGATACCGGCCTGGGTAGCTCAGTTGGTAAAGCACCTGACTAGTGATGCACTGGGGTCCTGGGTTTGATTCCTGGTCTATGCAGCCATACATTTTCTCCTTTCCTGTTATGCCCTTTGAAAAGGCAACCCTCTCAATGATATCTAGTTCACTTCATTATCATTAACCCAATTTATTAAGTTCAGTGATAACCTTGGTATACTTTATTAGCTTTGTTGCTGCAAAGTCTTGTATCTGTCTGTTTGTAATTTTTTTTTTGTCATTTATGTTTTTATTGTTATGAAAAAGTTACTTTGAAGTGATAAATTTGTTGTATATATTTCCCTCAGCCTTGTACATTATTAAAAGCACATCATTGTTGATGATTTAAGAGACACAGCTACATGTACATGCTAGCCATATCAAACATCTTCACAGACTTAGGGCTTTTGATGTTTTTATTGAAAGTGGCTTTTCTTCTACTTTTAGAGCAGAATGCTGCATCTGAAGAGTCTCAATGTGAAGACATAGATAAAAGCCAAGTAAATGTAGCAGAGAAAACCACAGACACACCCACAGAGAAACCCACAGACACACCCACAGAAACAGCCAACCAATCAGATGGGGGAACAGAGGCCACTAAAAAGTCAAAAATTCCAGTTAAAGAAATATTTGAGCCAGGAGATTTAGCAAAGTGGGAAAAGTCAGAGGTAAATATTGTGATGTGCTTAATTGTCTTATAGTTATATACTGATACTGTGAAATCACAAATTTTTGTGGGGGTTTAATTTTCGTTGTTTTCGAGGTATGACGAGACCCACGAATTCATGTCCACCACGAAATGTAAAATGTTACATACATAAGTACTCATTAATTCTTGATCCTCAAAATCAAATCCTCACAACCAAGAGATTTTCCTCAAACCACGAAAATTTGATCCCTTGAAAATATGTGATTTTACAGTACAATTGAAGTGTACATTAGATATTTATTGGGCATCATATTTAGTTTAAAGGTAGATTCATGAAGAAAGTGTGTCCTTTTGTTTCCATTGGATTTGTATGAATTTTAAACTTATCAATAATGGAATGTAAAAACATAAATATTAGCTCATACTTAGGATACACTTTTAAGGTATAAATATGAACAATGAGTATGTGATACTGCTGATATTATTTGGCCAAGGTCAAAGATGACAAGGGCATGTTGAGGAGCATTCTTGTTTATATATTAATTTTTTTTTATCTCTAGGCGTACAGAGATTTAGTTGGATTCATCACTGCCATTAATGAGGCTGTGAAGGGAAAGAAAATAACAGATCCTTACCCTGTCTCTCAGGTACTGCATAACATTGTTATTAAAGGAAGGTACATGTACTATAATGTGATGACATACATAACATGGAAGATAGACTGAGTTATAGTCTGTCCCATGTTCTGACAGTGGAACAAACTATATTCATTTTATGAGCTTGGTAGCCATACTGAGGCAGCAGTCAGTCTATTCCTACAATGTGAGTACATTTATTTCAGACAATAGAGAAGCTTCTTGTCATGTTGGACAAAATGTCGTCATGGATTGACGAGATTCCCCCAGTCGATCAACCACAGAGATTCGGAAACAAAGCTTTCAGGGATTTCTTCAAAAGATTAAAAGAGGTACTTATATGTAAATTCCATCGGTAGCAAGTGCAAGATGACAAAAAATTAAAGTTTTATGTTTTATATCATGTATAAGCTAAATAGATAATTTTAGTATTAGTATATAAAATAAAACTTTTTGTAAGTTATTGATGAGTCAGGGTAAGTCAGTTTTTGCTCTGTCTCTCTGTTTCAACAATCCACAAACACTGTAAACTTGCCCATAACTTGTAATGGGATGGAGGTAAGGCTTTCATACTTAACATGTGTCCTTCTTGTGACATGACCTTTCTTTGAAGACCAACATATTTGACCTTGGAGTTTGAAAAACTCTTATTAAGACCTTCCCTTCGGTACATATTTTTTTTACCTTGACCCTAGAGTTTGACCTACCATTACTGTTTGAAACTCATAAGTTTTAAATGGTTGCAGCTTGTACTTTCATATTTATTACTGTGTACTAGTTTAACATTCTGAACTTGACTTTGGAGTCTAACCTACCTTTGAAATACTTTAACCAATACAATTTGGCCATAACATTTAGTTTTTTTCTTGGGTTTTTATATACATGTATTTCAAAGTTTTTACTTTGTAAGGAGAACTTTCTTTGGGTACCAACAATTTCAAACTTTTGACCTTGAACTTTAAGTTCAACTTACATATGAGAAACTTTAGCCTTCACCTTGAGTTACTATATAGGGGGAGGGCATCTTTGTTTCACCTGTACATCTTTGTTTTATTTATTCTGTTGACACAATCTGATTTCATTGACTAGATAATGTGTAAATTTTTATTGATTTTACAGAATGCAGAGACTCTAGTTAGGGAAGCTATTGGTGATAAATTTGAGGACTTTATCCCAGAAATCTCAGTATATCTCGTAGAGTCTATAGGAAATGACACAAGAATAGATTATGGTTCAGGTAACAGGATTATTAAAGCTTGGCATTATATGCAGTGGTCATACATGTTGTACACATACTAAAATTGCTTAGAAGAGCAGAACTAAAGAAATTATTGATAAAGACTGATCTTAATTCCTTGTTAGGTCACCTGAGTCACTCAGGTGACCTATTGCTATCTGTTTTCGTCCGTCGTCGTCCGTCGTACGTCGTTCGTCGTACGTCGTTCGTCGTCAATCGGTCGTAAACTTTTGAACATTTTCAGCTTCTTCTCTGCAACCACAGAACCAATTTCAACCAAATTTGGCACAAAGCATCTATGGGTGAAGGGGAACAAAAATTGTGAATTTCATGATCCCTGCCCCCCTGGGGCCTGGGGGGTGGGGCCAAAACCACTAAAATTAATGCAATCTTTAAAAATCTTCTTCTTTACACCTGGACATCAAGCAGTCAAACTGTATGCATGATTGTAATCAGCATTGAGTCCTTTACCAAAATTGTGAAATTCATGGCCTTGGGGTCAGGGGTACTTGTGCTAGGGCGGAGCTAAATAAGTATATAGTGAAAATGCATTATTTCTTTAAAAATCTTCTTCTCTGCTCCTGGGTATTAAATAAACTAACTAAGTACATAGTTATGATGAGCAAGAGTGCCTCTACCAAAATTGTGAATTTTATGGCCCCAGGGTCAGGGGTTCTGGTGTTAGGGCGGGGCTCTATTGATTATATAGTGAAAATACATTATTTCTTTGAAAATCCATTTCTCTGCTTCTGGGTATTAAATAAACTAACTAAGTACATAGTTATGATAAGCAAGAGTGCCTCTACCAAACTTATGAATTTTATGGCCCCAGGGTCAGGGATTCTGGTGTTGGGGGGGCTGTATTGATTATACATGTATAGTGAAAAAACATTAAATCTTTGAATATTTTGTTCTTTGTTCCTAGGTTTTAAGCAAATGAACTACCTATATAGTTATGAGCAAGGGACCTAATCTTCAAGAATTGTAAATTTCAAGGCCCCAGGGTCAGTTGTACCGTAGAGGGGGGGGGGGGGGCTGTACTTATATACTGAAAATGAATGAATTGTTTGAAATGTGCTCCTTGGTATTAATCAAATTTTTTTGAAAAGCAAGGATGCCTTTCCAAAAATTGTGCAATGTGTGGATCAAAGCCTAAGAGTCAAGGATTCCTGTGTGGTAGCGGCACTACTGATTATTGCTGAATATTACTGATTTGTTGAAATGCATTTTTTGTTCCCCTACCCTGCCTATGGGTATTAAGTAACCAAAATAAGGAACTGCTAAGTGTATAGTTATGATTACCAAATTGTAAATGCTATAGCATCTGGCTTAAAACAAATTCAATCACTGGAAAGTTGTTGAATAATGCTCAGGTGACCTATAAGGCCCATGGGCCTCTTGTATATTTTTACTTTGCATGTACTTTTACATTAAACAGAAAATATTTTATATGGGTTAGGGGTAAATATTAAATAATGGAACCCCTTTCTCCCTCACCAGTATGACCACATTTAACCTCTCTAATTTGATGTGGCCTGATAAGTGTCTCTTTGTTTGCAGGACATGAGCTAGCCTTTGCAGCCTTTCTGTGTTGTTTGTTTAAAATTGAAGCCTTAACAGAACAAGATGCTACAGCAGCAGCACTTAAGGTGTTTGAGAGGTAAGTTCAAGGTCACAACATTGTCAAAATGTTCTAAAGATCAAAGTCGCATTATTTTCAAGGTGTTTGAGAGGTAAGGTCAAGATCACATCATTTTCAAAGTGTTTGAAAGGTTAGGTCAAGTCATTGTCAAGGTGTTTGAGAAGTAAGGTGAAGGTCACTTTGTTGACATGAGGTTTGGCAGTTGAATCAAGATACAATCATGTAATCAAATTTATCTCAAAATACATAGTATGTAACAGTATGCTAATTTTCAAAATGAATGGTTTATCTTCTATTGCTAACAGTGGTAATAACTTTGAAGTAGCATACTTTGAAATCAATATCCATATTTCAGGTACTTACAATTTGTCAGGAAGTTACAGACTGTGTACAGGATGGAGCCAGCAGGAAGTCACGGCGTCTGGAGCCTGGACGACTTCCAGTTCCTCCCATTTCTGTGGGGAAGTTCTCAACTCTTAGGTGTGTCAGTCAATTCAGATTCTCAATCAAAGGCTTTCAGGGTGGTGGGAACTCATAAGACAAACTTGTTTAACATACATGTTCATAAAGATACACATATAACTTAATTGAGTTTAAGTAGATATTTGCTCTATGGTACAATGCATTTTGGCTCTCAAGAAAATGTTCATCTGTTGAAATAGTTTCGATTCTTTTAAGAAAGATGTAAATTCATTGAAGCATTAGAATGTATTAATTGAGATATTTTAAATGACCATTGTACTTGCAGGGCATAGAAGAATTTTACCCAAATCCTTTGTGAATCCTGACATTTATGAAACCTTTGCTAAAGACTATATGTTTCTAGGATGTATTAAATATATTAATCAGGTAAGAGCATAAATGTATATCAGATTATTTTATATGAATCATATTAAGTTTCATTTTATGTGCATAGAAAAAAATTGTATTACAGTTCCAAAAGAAAGTGAACTTCTGTGGGATAAAAATTTAATTGTGCATGGGCATCCTTTGAAAATATCTTTTAGATTGATAAAATGAACCCATTTGAGTTTAGATATATATGAAGATAAAATGTTAAATTTTCATGAAATTGATAGATCTATTAAAAGAAATTACATGAATTTATGTGAAAAACATTAAATTTTTAAATCTTTTTAATATTACATGAAAAATATTTGAATTTATGCACAAATAGGTCAAAACAGGACCATTTGCAGAACATTCAAACCAGCTCTGGAACATCAGTGGGGTGCCAAATTGGGAAAAAGTTAATTCAGGCTTCATAAAAATGTACAAAGTTGAGGTAAAATTTGGTTTTCTTTAATTTTTTATGGAAGAAAATGAGATGGTTTAGAATTAGTGAAAATTTGGAGGCATTTCTTAACTAGAAATATGTCCAAAGGACATGAATGCCCAGCCGAGGGTATACATGTATTAGTAAAGCAACAAAATTTGATCAGAGTATCTTGAATAGTGATGCAGTGGAATTGCTTACATAAGTATGTACCAGCATATAAAGTTTGACAATAATTTCATTAAAGTGAGTTCAAGGTCAAAGGAAATGCCAAGGTCAAAAACTGTTGATTCAGTTGAAAAGCTCTCATCAGTAAGTATCAGCATTTGAAGTTGAAAAAGTATTATAAATAGTTTCTTTAAAACTGACTTAAACACAAATGGATAAAAGTGAGGTCAATGTCAAATGAAAGGTCAAGGTAAAAAAAATGATGATACACTTGAAATGCTAACCTCAATATCTATCAGCTTATGACATTTGACACTAATTTAGGAAAAGTGAGGTCATTGTCAAAGCAAAGGTCAAGGTCAAAAATGTTGATGCAGTTGCATATCTCTCATCAAATATGTCTCAACATGTGAAGTTTGATAAAAATATCTAGAAATGATGTCTTTAATTAAAACTGACTTAAACATAATTTAATAAGTGAGGTCAAGGTCAAATAAAAGGTCAAGGTCAAAATTATTGATGCAGTTGAATTGCTTACATCAGTATGTATCAGCATATGAAGTTTGACACTGATTTAGGAAAAGTGAGGTCAAGGTCAAAAATGTTGACGTAGTTGCACATCTCTCATCAATATGTATCAACATATGAAGTTTGATAAAAATATCTTGAATGGTGTCTTTAAAACTAAGCAAAACACTAATTAAAGATAAGTGAGGTCAAGGTCAAAGGAAAAGTCAAAGTCAAAAATGTTGATGCAGTTGAATAGCTCTCGTCAGTATGTATCAACATGTGAAGTTTGATAACACCATCTTGAATGGTATGTTTAAAACTGAGCTAAACACTAATTTAAGAAAAGTGAGGTCAAGGTCAAAGGAAAGGTCAAAGTCAAAGAAAATGGTGATGCAGTTGCATAGCTCTCATCAATATCTATCAGCATATGAAGTTTGATGAAAATATCTTAGATAGTTTTTTTGAATCTTAGCTTTGAACAGAGCTAAACGCATTGTGACGGAAGGACAGAAGGACGGAAGACGGACATGACAAACACTATATGCCCCGGCCATATTCATGGCGGGGCTTAAAAATCTTTTTTTAAGTACTACTAGGTCTGAAAAGTTGAAACTTCAGTGAATCCTTCATTACATAGACTAGATTAAAGTTTGTTCAAATTAAAACACACAGGGGGCACAATGGGGGATCAAAGTTGTATATAGGAGTATATTGGAAAAAAATATTTTAAAGTCTTCTACTCAAGAACAACAAAGCCATGATTAATCATTAATCATTCAACTTCTTTTCAAAATCATGGCACCTTCAAGTAAGGTGTGGCTACAGAGGGGATCAAGTTGTTGCAAAGAAATATACAAGAGAAAAAATCTTGATTAAGAACAGTAGGGCCAAATTGACTCAGGTTAGTGTTGTGGCCAGTGGGGCTGCAACTTTGCTTGCCAAGGATTTTTCTCCACTCCAAGGATAATTCTCTCCTCTCCTCATTAACCCTTGGCAGCACATACTATCAAAGTCAGGATTTTGACTCAGGTTTGTAAGAAGAGGGGTGGATCAGAAACCCTAGCTAGTAAAATGAACCTCTTGTTTTTATTTATAATAGAAAAGTGCATCAAGTAAGCATTGTCAGTTACTTTTAGAATGTTATGTGTAACTAAGACTTTAATTTATTTTGGCAGGTGCTTGGTAAATGTCCTGTAGTCCAGCATTTTCTGTTTGGAAACCTTCTGTCCATTAAACCTGCTACGTGACGAGATGCTACATATGACAGCTTTTTGCCTTTTTATAGCATTTAAATGTTCATAATTATTTATAAATCAGGAAATTATAATTGATATACAGACTCTGCATAACTTTTTGATCCATGTCATCACAACTATTGTGGGTTTTTTTTTATTATGTATCAACGTGCATTAATTTATAATTATACATGTTCATGTATAAGAAGATTGAGTCTTACAAAATAATCTATTCAGTGTTGCTTACATATGTGTGTATGAACTGCAATTTATTAAACAGTAAATTTTGCTTACAGTATTTTTTCTGTGTAATTTTCTACTTGCAGAACATTATTTTACTCTATGCAATAAAACTTGGAAATAGTACAGTCCAGGGAGTTTGTGAATTACTTCGCTCTTTTATGCCCCTCAACAAAGATTCCAGGGTGTATAGTTTTTGCCCTGTCTGTCTTTCTGTTAATTTGTTTGTCCACTAAAACTTTAACCTCGGTCATAACTTTTGAGTGGGTGGTTTTCATATTTCACAGGTGTATTCCTTGTACCAAGACCTTTCTTTGCGTACCAACAAATTTCACCTCCTGACCTTTGACATTTTTGAACAGTTGAAGCTAGGGGCTTTCATACTTGACTTGTGTTCATTGTGACAAGACCTTTCAATGGGTACAAATATTTTTGACCTTGGAGTTTGACCAATTTAAAAAAAAAAAACAAATTTGAACCTTAGCCATAATTTTTGAATAATTAGTACTAGGGCTTTCATATTTCGAAGGTTAATTCCTTATGACAAGACCTTTTTTTGGATACCAACAATTCTGACTTTTTTACCTTGGAGTTTTTTTTTTTGACTTGCATTTGAGAAAGTTCCACCCTTGTCAGAAGCTGCCATACAGGGGCAACAGTGTTTCACAAACATCTTTTTTTTAGGTCACCTGAGTAAAATCAGGTGACCTATTTCTCTATGTTTTCGTCTGTTGTCATGCGGTGTGCATTTAACGCTTGTTAACATTTGAACATTTTCATTGTGACAATACCTTTCTTTGGAAACCAATATTTGCAATTCCTTGACCTTGACTTTGGAGTGTGACCTGCATTTAAGAAATTTAAACCATTGTCATGAGCTGACATACAGGGGAATGTGTTTTACATATACATATTGTGTTTTCTTCAAATCATTGTTAACAACTGATAAATAAGGAGAGATTTTAAACAAATATATTCATTTCATTTAATTTTACCCATGATTGTATAACAAATGTTCTGTCATGCATTGATTTCTTTACTCCTCTTGGCTGCTAGAGTAGTAATCTTGTCAACGTAAAGCTTCGTTTTAGAATCTATCTGAAAAAAAAAAAACTCTCAGATGTGATTTTTCTACAAGCTGATTCCTACAATGTTCTGACTTATCTCCTATTCTGACTTTGATCTTTTCTGTATTTTCTTTCATTTCTTTAATATTTTTTTTGTAAATAAGAAAAGAAGGAATTATTACAAACTTTAACACTTAAGTGTTACTGTGTCTATTGTTTGTCAATATGCCAAAATAAGATATGACTTAATAAAATACATATATTACCATTTCTATTCAAATAAAATAACATAATATGAAAGATCACTCACACTTCATTTTCGTGAGATTGTTGTTTTGTATTTATAAATGAAAAAGATTTTCATGAATTTCAGTTATCCATCTAAATATAATCTTTAATAGTAAAATTATGTATTACCAGATTGAGAATGAAGATGATGTTGTGTAATTACACAAAATAAATTTCTTTGAAGAAAAAAGTGATATACAGCATTCACTTTTCAGCTTATTATACCCCTGCTTGAAAAGTGGGAGGGTATATAGTAATCAGTATGTCCGTCCGTATGTCTGTCCGTCTGTTATGCTTTGGGGTACCCATCTCTTATCCGCAACTCCTCTCATACCACTGAAGGAAATTTAATGAAACTTTCACAGAATCTTTATTACATATTGCCATTGTGCACCTCCTATTTTACTTTTTGATCTGACATATACTTTGGATCTTCCAGAGCAAAACCTGGACACTGCCAATATATTCATATGGGAGGCAGGGGGTATCATTTAGTGAGCTCATTGCTCACAGTATCTCTAGTTTGTGGTGTGCTCATTTAACAAAGCTTCAGATGAAGTCAATGTAGGAACATCTTTAAATCTCTTGGAGTTTAATTTTGATTTATTTCAATATCATATGAATGATACTAACATACTGAATACTGACTTACCTTTTTTGAATATTCAAAATAAGAATCTTCTGACATCATGTCCCTTGAAGAATCCAGCTTTTTGACATACTTGGAACGAATATGTCGCATCACATCTTTCGAGTTCTCTGCAATCTTTTTTACCCTTTCTGCCATCTCATGTCTATACTCCTTGGTGATTCTGATATAAAAGTTGAAAATCAGTTCTGAAAATTTTAGCTACATGTAGAAGCAGAAAAAAATGTGTACGCAGATACAGCCTAAGAATCTCTGTGAATCAATATGTCTTGCTAATAAAAACATATTTTTTAACATTCAAATATAATGAAAGAAGACCATATATAAAGCCTTACAAAAGGAAAATATTTGGTCCATACACAACTACAACTTATGCCCTAATCAGAACAAACTTTAGGGATCTGCAATTTTATCGGTATAGCGGTATATCGCAATTTTTGTTGCGTGATACGTATCGTGATAGTATATTACGGAGACCTAAATACCAGTATTTAGGTACATGTTATTAAGTCCAGAAATTATTCATTTATTTGTTTAATCTTTCAAATTACAATTACAAAAAGTCTAAACAAAAAGATATTGTAAAAGGTGAAAAGAATGGCATCTTACCACCCAGACATGATTAATTGAATGTACATAAAAATTTCAAAAAATTTAAATTTTGTTTTTCTAGCATATTTTTAAGATAAGTAAAAAAATTACTTCCAATACGTATCGGACAAGCAGTTTTTCTTCTAATTCTGCTAAAAAGATGTGAATTTTAACCAGCAAAGATTATATTTAACTTTTTTGAATTAAAACTGATCAATAATTATAGATTTATTAAAGAAATAACACAGTTTTTACAGTTATTATAAATTGCATAATAATTTGATTTTAACATGTTGATTTTACAGTCATTAAAAGTTTCGATTGGAAGTGTTTTATTTACTGACTATGGGATAAGAACTTTGAAATGGGTAATAAAACACAATTTTTTTATGAAATACATACATTAAATGATTAATAAGCCTTTTTTGATGGACTTGTTTTAGAATCCAATATATCGCATATCGCTTTAAAAAATATTGTATCATATCATATCGAAATTTTTTGCTGAATATACAGCCCTACACCCCACCCCCACATACACACAATATAATTAGTTTTAATTATATTATACAATATCAATTAAGTTTTTTGTACAATTTCAAATTAGTTTATTATACAATATCAAATTAGATTGAAGTTGCTTTTTCTCAAATTCATTAAATAAGTTAGGCTAGTCCCTAAAACTATTTAAGGCTGATTCCTTAGCCCAGTTCCCAAGAGACAGATAACAAGTATTTGATCAGAAATGTTCTACAAGTTAGTTCCTTACACTAAACTAATTACTCTAATTTGACATGCAATTTTCTGCTATCAAAATTCTCCTTGATCAGTGCTTCATAATAATTATACCCTTGGGAGAGGTAGATTTTCTCTTATAAACATTTGTTATGGATTGCTGTAACGTATATAATGAAAAAAAAAATATATTTTCTTAATTTAACATGTTTTAAATAGGGATACTGCAACATTGTTACATTTTTTGGGATTGTTTAATTCAATAGTAAAAGACAATTATTTTTTTAAATTTCACTTTAATTAAAGGTCACAGTGACCTTGAAATAGGTCATGACACACCTTCTACCCAAGATGCATAAATTGGCCAAGTTTGATGATTGTAAATCTAATAGTCTTCTAGTTATGAGCCAAACAAAACAACAAAATAATAAAGAAAAAATGCCTGTAAAATGCAGAAAAATCATCCAATCATGATGAAAATACCAGGTGCACACCTTCATATGGTGAATAATAAGTGTACAAATTTTCAGACAAATCCATCCAATAGTTTCTGAAAAACGGTCCAGACAAAATCGTGTCTACAGACAGACAGACAGATGGACATGGTGATTCCAATATACCCCTCTAAACTTCGTTTGCGGGGGTATAATAAATGTATTTGAATGAATACAAACCAATCTCAAAATATATAAAAATAATAAATACTTAGGCACAGGAAGAGTCAATGTTGTTCCTGCCATCTGGGGATTTACATTCAAGTTTTCCCGAAGTGATTCATCCACATTTTTAATGTACTGAAAAAAATTGAATTCTCCATTAGGCTTTTCAGGGTTAAACTTATTACTTAATATATTTAAGTATATATTAGCTAGGAAGAAATATTTAATTAACAACGTTTATCGAGCAAACTTGTATGATTTCAAAATTGCTGAAAATGAAAAATGGATGATATTTATTTCCCACCTGTGGGGATATAGCCATGTTTATAATGACCATAGGTCCCTGAATGGCAACTTGAGCAATTTGATTTAGAGGGTATTTTCCATCTGGTGTCTCTATCATTAAATGTTCATATGCAGCTACAATAAAAAACAAAAAAATATATGCATTCCATTCAAGTACCATTATCAATAAGAATTTAATTTTACTTAAAAAACATGAAGACATATGTCTTTTTATCCTTAATGATCCATTATAATTTTTGGTTGTCTATAGTACATTATGGCGTTATCTAATTATAATTATGCTATATGTTCCCCTGTTTTGTTTTTTTGTGTAAGTTGACCTAAAAAAAAATATGGGATTATGTAGGATCTTTATTAATTAGATTGTTATAGTTCATATTTATATGTTATAGTTTATGTTTATACCCACAATTTCATGAAACAAGCACTTCATCATTTTGCACTAATTATCATCTACAAAGTTCAAAATGCATGACAGAATGAGTAAAAGATATTGTTATGAACTACGGAGGAGTATATCCTTCCCTTATTCTACCTTATATATTAGTTATTGTCAAAGCCTGCTGTGTACATATAGTCTGATCAAAAGTACTTCTTAAAGACTGACAATTTAGCCTTGTTTTGTTTTGAGAAAAGAAATCCTCAAGCATATTGAATTTACTTCATTTTCAGATTCAGTTGATTTTCCTGGCCTTGCACTTAGGCATGCAAGTTAAGATAAAGATTAAAGATTGTGATCATTTGTCACATATATAGCCACATGCAGATATTTTAGCATGTTCCTTGAATGTACCTCACCTGTTGATGGTCTTAAAGAGACATTTTGGATAAATTCCTTTTGCATGTGTTCTAGTGCTTGCTCCATTTCTTCTGTGAGTGAATCCATGTTTATCACCGCTCCTATTTCCACCTCAGCATCCTCTTCCTCATCATCCGAGACTTTCTTTGATTTCTTCTGCTTTTTGGCTTTAGGGTTTGCTTTCTTCATATCTACATCAAATTATGAAATCATAATATCAATTCAGAGATTATCAAACATATAATAAAGTACAGATATTTAAACTTTTCATTAAATAATATAGAATTGAGTCTCTAATTAGTTTGTCTGTAGAATGATGTACCATCATCAGGATCTAGATTACCATTATATGCACAATTCGGTTTAGGAAAATTTGTTTAAACGTCAAAGCTTTTATACAACTCTGATAATTCTTACTGTTTCTGGTAAACATGTATATGGCTATTTGGGCTCTGACTTGTTAATAAACCCTATATATTCTTATAGCTTATATGCAAAAGTTTTTGTATGTTTGTCAATAATCTGAGATTCTTCCCTTAATTCCCACTCCTGCTATTATACTACATGTGTACACATATGATCACAACTTAAGAGTCGGGGGTTAGAGTCATAATACTAGATTCTTAGATTAATTGGTGTACTGAATGCATTAAGCAGATTAAAGTACACTACTCAACTCACAGTGAACGCTCAGTGAGAAGGTCCGATTCTCCAGTCCCCAAGTTCCACATGGCTGTAAAGGCGACACAGTTATTCTGTTTACTGAGCTTACAGCAGCTAACAGCTTTGTACCGACAGTGTTTGTTCTTGCACCAGAACTTGACAAAACACGACACAGGCAAACCAATCTCGACATTTTAGATATCCTTTTTGCTTTAACTGCAACCTGTGCCAAGGTCTAAGCAATGATTAAACTATGGCTGTTCTGGTTTAGCATTGTTTTAGGGAGGATCAAGATGATATACACTAATGAATACAAAATCAACAGGCTTCTACTATTCCTTACACTAACGACACAGGTGCTCCCTGTGTGTCATTGAAACTTATTCGATGTTGAAACGAAGCTTAAAAATAAATATCAGGAAGTTCTTCAGTTCAAACGCTTTTATGACTAAGAATGAATGAGGACTATATTTACCTTTCTAGAAAACCCAAAAATCCTTATCTTACCAAACATTAAAAGGAAAAGATAATCATGTTTTGAGTAAAAATGTATTGATAACAATAGGGGCAAAAGCAATAATTTACATTACCCTCTCTTTAAACAAACATGGTATTTGAACAATATAAGCAACCTACTTTTACCCATAGCTTCATGCAAAGTGAAAGTAGGACAGGCGGGTTTGTCACTCTTTTGAAATTGAACTGTAACTATTGATTTCCATCAAAAATGGTGTTTATTTGAAGATTGATTGAACGAAGTTTTATGAGAAAATCCAACAATCATTAAGGTAAGTGTATAAGGAATTTTGATATCCTACAATCAATGTATTTGATTGATTAGGTATCGTTAAAAACATTGTTAGTGACTTATCTGAGATTACTTGATAGTTTGAGTGCATTGTAATATATATTACTTACACAAAGAACTTAGGTGTTGGTGACACTGTGTTATTATGTCACAATACATTTAAGCTTACCTGAGTCGAAGGTTTATACCGGTATCAGCATATGTTTGTAACGGAAGAGGAGAAAAAGCAGCGAAGCAGACTGAGATTCAAACCCGGGCCACATGAATCACTATTCAAGCCCTCTACCAACTTAGCTATCTAGCCACTGCGATCAAATGTGACTCAATCCTTAAAGGTCTTTGGCCCCCCAAAACCCTAACCCAGGCTCATACCTGGTAGGCCTCGAGACTCACCTGTCAGTTCCAGGGCATGTCATGTCACCAAATGTAACATGAGAGGAGAAACAGCTGTCCAGACTGGGATTCAAACCCAAGCCCTCTGAATCTCCAGTGTCTCACATCTCACATATTGACCCATGGGGATAAGGACGGGTCCACAGCGGGTGATCAAGGCTTTATAAAAAATCTTTAAAAACCCTTTTAAGAACAGAAAAGCCTTGATTGGTCATATTTATATGAAAGCATCCTCAGTTAGTGAAGATTCAAGCTTCTTCATATATTTATGACCCTTGGGGATGGATGGGACTACAAAGTATAGCAGGGTTATCACAAAGGCTCTGAGGCCAAGAAATTTCATCGCCTATAATGATGTAATCCCCTGATTATTCTGGTATTTCCTCTTTAATCCCTGTCATGTGAGGAACCCCAGACTCATTTCTACTTTGCCGAAGTCCTCAAAATCTTTTCAAGAAAAGCAGAGCCATGATTGCATTCAGGTCATCTTTTTATTGGAGCATCATTACATAGTGTAGAATCAAAGCCTTAATATATCAAATGTTAGATCACTTTATATTTCAACTTTTCAGTACTGAAATTATTTCTACTCTATTGTTCAGGTGATCAGTGTCACTGTGTGGTCTTTGGGCCTCTTGAACACGACTCGTAAATAGGCATATGCCATTTTTGATAGCATTATCTATGATACATCAATACTAGGGTATATTCGTCGCATTCGTTACACCTGACTGCTTTATTGTCACGGGTATCGGCGTGGAACATTGGCGGCCCGTGTTCGTGCTGGTTATCTAGCATTACCTTTGTTTACATTTTATTGCAGTTATGTGTATCTGTGTTGTTTGTATACTCATTGACGTATACAACTATAATTGTAAATTTATTTGGTATCATATTTTTCTGCATTAGACGAAGTATTACGTTATTATTCTCGCTACCGAGTTCTGTATAGCATACGTCCGTCTACACCAGTGTCGACTGATTACACTGAACAGTGTCTAAGTTCTGCCCTATTTATAGGGGTCTGCAGAGTAGCAAGACTCGGGAACAAAAATGGCGGACAGATTCCTTTTACGAATCGTGTTCAGCTTTAATTCTTTAACCAGCTCTAAAAATGGTATTTAATAATTGATCATACATTTAACTTCAATTGCTGACAATTTACTTACCTTTCAACGCTAACAAATGGCTGTTTGAGGTTACGGATGTCGAAATGGAACTCTTTTAAACCGACGTTACTAAGCTATATAAAGGACTGTTTCAGACCATTAAAAGGTAAATGAACTTTAATAAATTATCACAAATAAGAGTTAAATATATGATTAACTATAGGATGCAATTCTAAAAGCCAGAGAAAGTTTCAACTACACGAAATAAATACCTAAAGTGTCGACAAAAAATCATCGGCATAAATGGAAGGTTTTTACAATGCTTGGATCTGTAGTTCTCTGTTTTATTTTTAAGCAGAGAGCTACAGTTCTGCAGCTAGGGTGTCAGAAGCTACAGATTTATGTCAAACAGAAAAAAATGTTCCTTTCCTTTCTCTAAATTTTTCATAAACCTCACAATTTTCTCAAAATTTATATTCTATAGACAAGCAGACATTTAAGTTTAATATGAATGAGAGTGAAACAAATCTTTTTTAACAATCATATTCATTAGTAGCCTCGTAGGGGTGTTATTTTAAAACAATATATGGGTATGTGCTGACTTTATAGTGTAGAGGGAACATTTAGATTTCCTGCATATGTTCATCATGTTCATAAAAGGGGAATATTATTATTATTTTTTTATTACCTATAATTTGTGAGGTGTTTTAGTATTATTTAGAATAAGTGTCCACTTCCAATCAATGAATATTTTGCAAAGTTCTCTAAAGTATACAAATCCCAATACATGTACTGAAAAAAAGATTTTATTTTACATCTATATTAGCTGATAAATTAAAGTCTATAAAATGATTGAAAATTTTACATTTTTAAAAAAAGGTAAACAAATCGTTTCTTGAAAAAAAAACAACTTTCCATTTCATCAATAGACAATTTTTTCCCCTTAATATATACATATGGTTTAAGGGTGGAGTATTCTTCTCCCGTAGTAAACAAGTTTATTGACCTACTTAAAAATCCCATTTGATGCATATTTTTTGACTCCACCACCCACACTGCTTTCCAAAATAATTTGTTTCTAGATGTGTACTTTTACTGTTGTTGACAAATATTCCCTAACAAATGAGTCACACCAACAACTCTGAGAAGCGATGATAGATAATTAATAACGGTGAGGTCAGGTGAAGTCTGTGTGAGCCCTGACTGCCCATGGGAGATTGGTGTTAATATGGACCCTTGACAAATGGCCTACACATTCATAGAACACCCCCTGGCCCAACTGCTTCATTTTGATGTGTTTTGATGTTATTTCTTTACGCATCTAGAAGGTTTCATAAATGTATATAAGGAGCACAACACCTAATGCAAAGTAGCATATCTTTAGAAGGATTTGAAACTAGCTGAATATTGAACTTGCTTGTTGTGCATTTATTGGACACTTATCCATATCCAGAAGGAAGAAACTGTGAGAAAATCTGACCATGTATAGTCGACATATACCAATTTACCATGATGACTGGAGTCATCGCTGGTCATCCTTAAACCAAGGTCCATTCTATTCCAGTCGAGTCTCACGATTCCCAGAGATACCCCCGCCTCCAATAACTACTAGGTATGATCCCGAGCCTTTCTTTGACCGGTCACCTATGCCTTTTCCAGACTATAACGAGAGGAGAGAGCTTGTGTCCCGTAGTGAGCCTGCATGGACGTACTCGGCCCCACCACCGACGCCTGCTCCCTCCTTGATGGAGAACGAGATGCGAAAGATGACCCACGAAATGAACAACATGGCCAGGAACTTCCAGAGAATGGGACCAGCCAGTGGACTCAAGTCAGTGGAGGACATGAGACTGACCGAGGATTTCAATGTTAACAATCCAGTGCAGCAGGATGTTTATGGAAACAGAAGATTCCAATTGGAGTTTGATTTGCGCCAGTTTAGACCAGAGGAAATTCACATCAAGACCACTGGAAATCAACTCACCGTTCACTGTAAGCATGAGGAAAAGGAAAATGGAAAATCGTCATTTAAAGAGTACAACCGACAATTTGTCCTACCCAAAGAGGTCAACCCTGAGCATTTAACTTCAAAGCTGTCGGCTGATGGCAACCTCTACATTACTGCACCATTGCCAGCACTGCCCAGTTCCAGAGATAGGCTGATACCCATTGATAAGAAGTAATGATAAATGGACTAAATGTAAAGATACATGGTAGATACTCTTGCAATTATTATTGGAATTTTGACTGGTAAAATGCTGGTGTATTTTTAGAATGTTTTTGAATTTGTATATAAATTGTATAAATTATGTTTTGTACATTAAATTAAAAGTAGGTTAGAACATGCTTACTCTTTTGTTGTGTTTTATAACCATTTCAGTTAATATGCCTTTGAGATAATCCATGCAGAATATATCTACAAGTATCCAGTAACTTGCACATTTTAATGGGAAAATTGGAGTTAAAGTGATGAATATAGCAGGGTAGGAATCAAATGAAGAATTGCAATTGTGCTAAACACTGCTAATGCTGCAACTATTTACTGGATACATGTAGTTGTAAATTTTTGCAAATTAAATCTTGTGCCATTGTAGTAATTGCTGGATTAGTATATTAAAATTTTAGTAAATGATGTACGTCTTACACTATATGTATATGAAAGGAAAACAGAAATCCTAGGTGGTCTTGTAAACTTTTTTTTTTTAATTTCACAAAGAAAATAGTTTGTATAAATAAAAATGGTGCAGTTATGCAGCCTTCTGACGACAGAGTCTTTAAAATTTTTATTCAAGTAAGGACAGATGATACAAACAAAATTGGATGCCTGGATTGGTAGATATTTTATGGCCTAATCTCATTGAAAATGATGCAAATAATAAATTTCTAGAAAATAAAGAAATTGTAAACCTTCTAAGATGTGAAAATTAATTTGAAAAAAAAACCCTAATAACTACCCACTGAAATCCATTCATTTTACTCGTTAAAAAAAAACACGACTCAAGTTGTTACAAATTTTTTGACAAAAGTTTGTATCATCTATCCTTAAGTAAAAATTTTTTCACCAAAAGGAACTTTCTGGTGAATATCAATAATTAAAAAAAATTATGTTATAGAAATATGTAAAACAGTTTGTGCAGATTTAGTTATTGCTTAACATATATATTACAAAATCTTCCTGTCGAGGACAAACCATGCAGCTATATTTCATCATCCTTTCCAATTCTTTCCTTCTACGTCTACATGGAACTCGATGAAAAGTCATGAAAATCTTTAAAAATTAACAAAAATATACTTTTTTACATGTAAGAAATTGAATTTATAAACTTAAAAAATAGAATTCTCTAAATTTTGGGTACCCCTTTTAAAACTAATGCCACCCCAAATTATTCAGCATTTGAAGATGGCAATAGATAACAGGATGGCCTGTATCTATACCTTCTCTGACCATTCACTGTGGATATTCTGAAGGGTGTATCCACGTAGCGTCATCCGTGACAGCTGACTAATGCCTACAGGCTCATTGGCCTAACAATCTACACAAGTTGTCACCTCTGATTATGAGATATATTATTAAAAATTTGTCCTTATGGCTAGATTGTTTCAACTTATCAGGGCATCAAATGCTCAGATGCAGGAAAGGAGAAAATGTATGACTGGACCTGAAATAGAACCCAGGACCCCTAAATCACTAGGCAGGTTCTCTACCTACCGAGTTACAGGCCAATATCTATGGACTAAACCTTTTACACGTGAAAGAATTTTTTTCTCATCAAAAATAGAATTTTTATTATATCCTCACTATTCAAAAGTTATGCCCCTTGGTCTCCATCTTGGGAGGAAAACCACTAACAAGCGCCTGTAGGGAAAAGGTGCAGAATCCTCTGTAGATTTGCTAATTGGAGGGACATTTTATCCGTCCAGCTTAACTGTCCATTTGTCAGTAACAAAAACTTTATACTTATTGCTTTGAATGCATATCTCGTTTGAGTATTTCCTGTGACAAGACGTACCTTTATGAATGTGTGAAGTTCGAATTACTTTTCAAATATTTTAATCTTGGTCATAAATTTTATACCCGAAAAGACTGTACCATTTTCTATGAAAGTTGAGTTCTTGACTTATGGCTTGTCGCACTTCTCAAAAAAAATTTTACTTAGCTTTAACCTTTATACCAGAACATATCTTCAAAACTTCTTCTTTGCATAATTCTCAGACAGGGCAGGACATATAACAAGACAGTTCCAATAATTTATAAAGTTTCAAAACAAAAAACAAAATGACAGGAAAAAGTAGTCTCAGTACATGGGATTCAATTTCATATATCAAATTTTCGGGGTTTGAAGAAAAACTCTTGGTTCGTGGGGATTTGAATTCTTGGATAAAGAATGTTGAGTATTTATGTATGCAACATTTTACATTTCGTAGTAGACATGAATCCATTCGTTGGTCTCTTCATACCTCGAAAACAACAAAAATTAACCCTCCACGAAAATTTGTGATTTCACAGTATTATACATTTTATTGAATTCAGAATTCTAAATTTGATCTTTATATATACAATGTATTGTATTTGAAGGTAATGAGAGTTGTTGTGCTGGGTGCAGACCCCCTGGGCCACTGGAGACCACATTGACATCATTAGTTACCCATACGGAAAAAAAGGGCAAACAAACTACTATAACAAATTACTAACAAACCACTATGGTTTGAAAGTAGTTTAATAGTATAGCAAATCACATGCAAATGAGCTAACAAACTATACTCTAACAAACTACTATCAAACCACACTTAACAAACTACTATCAAACCACTCTAACAAACTACTATCAAACCACTCTAACAAACTACTATCAAACCATTCTAACAAACTACTATCAAACCACTCTAACAAACTACTATCAAACCACTCTAACAAACTACTAACAAATCACTGGGAAGTGGGAACAAATCCATCACCAAAACACTGTAGATTTGAATTTTCCATTACAAATCCACAAGTCTTCATTGAAAACACCTAAAACAATCACATTTTGAAGTATTCAACAAGTCTTGTTTCAGGGTATTTAAATTCCAGGATTCACAAGTTTAGCCAATGCAAGTGCAACATCCAACATGTTTCCTTTTGTTAAGGAGATGCAATTCGAAGTCAATGTCCATGTACTTATCACATATTCTCCTTCATGTTGTGTACATCTTCATAGTATTTTTCACTAAAAAATGTTCTTCAAGCTGATGATCGACATTTTAATATTTCCCTGCTTCCTCTGGCATAGAAAAAGATGCAATTTTCCCTTGTTTCTGACCTCATTGCAACTTTGAAAGACATCTTTATTGTCTTATTTTCAAGTATACTTCCCATAATCCAATGCATAACTGATCTAAACTAGGATAGGAATTATAGGTCAATCTGAAAATGAATAAAAATTCCAAAGCTAGTAAAAAGCATATGCATCCACATTCACAGAAGGTTAATTACTTCATGACATGCATTAAATATACCTCTTCTGTATCCAGATCCATCTTTTAATAATGTTAATTGCTGCTTTTTCCAGTCAGGGATCATATAGAATGATACTATAACAATTTGAATGTCCCTTCACCAGTTCCTTTGTTTCTGACATGCTTGGTGGTTTGAAAATTGGCGCAAATAGTTAAACACCGGATGTAAAGAGATAAGCTGTTCTTGGAAACTTCAACAATTCTAGATAATTCAACCCTAAACACATCTGTAAAGTAATTTCCCATGTGGTTAGATGCAAATGCTATACTAATAAAACACTGTTGCAAGATACCAAGTCTAACAAACTATAAAGAAATCACAATCACCAGAAATGAAAGACTAACAAACCACTGCAGCTATTTTTAGAAAAAGTGGTTTGTTAGTGGTTCATTAAATGCTATACTATCAAACTACTGTAACAAACCACAAAAGTATAGTTTGTTGGTAGTTTGTTGATGGTTTGATAGTAGTTTGTTAAAAATCTTTTCCGTTTGGGTACAGAGAATGTCAGAACTCCTGCCTGTCCCTCCCGATCTTTCAGAGGAGTCAGATCATCGCTTGTGGATTGGAAATCTGGATTCCAGACTAACAGAGTATCACATTAGATAGATCCGGCCTCCCTGTTCAGTGCTATTCATACAGTAATACATGCTTATAGCTTATAGTGAACACACTTATAATGAATTGATGCTTACAGCAAAATCATTTTCATTCCCCATGATTTTAAAATGTACTGGAAACTTATCTGTAATTGATGAATTTTCTACCAAAAATAACAATACATTGTATTGCTTTGTGATGAAAACTTTTGTGAGCAAAAGATGGTCACAAAACTTGTGAATATTTCTTGCACGTAATACAAATGTTGGTTCACATAATTATATGTTAAAACGGACTTTTCACCAATTTTTAAAATCAATTCTTTTAAAGGTTCAGCTTACTGAAGATTTTACAAAAGTTTGGTTCCTTGAAAAAGTTTGACTTTTTATATCATAAGTCTGGACCAGAGCAGGGGAAATCTAGAGGATACTGCTTTGTCAGTTACGAGAGCAGAGAGGTGAGATTTCAGCATGTATACCATCTTACTTTAACGATACAACTCTGATTCACTATTATGCGAGTTTGTATTGTCAATGAGCAAGTTTTGAACTTACTAATCCTGGCCAAACTTGCTTTCAAATTGATGTTGCATCTTGATGAAGGCGAGAATAATTTCCTTCTGACCATACTATGTGTCCTACCTACCTAGGGATCTACATTGCAGGCGGTAGACTAGATGTATTTAGGGATACACACTAACAAACTTGATGCTGCATTGGATTATTTTGGTATGATTGGACAGACTAAAGAATTAGAAACCAGCCCATTCTTAAGTAATTGTTAAATTACCCTGATCCAAACTAGCATATACATGTAGGCTGTATCAAGGGATGCACACTACGGGACTTGCTTGAAATGCTATATTTATATTCCTTAGAATTGTACTGTACCAAAAGTAAACTGAAATCCTCCTGACTGACATTTCATGCATTTGAGATTTGACTTGTATTATAGAAGAAGCCTTTATATGAGGAAGTGATGCAACAGTTAGAATTACAAGTCTCTCTAAGCTTCAAAATTATTTACAGAATGCAGAGCGTGCCATGGCTAAAATGAATGGGAAATTGGCTTTATCCAAACGACTGATTGTTAAATGGGCCCATAAAGACCCAGCAGAGGATCAGGTACATTATAAATGGTTTTGCACATACCAATGCTTATTATAAGGATAATATTAACAAAATACCATACAAGCAAGAACTTTTTCATAAAGAAATATCATTTCAGAAATCCAAGTCACATGATAAAGAAAGCACTGGAAAGGAAGATGTAGTAAGGTATTGTAACAATGCTTATAAGGTTATGAAAGAATTATCAAGTGATTAAATAAAATATAAAACTAGGGGAATGCTGGGATAACCTGTAAAAATCTACTTTAAGGCTGACTGACCTTCCAGTAAGAGAGATAACTCTTAATGGGATAAATGACTTCAAAATAATTGTTTATAAGAATGCTTAATTAACTAAAAGATCATATCTGTCAAATGGTATTCTGAGATTTTGTGCAGTTTAATTATGAATTACTTTATATTAGTGCTAAGGCAAAATTGTTTTTAAATCATAATACAGTATGACAACCTAAAGATTTATTTTCTAAACTCCAATCAAATTTCAAATTATTGTAAATTTGAGTAAATAACCTATATACAAATCCTTGAAATATTATCATTCAGTCTTTAATTTTTTTTTAGTCCTCAAAGCAAAATTAAAGCAATAGAAGCTAAGCTGCAGAAAATGCAAAAAGATGGAAGTGCAACCTCTAACTTGAAACCATTGCCTGGTACCAGTCAATTAAGCATGGTTCAGAGAGAGGCTAGAAAGATGGAGCAGGCCAATGCTAATAAACAAACTAAAAAACCATACAAGAGATGACAAATCTTGTCAAAATTTGTACTTTACAAATTCTGAGCCACCTTGAAATCTGGCTTAAATGTGGAGAGTTGTTCCGACTTTATGATACCTACTAACTGGAAGATCATCTAAGATTGAGATCTGTATGAATATAGCTGAGCTGGAGTTTTATGCTGCTTGAGAAAATTTCAACTCAAAGTGAAATATGAAGTTTTGCATTCACTTCAGTGTGACGAGTTAAAAAAAAAAGAAATAAATAAATACACAAAGATTATTGGCTTGTGCAAATTTATTTTCAAAATACATGTACTGAAAAAAAGTTCATAGTATTTGAACACAAAAATGAATTTTTATAGGGACATTTAGATTGTTTGCAAGAAGACAGAACAAAAGTAATGTGCAAGCATAACAGTGCAAAAATTGAAGAAAATCTTGTGTGAATGCCCTCATTCAATATCATTATAAGCGAAGTGCCCTAGAGAAAACAAGGATAATTGTGTGTGATTCATAAAAGGGAAACAGAGAGTCTTGTGAAGGATATTTAAGTGTAATAGTAATACTTTGTTGGTGTTCATAAATGCACATAAGTATTAATCTGTTCAACATGGAGGGCACTTTGTGGTTTAGCTTAAAACTGAATGCAGATAATGTCATTTGTAATTCATTAAATCTATCAAGTTGCTACTTTGTCAAGTGAAATAAAAGGGAACATAAAATATCATTACAGTGCATAAAAGAACAAAATTAAATAAAAAAAACAAACCAAAAAAAAAAAAACAAACCCAAAAGTAATGTCCACATTTAGCACTAATATCAAAAGCAAAGATTTTAATAATTATGGTTTATGGCACATTTTGAATATTGCAAGCACAAACTATTAATGAAAAACAAACTCCAGCACTTCAAAAGAAATATGCATCACAATGGGCAGGGAAACATGTACATAATTTGCACTTCTCTGGTCAGTTATATGCATAGAAATATTATAGTATCTACAAGTACTTTTATCAGCCTCATATACCTTAATTAAATGAAAAAAATCTAAAGATCAAACTTCTAAAATTGTTATTGCTAATCTAAAACGCATATATATTGACTAACTTTTGTGACAATTGCAATTAACAAAAACTTCAATTTAATCAATGAAATTTTTCTCATTGAGAAAAAAAAATTACTGAGGAGAGAAGTGCTATTTTTCTGTACATGTTCTACAAATCATTAATGGCTAAAACTAGACAGTAGACATTGAATAGAATATCGATGAATCAATACCTTCCTTACAGGAAAAAGGGTATCTAAACAAATGTAAGAAATTCTGATTACAATTAAGTACACAAGTACTTAAAACCTGTGGAACAGGCCAATTTAAGCAACAATGTTAAGCTAATGCTACAGTTTAATGTCAGTATTCTGTACAATATTATTATATACAAAAATATATACAATTAACATGTAGGTTCTGTTATTTCACAATTAGTGCTTGTTTTTTTTTGACCAAAATCTATGGATTTTCTCAAAATTCTTTCCAAATTTGAGTTGGCATGTCAACAATTTTGAGTATTTACTATTCAAAGATGGGTGGAAATACTCAAGTAAATTCTTCTAATTTTTTTTTTCTTTTTAATGACAAGATGTGTCTGATTATTTAAATACCAATACAGTGGAATAATTTGTTGGGGATCAATGTTCATTGGGGCTCAAAATTTAAATGTTTCTTGGGAATATAATTTGTGGATATCTTGTATTTACAAAAATTTCAATGAATGGACACATTGGGCCATCTTTAAAAAAAATGTTTGGTTGCCCTCTGACTGACTGACTAAAAACGGCCCCACTTTAACCTTTATTTAAATTCAAGGACAGTATTTTTTTTTCTATTTATTCCTCTTATCCCGTCAACAAACATGTTGAAATTTTCTGGGAAAAAGATTATTCTGGGAAATAATTTTACCCTGCAGAGCAAACATTATTTTAAATATGACTTTCATTTTTTTTATTGGGGGGTGTGTGTATAAATTCATGGACAAGGCTGATCCATGAACATTGATCTCCCACAAACAATGCTGATTCCACAGTATTATGCCAAAAGGAAATTTAATTCTTGTAGCCCTCCAAAGATTTTGTGTCTGATTTTTGTAGACCCTATTCATTAATACTGCCATTAATCTGCTTGCTATGGTTAGCCCACTATACAAAATTAAATCAAAATTTTACAATGTTAGAATATTAAATAGAATAAATATGCAACCAAGAAAAATGGTAATGAGAAAAAAAAGTAGCATATCATACCATGAAAACAAAAAAAATGTGAAAATAAACTGAATTAAGGTTGTAACACAGTGCAAAATTAAATAATTCAATGGTTACATGTATATAAGATAAATTGGATGGATGCTTAAAACATTAGATGTGCAAGATATTTAAAACTGAACTGCAAATTTATGAATTGTATAATTCTGCCATGGACGAATTTCCTTCATCAGTGTCCTGATTAGATGTAATCTGAAAGATTCAAGTAGAAGGTCTTTTCTAAAAAACATGATGTGCACATAATAGTAATTAAAATACGCTTATAAATGGCAAACATGCTTATATTAAAGGAATTGACATTTACTGCAGTTATTTTCAGTCTCTGTGGCTTTTAAAAAATATATGGTAAACTTAAAGGTTAACTATTATATTTATAATAAAGCAAAGTTCATCCCTGGTACTTTATTATAAACGTTTTGCTGTTATACAAAGCAGAAAATGTCTGCTGCTAATAGAAATAATGGAATACTACTTGAGAATTCTTTGAATGTTCAACATTGAAGACCAACATGCTGAGACAACATCAATGCTATGAAATTACTAAAATTATTTTAAGCAGATTTAATTTAAATTTGTAATGCTGTTTTGCCAAGATCCATGAATTCATGTCCTCCTTGAACTGTTATAATTTCAAATGGCAGTAATAATTACAGTGTACCAGTATTTCAACATTTCTTTAAACAAGATCAAATCCATAGAAAACATTTTTTTTAGCTCACCTGAGCCGAAATCATTAGCTTTTCTGATCACATTTTGTCTGTCTGTCTGTCCGTCTGTAAACTTTTCACATTTTTGACTTCTTCTAAGGAACCATTGGGCCAATTTTGACCAAACTTGGTACAAAGCATCCTTGGGTGAATGGGAGTTTAAATTCTTACAATGAAGGGCCAAGTCCACTCCAAAGGGGAGATAATCAAGAAAAGACAAAAATAGGGTGGGGTCTTGAAAAAATCTTCTCAAGAACCACTGGGCCAGAAAATCTGATACTTATGTGGAAGCATTCTGGGGTAGTGTAGACTCTAAATTGTTCAAATCATGACCCCCAGGGGATAGGCGGGGCTACAATAGGGAATCAAAGTTTTACATAGAAATATATAGAACAAATCTTTAAAAATCTTCTTCTCAAGAACCACAGGGCCAGAAAAGCTGAAACTTATGTGAAAGCATCCTGGGGTAGTGTAGATTCTAAATTGTTCAAATCATGACCCCCAGAGATAGGGCGGGGCCACAAATAGGGAAGCCAAGTTTTACATAGAAATATATAAGAGATTTTTAAAATTCTTCTTCTCAAGAACCACTGGGCCAGAAAAACTAAAACTTATGTGAAAGCATCCTGGGGTAGTGTAGATTCTAAATTGTTCAATTCATGACTCCCGGGGGTAGGATGAGGACATACTTCAGAATCACAATATGTTATTACAAGGGGGAAATCTGGTAAAGAACAGTATGGTCAAAGCTACTCAAAGGTGAGCAATGTGGCCCATGGGCCTCTTGTTACCTTTATAACCATTTAAAATTTTTCCCATAGGAAAAGAACTGATTTTACTATATTTAATGGTTCATGGCAAAACAGCAAAAGTATTTTATGAACTAGGAAAATCTGAGATTTACCAAGTTTTTAGGTTTGAACCAGAGAATCCATGGCAGCGTATTAATACTTCTTTGTGTTAAATAATTACACAAGAAAGCAAGCATTCTTTTAACATAGAAAGTAAAACATTAATAGAAATGTGCATATACTGAATACTTTGTTATAAAATTCCAAATTTTGTCATAAAGAAATGTAAACTAATTAATTTCAATTGTTATATCTAAGAAATTATTGATGGATATTAAGAGATTTTAAATGTTGCATTAAAATACTTTTCCACTGTATGCAATAATTATATATTCCTCTAAGTTACATACCTATGATATAAATTCTTCTGCCTGGAGTCACTCCATTAAAGCTAAAGAATTTACCTCATTGAAAGCACCTTTCAGGTTTTCAATGAGTTCTTCCTTATTTATATCACTCAACATGGCTTCTAGACTCTCCATGGTTACGGAATCCTCCATTGCTGTAGAGGTCACACTACCAGCTGGAGAGGAGGCATCAGAGAACATGGACTGGGAGCATGGAGACTGCATACTGCTAGTCTGAATACTCCCAGCTGGGGACGCAGCATAGGACTGCTGAGGTGGGGACTGGAGGGTGGCAGCAGCATGGGGGGAGTAGGCCGGGGACATTGAAGGTGGCAGAGCAGCAGAGTCTGAACTGCAAACCCCAATCTTCATCTGTAAATTTTTGAACTTCAACATCTGTTCTGCGATGTTGGCTTTGGGCTTCTGTCCTGCTGATGTAGATGTTGCCTGGACTGGGGCTATATCAAACAAAGATCAAGGTCAAAGAAAAACCAACCTGGTGAAGGGTCCATTATAATGTGCATGGGTGACTACAGACTACTACTTGTGAACTAACAGAACGTTAAATGCTGTTTAGAAGAGTTGATCATGAAGATTGTAGGCATTACCATAAACGGTGGATGCCATGGAAACAAATTGGGTGCTGTGGTCCGGACTCTGCAGGGAATGGACAGAATTCGCTGGACTTGGCTGCTGCATGGAGTACATGGAGGGTGCTGGGCTAGTCTGTGGAGTATTGCTGTACATGCCAGGAGATTGGCTAGTCTGCTGCTGAGCATATACTGCTATGTCCTGAAACCCAGGGTCCATATTTGGTGGCAGAAATGTGTTACCAAGAGCATTTTCGTCAATCGTCTGAAAATTGTTGGCATTTGATGTACCGAGCATATTAGATAATGTGGGGTGTGTACTAGATAGACTCCCATTAGCGTTGAATGTTTGAGTCGGACTGAAATTTGAATTCTCCATTATGACTTGCTGAGAATTCTGCATGAAAGGTACCCTCTGGTACAGGGTAGTGTGACCCTGGCTCCCCATGCTGTCCTGTGATTCCCCTCCACTGAATTCTAGTACCGTCTGAGGTATGATATGCATCTGAGGGGAGCCGGGGGGCAGGGACATTGGGGAGTAAGAGGGATGCTGCTGTACATCCGAGTAGACATTAGGTTCTCGCTGCGGCTCAGATAAACGTTTGTTTTTTATTACTCCAGGCCTGTTGTGTGCCCCCTCCCGTTTCTTTGAAGGAGGCACTGCCTTCTTTATGTCTCTTTTTCTTTCTGAAGATGGGTCCTCATCTAAATTCATATCACTGAAAAACAAGATGCATTATCTTCTTTATAAAAAGAATATGTGCATTAAGATATCGCAATCTGATAAGAAAACTATTGAAACAGATTGTTTCTACTATAAGTCGTAAATGTGCATTACTTCAAGGTGACAATCAGAATTTCCTCAAACTTCTTGTAACCTGGAGTTTCTCCTTTGCTTTTGGTTTCTGCAATAAAAATTGTTACCTAATGATAATATATACTGCATGTATTTTATATATCCACCTTTCTTTAAAAAAAAAAAGAATTTTTTTAAAATCTAAATACTACATGTACATTCACATTAAATAACAAGTACAAAATGCTAGCAGAAATAGATAAAGACTTCATATCGAAGTGTAAAGTGACAATTTGACAAAAATTTTCAGTACTAAATTATATGTTACCAGTATTGTACTGCTCAAACGCCTCCTCTGTCCTGACTAGACAAGTTGGACTCTTATACAACCACTGCAGAAGATAAACCTTCGTATCGCCAGGCATACATGTATTTTTCACACACTGGGCAAGGGACTTCTTCTTGAAGGTGTCTGCTTTAAAGGGATCAGTAGGAAAGCATTTCCACTGTCCTGAAAGAAAAAATAATAATTCTGTACATTTTTGAATCTTATGTCATCACCCACATTTTTAACCCTCCCCCCTTTTTTTAAATACAAGTTTTTATACGACTGTTTCTCCACATTTGAAGGAAAAAAAATAAATATTAATAAATTTACAAACACAAAATTTTGAAGCATTTTTCATCCACATAAATATTGATTCACCATTTTTGTTTTTGTACAAGACGGTAGCTGAGATGGCTCCACAGAGGTTTTGACCTTGACCGTCAGTGATGACCTTGTCTGAGAATCGTAACAGGTAGGTATATTCCTTCAGTGGGTGTATGCTGTTCTTCAGTCTTTGTTCTGCAGTCTCTTTCTTAATGAATCCTGCTATCAACCTATAAAAGATAAATATTATATAATTTTATATAAAATTCTATTTTGTACATGCATTGTTACTATACATTCATGATAACATATTAGGAAGGATATCGTAAAATTGTATTCATGTACACATCTTAACCATTATCCAGTCACTCAGCACATCATTCTAGTGTCTCCTCTTTAATATCCAACATAATTCTACTTATCCACCATTGAAGTATTATACTTATCCATCATTTAAGTAATTATACTTAATATCCAACATTCACATAATCATACTTACCCATATTATTTCAATTCCCATCATTCTTTAATTTTACAGTGTACACCTTCCTGAATTTGCTACCTACCCATCTTAACAGACAGTATCCATTTCCTCTTTTTACCCAGAATTCATTATTCTCTACCTACCCATCATTCCAATAGTCTCTTAGGTGAGATTTGGTCAGATTAAAGACAGCAAGAAACCACATCCAAAAGGTGGCCGATTTCTTCTTGTCATCCCCTTCCTTAATATCCATCATCTTCTCCTAAAGACAGATTGTTTTATTTGGTGATGAGAGAGGAGCTATTTTATGATTTACCAACTAAGAATTGAAAGCCTATATCAATCTATCATAATACTATCAATTGCTTCAACCAAACACACTTACAAGTTAGATTACTCAATCAGATTGCCTAAAAACAAAGAATTTAACATGAATTTATCATGTAATGAGTAAAATACATGTAAATCTTACAACACAAAATCTCCTAAAAGGAATGTCCATGTCATCTGGTATTGGCTTATCCTCTGAAAGTAAAGAATAAGGACACTTTAGTTTAAAACTTTCCTGTTTTCGTGGAATTTAAAAAATCTAGATACATTTGTATGTGTGCACTTCAGTGAAACGCACATATGCAGCAGAATTTGGTATCTTGAACCCCAATATCATGAATACAGTGGACCTTCAGATATCCGGATGCTTCAGTATCCGGACGCTTTTTCATCGGGACGGAATTTTTAAATGTTATATTGTTTTGTTTAACTGGTGATTCAGGTATCCGGACGCTTCACATATCCGGACAAATTGACTAGGAACCAAAGCGTCCGGATAAATGAGGCTCCACTGTACCATGTCAAGAGTGATTTTGAATTTCCAACCCCTCAGTCTTTAAGTATTTTCCCTGGATATTTTGAACCTTTGAATATCTCAAATTGTCAAACCAGCCTTCATTAGACCTACCCAGCATTAATCGGCCCCCTAGATGAGTTTTTTTTTTAAGACCTACCCAGCATTAATCGCTCCCCTAGATGAGATTTTTCATCAATACAGAGATCTCGTCCTCCTAATGTCTGCATCTTCTTGTTGAGCATATCAAACACAGTGATCCACTTCAGAGAGTTCGATGTTTCTATTGGCAGCTGAAACTGTTATTCAAATAAAATTTAGTATCTAAGCATACTTGTTGCTTGAAAGCGTGAGAGGAGGTTTACTGTAATGTAAATGTACACACACACCTATGAAGTGAAATGGATGTACTGATTCCTGTAATTTAAATGTTGTAAAACTTACAGCATTTTCGGTACTGTAACATTGCCACAGTAACGATCCATGTACATTACAGCTCTGGCTGGCTCCAGTTGTTACGACAATGGGCAGAGAAATCGTCTGTAAAATTATTATAAATAAGGAAATAGAGTTAAAATTTAAGTAGATCCTTCAAAACAAAGCTCTTCACATATTTCACCACTCTGAATTTCACAAATATGTTTTTCAGATTTTCATATTAAATATGCAATATATGTAGTGTATTTGTAGTGGGAGGAAAATTCCAATCAACCCTTATACTTACTGCTACAGGTATATCCTGTTCTGCGACCTTGACCCGAGTGGTGAAGACAATTCTAAATTTATCTTCACAGACTTGAACATCGGGCTTTCTCTCAAACTTCTCTATTTCCATTTTCTTAAAAGAAGCCAAGGCCTTCTTTTTCTCAAAAGTGGATTCGTCGGTTTTGGCTTTTAGTCTGATCTCACAAGGACTGTCCCAATTCCCACTGTGAAACTTCTCATTGACCTCTGACTCGTTACAGAACTGTGCTTTCACTTTCCCTTTACAATCAATGTTATCACAGGCCAGAAGTCTACAATTTCAAAAGTACCGTATGCATGTATCAAATACAAATATTTCGTTATTAAATATTATAATGGATCCTTTTGTGACATGGCTGGTATTGTCAATAAATTTGACTTGTACAAACTTTTAGAGTCTAAAAATAAGGTTGCTAACAGATTAACAATCTCAATACCTTGGACCACAATTTGATATATTTAGACAGCTTACCTTACAGAGCCGTAGAACTTGGGACATCTAAACTTCTGATTGGCTGTCTCCTCTCCCCCTTCCTCTGCCTCTTTATTCCTCTTTTTAGAGCCAAGTTCCACCTTTATGATGTGCTTCTGTTGTTCCGTCACAACAAAGGAACTATCAAAATAGAACCAGATAAAACTAGAATGTCCAAACGGGACAAAATACCCCCCGTTGGGTTTTTCACAAGTGCTCAATCATGAATATTTTATGGACCTAAGATAAGAGAGAAATGCTAAAACATTTTTAGTGCAAATGTAATTGCTCATTATATTTTTTATAAATGAAAGAAGGCGCAGCCTAATTAAAAACATGAGGCCCATGGGCCACATCTCTCACCTGAGCACTAAGGGTAGGAAGAAGTAGAAAATGGCTTTTTATTGTAAAGTTTAAATCCAAAAGTAGTCCCATGACCAATCATGGATTTGCTATTTTTTAGAAAATGATTTTTACAGAATTTTCCTATATATATCTTTAAAAACTTTAGTCGGCCATTTTGGCCCCGCCCTACCCCTGGGGGGTCATGATTTGAACAAATTTGAATCTACACTACCTGAACATGCTTCCATATAAATATGATGAATTATGGCTTCCTGTACCAAACATTCTAACAAATGCTCATGAGCTGCTCATGAGACTCACATGAGAATCAAGTAAGAATTGCATGCAAATTAGGTAGAATTGCATTTTGCTCATGTGCAGATTGTTAGTCTTTACCCATACCAAACCATTCTCACAATTTGCTCATGAGCAGCTCACGTGAGGACTAACCAGATTTCCTCACCTGAGTTGCTCACGTGAGTCTCATGTGCAATTTAACATGCAAATTAGGTAAAATGCTCACGTGAGCAGGGTTCTGCACATAAGCATTTTTTGCTCACGTGAGGAATCATTTTGCTCACTCAGAATATTGCTCACGTGAGGCTCATGAGACTCACGTGCAACAATTGCTCACTTGAACAAGTAACAATAGAACAATTAAAATTCAGATTACAAACATTATATAATTATATATGTAATTTTAAATTTGATTCATCAATTACGTTTTAAATACTCTTGAGCAACATGTACATGTAAATAGATGTATGCATGCATAATTATGTTCAGTAAACTTCATATTTTAAACTTAAAATGAAATAAAAAATTAAATTATTAATTATGTACAGTACACATCAATCAAAGTATAATTATCTAATAGTTCCATTTCCAGGAGATTAACATCCGATGTAAATGTCCAGTCAACATTTTTGACTGCACTTTGTCTAGTACTAGATGGACTAAAATTGTCTTAAAGTTGTCTTGGAGGCTAATAGATGTTTCTGCCTTTACTGCATGAATATATGAGTGGCATGCAGTCATACTTGGGGTTAAAATAATAATCCAGTGGTCATAAGAATCATAATCAATTCATCCTGTTCCATTCTTTTTCCTTGCATTTCCTTTGTTGAGTGTTAACATCAGAACTCCGTCATGTATGCAAGCTCAGCTAGGGTCCGTTATTAATCTGCAGATCGATCCTTAATTGATTCCAACTTTTATCTGCAAAAATTTGAAGTTATAGTTAGTATATTTTCAAGGTTACATTGCCATGGTCATGAAAAGCAAGGCAATTAATAGAAAAATCATATAAATCAATATTTAATTAGCAACTTAAATACATGTACATGTAATTCATAGAATACTAGTACTGGACTGAGGCTGTCAACTGTACACTCTGACCTAATCTGTTATCATTTTTATAGTTCTTAATTAATAAACTGTAATTCCAGATAACATTCTGCACTAAATATACATGTATATCAAAATTAAATACACTGATAATTAAACCACAAACATATTATTTTTTTTAATTAGTAATATCTGAAATGAGAGGGGCCGGGGTTATAAATTTCAAAGCACTTACCCTAATCTCAGATCAGCAAATCTTTGTAATTTTCCTTCATTGTACGTGGCTGCAAGATGGACGTAATCTAATTGAATAATCATTTCCTCATCCCATGGACATACTGGATACATTTGTAACTTTTAAAGGCTGGCTTCTAGTTCAATATGGTGATGACATGTATTTCCAAAAGCATATTTCAGTTCTTTACTGTGTTAATCCATATATTTTCAATGTCCCTCACAAACACTTTGTATTGAAATTTTGAACTGGTCTGAGAAGGCGCACAAATTCTGACTGGCTCTCCTCATTGGATACTGCCCTACTTTAAGCAACAGTGGGGGACACAATGGGTTGTTTAGGTAGAGGAAAGCTTTTTCAAATTGATGGGATGAAGATTAGAAGCTCAACAGGAAGTGTTAACACTTAACACATGGTCAATTTGTAATAAAGGCTTGGGAAAGCTTGGACCACATAGAGTGTCAGAGTATTGTATTTCCTCACATGAGCCTCACGTGAGGAATTGAGACTTGTAATTCTTTGGTTTTGGTTCTTCTTGTAATACTGAATTTTACTATGTCCAATTTCCTCACCTCTTGCTCACCTTTTGCTCACATGAGAAAAATGAACTTAGAATAATCACTACCAATGTAAGGCTGTTCCTAGGTGAGCATATTGAATAGACTTTTGCTCATGAGCTTTGAGGTGAGCATAATTTTGCACATGTGCATTTTGGTTAGTATTTTCCTTCCTAACAAAGACTAACAATCTGCACATGAGCAAAATGCAATTCTACCTAATTTGCATGCAATTCTTACTTGATTCTCATGTGAGTCTCATGAGCAGCTCATGAGCATTTGTTAGAATGTTTGGTACAGGTAATGTTAGGAAGGAAAATACTAACCAAAATGCACATGTGCAAAATTATGCTCACCTCAAAGCTCATGAGCAAAAGTCTATTCAATATGCTCACCTAGGAACAGCCTTACATTGGTAGTGATTATTCTAAGTTCATTTTTCTCATGTGAGCAAAAGGTGAGCAAGAGGTGAGGAAATTGGACATAGTAAAATTCAGTATTACAAGAAGAACCAAAACCAAAGAATTACAAGTCTCAATTCCTCACGTGAGGCTCATGTGAGGAAATACAATACTCTGACACTCTATGTGGTCCAAGCTTTCCCAAGCCTTTATTACAAATTGACCATGTGTTAAGTGTTAACACTTCCTGTTGAGCTTCTAATCTTCATCCCATCAATTTGAAAAAGCTTTCCTCTACCTAAACAACCCATTGTGTCCCCCACTGTTGCTTAAAGTAGGGCAGTATCCAATGAGGAGAGCCAGTCAGAATTTGTGCGCCTTCTCAGACCAGTTCAAAATTTCAATACAAAGTGTTTGTGAGGGACATTGAAAATATATGGATTAACACAGTAAAGAACTGAAATATGCTTTTGGAAATACATGTCATCACCATATTGAACTAGAAGCCAGCCTTTAAAAGTTACAAATGTATCCAGTATGTCCATGGGATGAGGAAATGATTATTCAATTAGATTACGTCCATCTTGCAGCCACGTACAATGAAGGAAAATTACAAAGATTTGCTGATCTGAGATTAGGGTAAGTGCTTTGAAATTTATAACCCCGGCCCCTCTCATTTCAGATATTACTAATTAAAAAAAATAATATGTTTGTGGTTTAATTATCAGTGTATTTAATTTTGATATACATGTATATTTAGTGCAGAATGTTATCTGGAATTACAGTTTATTAATTAAGAACTATAAAAATGATAACAGATTAGGTCAGAGTGTACAGTTGACAGCCTCAGTCCAGTACTAGTATTCTATGAATTACATGTACATGTATTTAAGTTGCTAATTAAATATTGATTTATATGATTTTTCTATTAATTGCCTTGCTTTTCATGACCATGGCAATGTAACCTTGAAAATATACTAACTATAACTTCAAATTTTTGCAGATAAAAGTTGGAATCAATTAAGGATCGATCTGCAGATTAATAACGGACCCTAGCTGAGCTTGCATACATGACGGAGTTCTGATGTTAACACTCAACAAAGGAAATGCAAGGAAAAAGAATGGAACAGGATGAATTGATTATGATTCTTATGACCACTGGATTATTATTTTAACCCCAAGTATGACTGCATGCCACTCATATATTCATGCAGTAAAGGCAGAAACATCTATTAGCCTCCAAGACAACTTTAAGACAATTTTAGTCCATCTAGTACTAGACAAAGTGCAGTCAAAAATGTTGACTGGACATTTACATCGGATGTTAATCTCCTGGAAATGGAACTATTAGATAATTATACTTTGATTGATGTGTACTGTACATAATTAATAATTTAATTTTTTATTTCATTTTAAGTTTAAAATATGAAGTTTACTGAACATAATTATGCATGCATACATCTATTTACATGTACATGTTGCTCAAGAGTATTTAAAACGTAATTGATGAATCAAATTTAAAATTACATATATAATTATATAATGTTTGTAATCTGAATTTTAATTGTTCTATTGTTACTTGTTCAAGTGAGCAATTGTTGCACGTGAGTCTCATGAGCCTCACGTGAGCAATATTCTGAGTGAGCAAAATGATTCCTCACGTGAGCAAAAAATGCTTATGTGCAGAACCCTGCTCACGTGAGCATTTTACCTAATTTGCATGTTAAATTGCACATGAGACTCACGTGAGCAACTCAGGTGAGGAAATCTGGTTAGTCCTCACGTGAGCTGCTCATGAGCAAATTGTGAGAATGGTTTGGTATGGGTTTGTCATTCTTGAGAAGAAGATGTTTAAAGAATTTTCCTATATATTTCTATGTAAAAGTTTGGTCGGCCATTTTGGCCCCGCCCTACCCCCGGGGGTCATGATTTGAACAAACTTGAATCTACACTACCTGAGCATGCTTCCATATAAATATGATGAATTATGGCTTTTTCATTCTTGAGAAGAAGATGTTTAAAGAATTTTCCTATATATTTCTTTGTAAAACTTTGGTCGGCCATTTTGGCCCCGCTCTACCCCCGGGGGTCATGATTTGAACAAATTTGAATCTACACTACCTGAACATGCTTCCATATAAATATGATGAATTATGGCTTTGTCATTCTTGAGAAGAAGATGTTTAAAGAATTTTCCTATATATTTCTATGTAAAAGTTTGGTCGGCCATTTTGGCCCCGCCCTACCCCGGGGGGTCATGATTTGAACAAACTTGAATCTACACTACCTGAACATGCTTCCATATAAATATGATGAATTATGGCTTTGTCATTCTTGAGAAGAAGATGTTTAAAGAATTTTCCTATATATTTCTATGTAAAACTTTGGTCGGCCATTTTGGCCCCGCCCTACCCCCGGGGGTCATGATTTGAACAAACTTGAATCTACACTACCTGAGCATGCTTCCATATAAATATGATGAATTATGGCTTTGTCATTCTTGAGAAGAAGATTTTTAAAGAATTTTCCTATATATTTCTATGTAAAAGTTTGGTCGGCCATTTTGGCCCCGCCCTAGCCCCGGGGGTCATGATTTGAACAAATTTGAATCTACACTACCTGAGGATGTTTCCCCATAAGTTTCATCTTTCCTGGCACAGTGGTTCTTGAGAAGAAGATTTTTAAAATATGCCACCAAATTTTCATTAATTCCCAATTATCTCCCCTTGAATGAGGGCGTTGCCCTTCATTTGAACAAACTTGAATCCCCTTCACCCAAGGATACTTTGTGGCAAGTTTGGTTGAAATTGCCCAGCGGTTCTTGAGAAGAAGTCGAAAATGTGAAAAGTTTACAGACAGACAGACGGACAGACGGACAGACAGACAGACGGACAGACGGACAGGTGAGCTAAAAATAGACTAAATATACAGACCAGACACAAATTATGAACTTGCATAAATGACCTTGGTTCAAAGTCATGACACAACCTCAGGTCATAAGCAATGTTTGTGTGAAGTAGTAGATTCTAGTTTTTCCATATAAAAGATATGGACCGGACACGAATTATGAAATTTTTCTTTCAGTGAGGCCAGCATTTTTTTATTTTTAGGTTTACAAACCCGCCGCTCAGGTTTTTGAATTTTCAGAAAAAAAATAAAATTGAGAAAAACAGAATTTTTTCTTTCCGATGTCAAATTTGAGTCGGGATCGAGATTTCAAATTTACGAACTCGTACTTCCGGTTTTAAATTGTGTCAAGTCCATAGCGGCACTAAAGCTTGGTTTAATGTAAATATTTATCGATAGGAGTGCCATTCAAAACGTTTCACCCGTTCAGAGAACAATAAATTGCTGACGACTTTGTTGCAAAGTGACATGTTGGTGAGATAATTATGTATCCGTATTCAAAAGTAACTGTCTTCAATTGCAAATTATTTTCCTCCCACAGGTTTAAAACTGCCCATGGTAGCTATTGTCAGAGACATTGTTTAGGTTTCGGTCATAACTTACAGTCTTAGCATCATTCTTCAGAAAAGGGTCGCTTATGCATCAGATGTAATGAATAAAACTATGGGAGAAGTTAAGTCCATTTGAGGAAGAAATAAACAATAGCCTAAAGAAAAAAAATATTTCAACTATTTAAAAACAAGAATATACAAATATATACAGGCATGTAGTATCGTTTATGGCAGCCAGAAAAATTATTTTACACTTAATTGAAAAAAATTCCACCATACTCCTCAATACTCCTTGGGAATACTCCCTGTCTGTTTTATGAAAGGAATTATTACTTTTATAGGTCTCGAGTATATTAATATTTTAGAATAATTTCTACCTAACACACATTAAAAACAAAAATGAAGATATATTAAAAGAGATTTAAAAAATTGATTTTTAAAAAAAAAATCTGTATTTTGTCCAACATCAAAAGATTAATATCACTGCCCCCAACTGGTAGATGATGAAATAAACAATGAAAGGTTGTATTTTCCCCTTTGTAACCCTTATGTGTCTAGTGGCAAGAAGCCTGTTAGGAGAGCATATAAAAAGAAGCAAAAATTAATGTAGAAAAGTCGATAATGTATCCAAAATATAATTTTATTTTTTTTTTTATTTCCTCCTCCTACGGGACTTTTTCATTCTGATGTTCGTAAACCTAAAAATAAAAAAATGCTGGCCTGACCTTGAACTTGCACAGATGACCTTGGGTCAAGGTCATGACACACCTTTAGGTCATGAGGAATCTTTGTGTGAAATAGGAACTTACCAAGTTTATCCATAAGAAAGATATGGACCGGACACGAATTATGAAATTTTTCTTTCAGTGACCTTGAACTTGCACAAATGACCTTAAGTCAAGGTCATGACACACCTTTAGGTCATGAGGAATCTTTGTGTGTAATAGGAACTTACCAAGTTTATCCACAAGAAAGATATGGACCAGACACGAATTATGAAATTTTTCTTCCAGTGACCTTCAACTTCCCCAAATGACCTTGACCCAAGGTCACGACACACCCTTAGATCAGGAGCAATCTTTGTGTGAAATGAGAACTTAACAAGTTTATCCATAAGAAAGATATGGACCAGACACGAATTATGAAATTTTTCTTCAAGTGACCTTGAACTTCCCCAAATGACCTTGCATCAAGGTCATGACACACCCTTAGGTCATGAGGAATCTTTGTGTGAAATAGGAACTTACCATGTTTATCCATAAGAAAGATATGGACTGGACACGAATAATGAATTTTTTCTTCCAGTGACCTTGAACTTCCCCAAATGACCTTGGGTCAAGGTCATGACACAACCTTAGGTCATGAGCAATCTTTGTGTGAAATTAGAACCTACCATGTTTATCCATAAGAAAGATATGGACCGGACACGAATAATGAATTTTTAGCTCACCTCAACGAAGTTGAGGGAGCTTATGTAATACCCTCGGCGTCAGTGTCGGCGTCGTCGTCCCGGGTTAAGGTTAAGTTTTTTGGAGCAGTTTTCTTTTTAACTTGATGCACCAAGGTATGAAAATTTGCAAACTTGCTTCAGATGCTGGATTTTAATTATGTTTTCATGATGAAGAACTAGTTTGAAGTTTTTATACAGGTCTATTCCAAAATACAGGTAAACTTCGTTATCTCGACATCGATGGGACGATTGGAAAATGTCGAGATATCCGAGGTGTCGAGATATCAGAGTTGAGACTCGACGTCCTTAATTTTACTGCATAGTAAACCATAGACCTAAACTGAACAGACGTGTAACTACCTACATGTCTTCAATAGACTGTAGCTGGTTTGTTTCAGCTATCCCTCTATATTTATTAGAAAATCTAAGAAGTTATTCACAACATGATTCATGAAATGCTTTGAATTCTTTTTTATCGAAATCTTCTCATTTTACTAAAAAACAATTTTCCATCCAGCATTCGATCCGCGTGCAACTAGCTCTATCAGAACAGGATTCGAAATGCGCTCTATAAACTCCAAACCAGAACGGTACAGAGTCGACTTCCGTGATACGGGCAAAAAAATAATGCGTATACATTTGTTTTTTTTTTTCATTTTAATTAATTTTTATTTCATAATCATTCATCATTATTTTTCATTTCATTTTTAAACCAAAATTTAATATGGAATTACGCAGTAAACAAATTTAATTATGTTACACGTGCATTTATATTATGGCTGATGCAATAGTCGCGCATGTCGTAGATTTGATTGTTTCCTGTTAAATGCATTTTTACTACAATGTTTAAGTTAAATTGAATTCATTGTGTACATTGTTCATTGTTAAACAGTCAGATTTTTTTTTTTTACAAAATGTTAAAATTTTGTTAGATTTTGACATAAATAAACAGTGTTAAATTTATGCAGAATCGAGAAGATTTATCAATGGTATGATATTTCCCAAGCTGAACATTTAACAATTAACGTCATAGAGACGACTAGGGGACTTGGGATTCCTCTACAAACACATTTCTACAAAGCAGTATTTAGTCAAAACATGGGTGTGAAAGGTGTGAATTTCTGACGACTTCAAGATACCCGGAGTTGTCCGTGCGTGACGAGCGACCGGCAGACAAGCAATTAGGTTAAGTAGAGCAGAAAATTGCCCCGATGTCGACACATACCAGGTAAATTTTGCTCTTGGGACTCAAAATATACGTCGAGATAAGCGGGGTAGTCGACATTACCGAGGTCGACATATCAGAGTTTTTGCAAATCATTTATATACTAAATAATGCCGGGACCGCGGATGGACGTCGACATATCCCAAGTTGTCGACATATCCGATGTCGAGATACCGAAGTTTACCTGTATCAAATCAAAATTGCATAAATTTTGCATTTTTGGATGTACAGTTTTTGTTGGTTAATTGTGTGACTTTGCCTTACTTAAAGACAACATTTGTTGAGGTGAGCTCTGTAATCTCTGATTACCTATGTTTTCTTCCAGTGACCTTGAACTTCCCCAAATGAACTTGGGTCAAGGTCATGACACACCCTTAGGTCATGAGCAATCTTTGCGTGAAATGAAAACCTACCAAGTTTATCCATAAGAAAGATATGGACCGGACACGTTTGCACAGACAGACGGACAGACAGCTAGATGGACGGACAGGCTGATTCCTATATACCCCCCCCCCCCAAACTTCATTTGCGGGGGGTATAAATATTACACATTTATATCACACCTTCATCTCATACATGTAGCTGATGTATAGAAATACAGAATTGTAAAATTCTGTATAATTATCAGTCTCACCTCTGTAGAAGCCTTTCAAAGCATTTTTTGAGAGTACCCCCAATGCTGTGTGTGACATCAGTTGCTGCTAACAATTCAAGTTTAGGCAGGTGATACTGTAAAATATCATAGAGGATCTGTCCAAGCCAGGAATACCTGAAAAAAAGTATTTTTATTAAAACATATGTTAAACATACATGAACATGCAAAAAGATTTTTCTCATTTCGTAGAATACATGTGCCTGTGTTTAAAAATCATTCATAAATACAGTTTTAAAGCCATTCATAACTCAATCATTGTAAAAATATTTTCAAATACATCTTCCAGAAAACATTGTTTGCTGTACCTAACATACTGCATGTGCATATGTATTTATCATTTGGATCTGTATGCTACATATAAGAGACTTTCGATACTTTACAGTCTGCTGTACCATGGAACATTTTTAAAATTAAGGACCTCAAAATATTGAAGTTGGAGCCTTCAACAGTCTCTAGTACATAACAGTCATTTAAGAGTGACATAATGACATACCCCCTCTCTACTTCAGTAGGAATCGGTGGTCTGTGGTCCACCAGGTCCACATAGAACAACTGCAGCTGTTTCTTAAAATCGGACATCTTCCTGGAGAGAATGTTCTCTGCTTCTAGGGACTTCGTCTCAATTTCTTGCAGGTTATTGGTGATATCCTGATGAAGCACCTGAAAGGTTACACAAAATGGTATTAAGTTTCATATAGTTGTCTATGTACATGTATAATAAGCTACTGGATAATTCTAATAAATGTATAAAGCATGCATGGACAATAAATAAAGAATGCTACCCAGTGTATCAATTACATGTATGAGTTTAGTTTTATCCCTCTTGTGGCCTTATCTTAGCCCATGGAGTCATGGATAAAAAAAACAAGAGGCCCATGGGCCACATCACTCACCTGAGAAGTTTTGACCATTCTGTTCTTTACCAGATTTCCCCCTTGTTATACATAATGCATCCCCACCCTACCCCACTGATCATAATTTAGACATTTTGAAATCTACACTACCCCATGATCCTTCCATGGGCACATATGTTTCAGCTTTTTTGGCCCAGTGGTTCCTGAGAAGAAGATTTTCAAATATTTTTCCTATATATTTCTATTTAACACTTTGATTCCCTATACTGGCCCCGCCCTTCCCCCGGGGGTCATGGTTCCTACAATTTAGAATTTACACTACCCAAGCATGCTTCCACATAAGCTTCACTTTTTCTGGCCAAGTGGTTCTTGAGAAGAAGATTTTCAAAGATTTTTCCTATATACATGTATTTCTATATAAAACTTTGATACCCCATTGTGGCCCCGCCCTTCCCCCGGAGGTCATGATGTGAATAATTTAGAATCTACATTATACCAGGATGCTTCCACATAAGTTTCAGCTTTTCTGGCCCAGTGGTTCTTGAGAAGAAGATTTTCAAAGATTTTTTCTATATATTTCTATATAAAACTTTGATTCCCCATTGTGGCCCCGCCCTTCCCCCGGGGGTCATTATTTGAACAATTTAGAATCTACATCATACCAGGATGCTTCCACATAAGTTTCAGCTTTTCTGGCCCAGTGGTTCTTGAGAAGAAGATTTTCAAAGATTTTTCCTATATATTTCTATGTAAAACTTTGATACCCCATTGTGGCCCCGCCCTTCCCCCGGGGGTCATGATGTGAACAATTTAGAATCTACACTATACCAGGATGCTTCCACATAAGTTTCAGCTTTTCTGGCCCAGTGGTTCTTGAGAAGAAGATTTTCAAAGATTTTTCCTATATATTTCTATGTAAAACTTTGATACCCCATTGTGGCCCCGCCCTTCCCCCGGGGGTCATGATGTGAACAATTTAGAATCTACACTATACCAGGATGCTTCCACATAAGTTTCAGCTTTTCTGGCCCAGTGGTTCTTGAGAAGATTTTCAAATATTTTTCCTATATATTTCTATATAAAACTTTAATTCCCCATTGTGGCCCCGCCCTTCCCCCGGGGGTCATGATTTGAACAACTTAGAATCTACACTACCCCAGGATGCTTCCACATAAGTTTCAGCTTTACTGGCCCAGTGGTTCTTGAGAAGAAGATTTTTTAATGACCCAACCCTATTTTTGTCTTTTCTTGATTATCTCCCCTTGCGAGGGGATATGTCCCTTCATTTTTACAATTTAAATTTCCCTTCACCCAAGAATGCTTTGTACTAAGTTTGGTCAAAATTGGCCCAGTGGTTCTTGAGAAGAAGTCGAAAATGTGAAAAGTTTACAGACGGACAGACAGACGGACGGACGACGGACAAAATGTGATCAGAAAAGCTCACTTGAGCCTTCGGCTCAGGTGAGCTAAAAAGCTAGAACTTTAAAATACAATGTACATGCAAAAGTTTGATAGTGGATGGAGATACAGATGTAACACAAAACCAAACACTTCTGAAAACAAGTTTAGTATCAAACTACTCAGAATATCATAGCATCTACGACAGACTGTACAGTATTAGTTAATATAAAATACATGTATAATAAAATGTATTTTGACACAAAAAGATTTCAATAACAGAGTAATGAAAAGCAACTTATTACTGCTCTATTGTTATGTTTTATATATTTTTAGTATGTCCTAGAGGTCCATGGCAATCAAATTTTGCTAAAGATCATGATTTAAACTTAAAAGATTAAAATCAAGAGGAAATTTACACTAAGATGATATGACACCACAACTGAAATACAGGAAACACAATCTAACAAAAATTATATATCTCTCTGGTGAATGAGAAAGGACTGTGAAGATCCCTGATTTCTACAGGAAATAATTGTTATCAGTACTTCACAGCCTGAAGAGTTCTCCAGTTTAATTGATTTACCCTGGCCTTAATCAGGAAACATCACATGAGCACTTACTGCAAACATCTGTAGTTTTTTCTGATGTGCCTCATACTGTTTTCTTTGCTGGTCGGTTGCAGCATTCAGGCCATTGAATCCTGCTCCAGTTAGCTGGTCAAAGCCTAAAAAAAATAAAAACATGGATGAATAGGTGCTAATGTTTTACATGAACATGGAGGTAAATACAACAAATGTTTGTAAATATCATCAATGCACGTTTACCGGCTGGCTTCTTTCTTAACACCTATGTTTTATAATTACCTGCTTGAGCATTCAAGGTATCCTCTAGGGATTCTAACTTGTCAATGCAAGTACTGAGATTCTGGAAAATAAATAGTGTGAGGTTTTTAACAAAAACAAACACAAAAACTGAAAACTAGAAACATATAATGCTCATTTGAGTCACCATTGCAAATAAATAAAATTTCCTTCTTAATATACACTTCAGATAATTTAAGGTCATAATTTCAACATTTTGAGCTTGTTGTATATTGACGCTCCATGTCTTCATTACATATTGTAAAATTTTTATTTTTTCTGGATGTTGGCATATTTCTGTTGAAAAAAGTACCCCAATTGTGGTCCAAAATAAGTCCCTAGGTCATCTTTGTACATAACAAACATGTGGGTGTTAAATAGCATATTAATGCCACAATACCACTGAAGCCCTGATCTCTTAACACAATTTTCCAATACCCAGTTGCTAGGTGGCTCACTTTCTTCAAAAGAATCACTTTATTGTTTTTCCCACTACATATAACAATTTAAATCTAATCGTTGTCCTTCTATTCTTGAGAAAGCAACTTAGGAAATACAGTGTATTTCTTCATAGATATAACTATAAAGAATTTTACACTCTCTTGTGACCCTAGGTCTGGGTATCAAATTTATATGAATGCTGTTCCAGTGGTAATATTGAAAATTTTTAAGTGACCTCACTCCAATTTTGCTTCTTGATTATCTCCCCTGCAAAGGACATGATCCTTCCAATAATTTAATTGTAATTTTTTAAATTCCCTTTAATCAAGGATGATCTGTGCCAAGTTTTATTGGAAATGGCCAACAAGTGTATTAACTTTACAGACAGGACAGATGGACAATAGAGATGCTCACTTCAGCTTACAGCTCAGGGTAACTGATTAATTAGCATGCATATTGCTAATTCCTTATTGTGCAAGACAATCATGAATTCAAAGTCCTCTTAAGTAATACAAAAGATAAAAAATGGAAAACAAATAAACTAAACTGTCAGACAATGGCCTCTGCCTACCTTGCTGCACTGATCCAGGTATCTGATGATCTGGTCCTGGTCATCATAGCAAATCTCCATTGCTTTTGCCTATAAACAATTGAAATAAATTGTCTTTTCAGTGTTCAAATTAAAATATCAAGTACACAGGTGTCACACTCAGTAGTATCAAATGTGCTGATCCATTTCAAAAACACATTTGAGAACTTTAAATAAGGTTTTCAGACAAATACTATATTACTATGTATTGTACCGGTATACGTGTCTCCTACAAGGCCAGCTAAATTCATTATTTTTATACAAAACTTTCAGTGATGAGCCAAGTTTTGTTATATAGTATGTATGTATGTAAATATTTTTTTGCTCTACCACATTAAATTTTTGCAAAGCTCTGTGTGATGAGCTGCGTTGGATATATTACATGTGTACCTCTACAGCCACAAACTGTTTCAGCAGCCTCTGTTCCTCCACCAGAAATCGGCACATACTGCAGATGAAAGGCTTGGGGTTTCTTTCATATATGTTCTACAAGTTAATGCCAGTAATCACTAATCAGTCAAAAAATTACAATATCTATTCTAGTTAATATTATGCAGTATGAACAAACTAATAAAATGCCTGAAACATCAGGTGGAACCATTTATTTTATGATATTCTTAAGCTGCATGAAAATGCAATGATCAGAATAAGAGCTGTCTGCTTTACAGGTAGAAAGCAAAGAAATGTGCAGGCCATATATGCATGGAAAGGATAGAAATCAACTTTACTTATCTCTTCAGTGTCAGATTGTGCCCCCAGCCCCTGTCTCCTCACCCCCAAGAAATCAATGATGCTTATTACCGGGGTAAACCATGAATGAAGTACATTATATTCAGAATGACTTTTGTCTAACAAAAATAGCTCATTATGTACAAGTATTTTTTTGCTGCATTTATACTAAATATAAAGATGAGACAATTTTTTATGCGCCCATAAACGAAGTTTCGGGGGTATATAGTTTTTGTCATGTCTGTCTGTCTATTTGTCAGCAAAAACTTTAACCTTGCCCATAACTTTTGATTTAGTGGAGCTATGATTTTCATATTTCACATGTGTATTCCTTGTGACCTTTCTTTGGGTACCACCAAATTTGACCTTTTGACCTTGACCTTGGAGTTTGACCCACTTCTACACAATAATTCCAAACATTTACTTTGACCATATCTTTTGAACAGTTGATACCAGGACTTTTGTACTTCATACATGTATTCTTTGTGAAAAGACTTTTCATTGGATACCAACGACTTTGACCTTTTGACTTTGACCTTGGAGACTTCCATACTTTTGAAAAAACTTTAACCTTGGCCATAACTTTGAACAGCAAGGGCTATGGCTTTCATTCTTCCCATATGTAATCCTTGTGTCTGAGGAGACCCTTCATTGGATATCAAGAACTTGAGTTTGACCTACTTTTAAAAAGCAAACCTTGACCATAATTTTTGAAGGGTTAAAGCTAGTGCTTTCATACTTTTTATATTTAATTCTTGTGACAAGACCTTTCATTTGATATCAAGAATTTTGACCGACCTTGGAGTTTGACCTTCTTTTTAAAATCTTTAACCTTAGCCATAACTTTTGAAGGGTTAGGGCTACGGTTTCCATACTTCACATATGTATTTTTTTGTGGCAAGACCTTTCATTAGATACCAGTTACCTTGACCTTATGACCTTGATGATTTCCATACTTATGAAAAAACTTTAACCTTGGCCTACTTTTATATTTCACACTTGTATTTCCAGTGAAAATACCCTACTTTGGGTACCATTATACACATGTATCAAATTTGCATTTAACAAAAGTTTAATCTTCGCTATGATGCCATACGGGGGCATCAGTGTTTCACAAACACATCTTGTTTTTTTTAAAATATTTTTATACTTAAATTCTCCATGGTATACATACCTTTATACTGTCGTAGATAACCCTCTGTGACAACCTCTGGGTCTGACCAGCATCTTCGTGTTCCAGTTTATCAAAGTGTTCCAGAATCATATCGAACATCAGTTTGTAGGCAGTGTCACTCTTTGGGTCTGATTCGTCATGTCCCATCACAAACTGCTCCCCATTTTTCCTTCAAAATTGAATGTCATAGTTAGTTTTAACAATCTCTTGCACCAATTATTTTGCTTCATGAATATTTAATGTGATTAAAAGTGATGAATTTTTACTGCTGAAAAAGAGATCACAGGGAACAGCAGTCTAAGAACCACAGAAAATTTAAAAATGCACAAAAAATGATGTAAAAGCTAAAACCATAAATATGTTCTCTGTGTTTGTAAAATTGTCTACATGCCAAAGGTGTACTGGATTTAATTAACCAATTTATGCAAAATCTGAATAACACTTCCTGTTACATCATGTTATGTTTTAGTGCACTATTTATGGCACAAGGACTTAAGTTCAAATTAATCATTTTCTATTTTAGTATCATTCTGTATTCTGTGTTCATTGACCCTTCATAATATGCAAATAATTTTCCTCAGTTTTAAAGCTGATCACAATTTGTAAAAGGAATGTGTCTGCCATTTTTGTTCGGAGAATTGCTATACCTGCCCCCCCCCCCATATAAAGGGCAGGACTTTGTCACTGTTCAGTGTAATCAGACGTATATGCTATATAGCACTCGGTAACAACAATAATAACGTAATACTTCGTCTAATGCAGCCAAGTAAGATACCAAAGAAACTTACAATTATAGTTGTACAGGTCAGTGCAGTATACAAACAAACACAGATACACGTAACTGCAATAAATGTAAACAAAGATAATGCAAGATATCCAGCATGAACACGGGTCGCCATTCCACGCCGATACCAGTGACAATAAAGTGGTCAGGTGTGACAAATCTGAAGAGTATACCCTGGTGTTGATGTATCGTATATAATGATATCAACCAGAAGTCTCTGTCGAGACTGTAGCTCTACTGGTTTGTACTTATCAAAAACCATTGCTAGCACTATTTTATGTATCATTGTGTAGTCTACTTGTGTCCCAACTTATTTTGAAATCAAACCAAAACTGTAGAAGGAGTAGCGTTTTAAAGGAATTTCACAGAAAATTCTATTTTTAGTAACCATGGTAACACCATTCATCGAAATCAAAAACCGATGCACTATTCTATGTATCATTATGTAGTCTACTTGTGTGCCAACTTATTTTGAAATCAAACCAAAACTGTAGAAGGAGTAGCGTTTTAAAGGAATTTCACAGAAAATTCTATTTTTAGTAACCATGGTAACACCGTTCATCGAAATCAAAAACCGATGCACTATTCTATGTATCTTAGTGTAGTCTACTTGTGTGTCAAGTTATACTGAAATCAGACCAAAACTGTAGAAGGAGTAGTGTTTTAAAGGAATTTCACAGAAAATTCTATTTTTAGTAACCATGGCAACACCGTTCATCGAAATCAAAAACCGATGCACTAGTCTATGTATCTTAGTGTAGTCTACTTGTGTACCAAGTTATATTGTAATCAGACCAAAACTGTAGAAGGAGTAGCGTTTTTAAGGAATTTCAAAGAAAATTCTATTTTTAGTAAACCATGGCAACACCGTTCATCGAAATTAAAAACCGATGCACTATTCTATGTATCTTAGTGAAGTCTACTTGTGTGCCAAGTAATATTGAAATCAGACTAAAATTGTAGGAGGAGTAGCGTTTTGAAAAATTGTTTACAGACAGACGGACAGACAGACAGACAGACGGACGGACGCCGGACGCATTACTATCGCATAAGCTCTTCTGGTCTCTGACCAGTAGAGCTAAAAATGGCATATGCCTTTATACCAGTCATGTTCAGTTTAAAGCAGAGAAGATTTTCAATGAAATAATGCATTTTCAATATATAATCTATTTAGCCCCGCCCTAGCACTAGAACCCCTGACCCTGGGGCCATGAATTTCACAATTTTGGTAGAGGATTCAATGCAGAATACAATCATGCCAACAGTTTGACTGCTTGATGTCCAGGAGCAGAGAAGAAGATTTTCAAAGAATTCATGTATTTTCACTATATAATCAATAGAGGGGGGGGGGGGGGGGGGGGGGGGGGGGGGGGGCACGAACCATGAAATTCACAATTTTTGTTCCCCTTCACTCATAGATGCTTTGTGCCAAAATTGGGTGATATTGGTTCAGTGGTTGCAGAGAAGAAGCTGAAAATGTTCAAATGTTAACACACGACAGACAATGGACGACACACGACGACGGACAAAAACAGATAGCAATAGGTCACCTGAGTTTACTCAGATGACCTAATGAAAATTAATACGCCTGAATATCATTGCTATCATGAAAATTAAATTACCATTCCTCAGAATCAAACAGATCCTTGCAGTTCAAACGGGTTTCCCAAATGTGTTCATCAGCTAACTTGTAGATGTCCTGCCAGCGCTCTCTGAATTTCTGATTATCTAAGCAGTAGCTAAAGACATCAGGCAAGGGTACTTCACTAGAGATCTCCATCTTAATTTTCAGATGATTATACTCCTGAAACATAAAAGACCTACATGTATATAAGTAATAAATGAATTGATACCATCATTTAAGAGTCAATAGCAATGACAGAATGAAAATAAGGTGAAGGGGTGGTAAAAGAAAGGGATAGGAGATTGGGAAGGAGACAGCAAAATATGTATGCAAAATTTAATACAAACAGTAATTTTTTTTTTCTCATTTGATTTAAGCCTATTGCCTGCTTTTATTTAAGGGAGGACCTATGTCGTTCTACGTAAAAGCAGCGTTATGTGACGTCACAATAGCGACGTTTGTTTTTTCCCCGCTGACTTTTGCAACTGTGATTATAGGCATAACATTGTTATTAATCAATAACGTACACAGTTTACAATAAGAAATTTTTTTAATCATTTTTAACAGTTTTATTTGATTTATGGAGTTTGTTAACATTAAAATTCTCTTAATTAGGTTGATAATTCATAGCAATTTCAGTTGTAAAGAAATACCTCCATGATTTACTGATAAAAAAGTGCAAAAAAATAGAAGATAAAATTCAGCAAAGAAAGCCGCTTAAATCAGGGAAATATGTTTGATTTTATGTTTACCATTACATGTCATTATATTTTCTGGATAAAACTAAGAAATGTACTTGCACCTATATTTACTTATTGATTTATTGTATATGTAGATTTTATTGTATAAAGTCATTCCTATGTTCTATAAGGCGTTGGTTGTTGACGGGGAAATGGGGGGGGGGGGGGGGGCAGAATGAGTAGAATGAAGAAGAAAAGACTTTATCTGTTTAAATTATTTCTAATCAAAACAAAATACTTGGTTTTTTTGCAAAATAGTTTTATATTCAGATGTTTGTAATTGCTTACTTACCTTTCTTTTAGTACAGAAAGGTCAATATTTATGACAGAAGAGTACGAAAATAAAAGAAAACGTCATATTTCTCGTTTATTTTATCATAAAGGTATACTTTTTTCTTTGTTAAAATAAAGAAAGGGGTCATTTCTTTCTAAAGATATGAATTAAAACATTTTCACACCAAGACTTTTTAAGATATTACCTGTTATGCATGTCGGAATTTTAAAAAATGCAACAAGAAAAACGGGGTGATACTTACATTGCGCTCTTTTATAATTTTTCATGAAAGATGAATTACAATGAATTTGCCTTCGTTTTAAAGATACAAGTCATATAAATTAAATACCTGTTGATTTCGGATGTGATTTGACGTTTTTGGTTCTTTTTAACGCATATTTGGAGTAGAACAATAATGTCTAAAAATAATCTATTTTTAGCTTTTAACACGTGCTCCTGTGTAAAAATAAGCATATAAAGGTATTGTTTTTAATACCTAAAAATTAAGAGCAAGTGGTCAGGAAGGAAATGTCAAAGTTTTGAAAATTTCACACAGACTTTTCGGACATAAGTCCCCCCTAAAAAAGGGAAAAAGACAACACCCTATTCTCTATTGAGAAGTTGAGGGGGGGTATTAAAACAAGCCATCAACTTCTCGATAGAAAATAGTTGAATCCACACTTTTCAAAAGTTATTTCCCTTTGCCACCATCTTTGGGGAGGGGGTACCGAGTTTCATTCGGAGTTAGATACCTTGTGTTATTATTATACTATAGGTTAAAAACTTATTTCTGAAACAAGTGCCTGTGGGAAAACCCATAGAATCTTCACAGTAGCCTTTATAGTTTACTGGTTTGAATTTTTTGTCATCTGACTGAAAAATTATGTACATCTTGTGTATTGATTGCCCCAGTCTGGGGCTAGACATATGTTGCGAGAAAAAAATTAAACACAATGGATTTATCAGAACACGCCAAAATGTTTGGCAGCATAAAGAGGAGAAATGTCATTTCTTTCCATTTGGTTGACCCCGCAAAGGGACACAACTTTTGCAAAGTTAGGATTGGACTATAGCAACACCCCAACCTCCCCCTCTGTCCTGATCAGTGGCGGATCCAGGACCGGAATATTGAAAGAGGGGTGACCAGTCTGGATTCGGAGCTGCGGCCCAACAACCACACCAAAAAAAATTGATTTATTAAACCTTATGTATATTTTAGACAAAAAAGGGGGAGGGTACCCCCTCCCCATTTTTAATCTGCCAATGCTCGTATAATTTATTGAAATTTGCATACAGAACACTCTAGCTAAGCTCATTATTTATTCGTGTTATTTTTTTTAACATGACCTAATTTTTCTTCCAGACAATAACAACACATTCTAGATGTAGTTAAACTTAATGACAATGTACACTTTATCACTATCATTACGTTATCATAATACTTGTTTATATTTCACATAAATACCCGACTTTATTCTCTAACCTGGCTAAACTTAATATTTGAAACAATACTTACAGTCTCATGTCAATGGTTAACCGAGTTCCGCGTTTCTCTCGGAAATGAGAATATTAAAATATTGACCTCGGCATTTCCAGTCCATTTTCAGAAAATGTTTGTTTACATTTCTATACGGTCCTATGATAAATCCAGAGAGTAAGAATTCGGAACTCTTCTAGACAAGTGCGCGGATCTAAGACCTTTTTTTTTTTTTAATGTCACAACACATTTATATAACATCTTTAAAGACAGCAACTTTCGATGTAATATCACCAGACATAAAAGGCATAAATGAAGGTTAATCAACGAAAGGCCAGGAGACCGTAGGAAAGAAGGGAGGGTGACGTGGGCGGGCCGGGGGGGGGGGGGTTAACGAAAGTTTTTACATACTGCTCAAGATACATGTATGTTACGTTTAATAAAATTCAACAGTTAACACAATATACATGTGTCATTTTCGTTCTTCTAAAATAAAATAAAAATAATGGGAGATATGTGAGAAAGAAAAAATCCAAAAAGAAACCGAAAAAATTCTGACTGAATGGCGCTTTTTTACAATATTGAAAAGCTCATTCGGTACATTAAACAGTTATTTAAAGTACCATGTTGACAGAACGTATGCTGATGTTCTAGTGCTGCAACGATCGAAAAATTGGAGTTTGACCTTTTATTCTGAATTATAAAAAAATAAACTTTGAAGTACGAATGTAAAATAAAATAAATTTTAAAAAAATTAAAATATTGCTAGAAGTTGCCCTTACCATTATGCTTTTTGTACAGCAACAACCAATATCAAGCATGGATTTCTATTAGATATCCTCCTTAAATAAGGTTTAAATTATACCATGGAAATCCCATTTGAAGACGTTATTGCACACATCTTTGGGCCAATAGTACTAGTTGTCCTATATTTTTGGGATATATATTCGTACTTATCCATATATATAAGGCTCTTCCTTTTGACCTAAAATTGTAGGTGAAAGTTCAGAAGTGAAGTGTACAAGTGACTCAGAATTACTATGAATCAATCTTTACAGAAAGTTCTCTGTACAAGGAAGGAAGTAGTTTAATTGTGGATAAGAGATATTTGGAGTGTCCAAATATACAATTTCATGTAGTATTAAAGGGGGGTCAGTGTTCCCTCCCCTGATTCCTTCTACCGCCAATAATAGTAATACGCATAGGTATTGAAATGTTCATGCACCTCCCTTTCAATGCAAAAAGTTAGTGGAGTTTGGGCCTTTTTCTGGGTCTAGTCAGAATTTTTTTTCCTTCAGACACTTAATTATAGCTTGTAAATTATTTTCCGGCTACCCTCCACGCCTTTTTATTCAAAAGAAATGACCTCGAATTCCTCTTTTCTATATAAAATTAATCACTGTATATTACATCGTTGTTTAACTATAGAAAGTTTACTTAGAGTAAGCTTTTTTTGCGTCCATATTTTGAAGAAGACCATTGTCAACCATGACCATTCGTTTTCTTCTACATTTAGGGTGGGGGGGTGTAAAATAAGAATTTTGGATAGAGAGACTAGTTTAATTTATCATTTATGAGACAAAGGATAAGATTTTTTCCTTAGAAACCACTGTTGAATTAGAACATATCGTGAAATAGGAGACATCTCAATATTTCTTTTTGAATGTGACGAAGAAAAATTAAGTAAAATTGTCCTTTTCGTTTATATTAGCCCTTGCTCCCTATATTTTTCGAGATTTTTTACCCAACCTTCTAAAAGATGTTTTGGTCTCGTCTTAATAAATCACATGTGTTGGGACATACGTCTTTATTCATGTACAGTAGAAGTTGCATGTATGAGACCATGCAGGGCTTCATGGCTTAGCATGTTTAGGTTAAACTTTTCCTCAGGGCTTTTGCTGAACGACTGCTTTATAAGAAAAAAGCCAATATGCTGATGGATTCGATCAATATTTATTAAACGATATGCAATATACAGAATGATAATGTTCCAGTTTATAACATAAATTAACCCCCATTCCTTCCATATTTAATACTGGTTTCACGGATTCCAATAAGTTTTGGTAACAAACACCTAAACATATAAATTATACCTGTATACTTGTTCATGGACTCCATAATTTGGGTGATAAGCATCATAACCGTTTATCGATACCAATAAATTTGAGCTCCAAATAACAAAGAAATATTTTTGTTTTTTATTTGACAATAGCTTCATTGATGATTCTATAAAAGAATTAAGGAATGTCCTCCTCGGTCCTCTCAACTGATTCTGGATTGTAAATATTGTTGCTGGATTTCCAATGCACGATTATACATCGGAAGGTCTAATCCGTCCACACACCTCATGATACTGGCTTTAATAACTGGGCCATTCTTTGACGGTTCCAGTTCCCCAATCGCCTGAAATAGAGAGCCAACTGTTCCCTCCAATGGTTCAACAAGGGTAGTGTCTATACACACAGAAGAATTTGACTGCGGGTCGGACAAAGTAGCCTGTCGTTTTACACAGTTATGATGAGTTAATCTGTAGTAAAGAAATTAATTTATACATTACAGTAAAATTAAATGAGATCAGATTATTATATACACAGTTATGCTTAGTGATCACTAATAATAGTGTATACATCTGTACCGTAGACAAGAAACAGTCCCTTTAATTACTTTATTCACATGTAAGCACCAATTAATCACATAACAAATATTGGTTCGAAATATCTGGCGTTTCCCAGACTTTTCCATACTTTTTTTTTACGATTTCGATATTTTACATACCAGGAAAACGTCAGAACCCGTGCGAAATTCGTCACCTCCAACTATAGAGGTGGCATTCTTGGGTTGATTTTCGATATATGCATGCAAACCGAAGTAAATATCAAACTTATAAAATGTTTAATACTTTTAGTACTTACCAACAACGTTGATATGGAGTGTTTACAAATGAGATATACAGTCAGGTGAAAACATTTTATCTGACTGCCTATACATAGATAGCTTTGTTTTCATTTCGTGCATTTTAAAAATCTTGCAAGACCTGTAGCGAAATATGGAGCGATATTTTCTTGTCATCAATATGGAGTGAGTACTAAAAGTACTCTGCTATTGAGAAGCTGTGCACGTGAGTTCCACGTTTAATTCGGTTCTCAAGTAAATATATCGAAAATCAGCTCCAGTTGTAATGCGCGGTATTCAATTTGTCGGCACGGTCAGGTATGTTATAGCACATCAAAAAATATGAATTCAATGGTTAAATATATGAAATAGGGACCAACAAGTTAGGTTATTATTTTATTTAATACCTCTCACAGGGAATAATATTCATTTTAAACGCACCAGTCCGCAGCCAGGGCTGCGTTCAGTGTAGTTGAGACTTCGTTAGGCCTACTCTTGGACTATCCTAAGACTAGGCCAAGCGTGCACTTAGGCGCTACAAATGGACAAGAGCTTGACTAGTGACATGTTACAACTTAGAAGCTAGTGCATATTTAACAGTTTAATATAACTGTTTAAGTAACTGTTTACGCAAGATATATATAGCCAGCTGGCTGCTACGCTATTAGCCTAGCATGTATGTATGAACAAATAAATTCATCGACGATGGCTTAGATTTAGCTCGCCTTGATATACCTGATTCGGTATTTTAAGACAGGGACCTATTATATAACAGTTACAGGGTGATAAGACTTATCTCTGATAAAAAAATACCTTCCTGTGACTCTGATATTTCTAACTCTGCTTGTCAAACTCACAGATTCCTCCAGTGGAATGCTCGATATAGACATTACTCTCCCACACTCGGGCAGGTCCATGTTTTACATCTCCCGCCAAATTTATTGTAATATTCGACAAATGTGGAAAGTAAATATCCGAAAAAAAATTGTATCATTCATTCTTTGATTTTTAAAATATATTCATTCGGGCATAAAAATTTCATATAATTACAGAATATAAATCTGTACGTTTTAAAAACTTTTTTATGTGCTCATTTTTAAAACTAAAATTACATTCCGGAAGTATTTCCGGTTTTGTATTTTAGTATTTCCTGCCAAATAACATCGGTGTTGTGATTCGCCGAGAGACTAAAAAACAAGGTGACTCAAATGTAGATCATTTTACTTACAGAAGGTAAGTAATTCATATGATAATTATTTCTTTCATTAATATTTCAAGGTGAATCATTCTGCAGTGTTAGAATGAAAGAAATATTGTAAAAAACAGCTTCAGTTCCCATAACAACGGCGGAAAATAGTGCTTCAGTCGAACCCCGTGTAGGTGTAATCAAGATGGTGGAAGATCATCTAGCTATCCGATTACAACTTATATATTTGGGTTATACTGGTATTTACTTTATATGTTAAAGAATGTTGAGTAAATCTCAAATACACCATAAATTCCTTTATGCAACAGAGTAATCAAAACAAACAGAAACACTTCGCCTGAACATCAACATATTATTTTCTTGAGTTTTTTCTTGATGCAGGATGATATTAAAATGTATTTTTAGATTTCTTTATAAATTTTCCAAATTAGTTAACAAGAATTTGTTCCAATACATGTCATAAGATAGAAAATATTTGCATGAAAGTTATTTGGCAATTTTCCCAGAAAAAAATGGGTGTTAGCTGTTCATGGCCACAGGCAAAGTTAAAACAAATGAGAGATCTGTAGGGCTGAACATTTTGTGACTTTTTTATTATTTGGGAAGGGTTATGCACATCTTGAGTGCATGTTTGTATATTCATGATGTTTTTTCCCTTGGCATCTGAAAACGCTCTCATTTGTTGTTTTAAACTGTTTTCATTTCACTTTAGGTTTGTATTAAGAATGAACACCTTTGGTAAATGCTAAGGAAGGGAAAGGTATATCCATGACGACTTATTACAGTCGCCACAATATGCCAGGTGTTCCTAGATCAACAGGATACACAGGAGGTTATAGCAGCGGTACTAGAACTCTTCCTAGACAGCGTGCGTCCAGCTTAAGTCGAGAAAACAGTGCATCAAGGCTTTACTCTTCAAGTACTAGCAGGTATTTTAGAAATTTACAGCCTCCAAATTAAATTATAACATTTATCTAGATGCACAGCAACAATTGTATGATATATATAATCACATTCTTGAAATACTGTAATACAAAAGCATTGTATTTGTGCTGTTTTCTTAAAAATAGCTTTGCCGTATTGAGGATTTTGACATCTGATCAGTTTATAATGAAAAATCAGAAGAATATGTTTGCTGCTCTTTTCATATAAGTAATGTAGATATTTCATGACAATTTTTATTGTTTTATCGGTAGTAAACCTAGACCACTTCCGAATGGCCCAGGACCCCTAGACAGCTATGGCAGAAAATTAGATGGCACAAGTTCCTACAAGATAAAAACTACCTCATCTCCCCTCCGTCCTACTGGACCACTCAAGGCTACCAGTGTATATAGCAGTTCATACTCAACTTCTTATGGATCAGCGTACGGTTCAGGAACAAGTTCTGGGTCAACATCAAGGCCTGATAGTGGAATAAAGCACAGGCGATCCACAAGTATATCAAATATTAGTGATTCATTGTCAGATGTCAGGTTAGACAGTGAATCGAGAAGATCAAGGAACAGAGAGGAGGCTAATGGACTCTCATCATACAGGACGGAATATACCCCAAGGAGTTCCAAGACCAAACCAGACAATGATAAAAATGATGATATATTCAGTACATCAAGAACAAGTTCCAGAAACAGTAAATTTATAAAGGATAATTCTATTGAGTTGAATGATGATAGCTACACACCATCAGTGAGCAGGAAGAGAGATGCGAGTTTGCCTCCCTTGTCAAGGAGGGACTCCAGTCCTCTGGACTCGAAGCCCTCATTCACAAGACAGAGTTCTGTTTCTCCTCCAAGTGTCAATGTAAGTTAAGTATGGTTTAATTTTTCTGGAAATTTAATACCATCAAAACTTGTTATCTAGTACTAACTGGAACCAATGAACAACTTCACGATACCTGGGGATTTGGGATATTGCGGCTAAAATAGTGATTTTGACTTCCCAAACCCTTGGATTTATCCACAGTATTCAAATTATTGTTTGTCAAGATATCGAATTTCAACTGTTTTTTCAAGATTCATGATACCTACAATTTTTATTTTGAAATCCCAGTAAAGGTTGAGAGTTGTTCATGAATGTATTCTAAAACTAATCAGCTTAACAGGGTTAGAGAAATAAAATCTTGTAGAACTATTATTATTAAATATATGTTTTATGCTAAAAAAAATTTTTCAACAGGGTTCCATGTCTCAACATATGAATGGTGGAAAAGTTGGTCTCAGGAACTTGGGAAACACTGTAAGTTGACTTGGTTGAAGCAGTATTATATTGTAATCACTCTGAATTCATAAATAGAATTATTTGATTTTATTTTTCTAATGGGCAATAGCTTTATGTTTATGGTTCATAGGCCCTCTGTTCTGTCATATTTAAAAAAAAATTCTGTTAAAAACACAAATGATTTAGGAAAATGAATTATTCTATAATTAGAATGAACATGATATTAGAAATACATTAGTCAAAATTGAAAGAAATTTGAATTTAACTTGACAATAAAAGATTAAAAGTAAATCACCATAGTGAGAGTTATCTCTCTTTTTAGGGGGTCAGTGAACCTTGAAAAATTAAAACTCAGTTTTTGACAAATTGTTACCTTTTTTACAGTGTTTCATGAACAGTGTACTGCAGTGCCTTAGTAACACCAAGCCTTTGTTAGAGTATTTTTTAAAGGAAGATTACATTTTGGATAAAAACACTAGCACCAGTTCTATGAAGGGTCAACTTGTCACAGGTAACTATAAAAATAAATTTGTCATGTTAACTGATGCATGGTACCAGATTTTTCCAAATGTTATGCTACCAGAATTTATTTAATTTACGATACATGAAGTGTTTTATTACATCAGTAACTTAATATCCATATATTTTACAAGTAACATGGAGGATGAAAGACTTTTTTTTGGAAAAAATAATTTAGATTATCCATTTAAGTTCTTTATGTATGTATTGTAGCTTATGCCAATTTGATGAAATCAATGTGGGCAGAAAGAAGCGATTCCCATGTGTCTCCAAATGCCTTCAAGACACAAATTCAGAGGTTTGCCCCGAGGTTCATGGGATATGCGTATGTATCTATGTTATTTTTTTAAAAATAAAACACAAGTCCTACGTACAATAGATCTGAGAAGTCAAATCTTTGTCTTTGTATTACAGCCAGCAGGATGCCCAAGAGTTTCTGCGATATCTTCTGGAGGGCCTACATGAAGATGTGAACAAGGTTACCAGTAAACCTAAGCCTGTCACCATTGATGATGACGACTTTAGCAAGTAAGTCTGGAAACAGCTTTGTATTTTATAGATCAGCTGAGTACTTGTTAATTTGATGAAAGTAATTTACAAGAATTGTTTGGGGAGAAGAAAGAGTATTCTGTAAATGTTAAAAAAATTCTTGTTAGAAAATCAGATTATGAAGAAAATTCAAGAAATACATACTATTAGGTATAAGACTTAAGAGTGCAAAAGTTCCTTCCATATTGTTATCAAGCATTAGATATTTGGTTGCTGCTGGCACATATCATGTCTGATGTTACAATGTCATTTTATTCCTTTCCAGTGATCAGGACAAGGCCAAAGAATACTGGAGAGTTTATCTTACCTATGACAACAGTCATATCGTTGGTAAGTACATGCCTACTTCATTGAGAAAATTGTATTTAGATGATTGATGTACCTATAATCTTGTATCTTGTTATTGGTCTCAGTACAGTATACTATATAAGTGTTTGGAAAACAGTCACATTTGCTTGTTTAATGATCTGTATCATTCATTCATTTTAAAATATGATATATCTGTAAAACTGTAAAAAGAAAGAACATACATGTACAATCTTTTTTTATAGCTGAGTATTTTGTTATCTTTTCTTTATAGAAATATTTGTAGGCCAGTTGAAAAGTGAGCTGAAGTTTGATTGTGATCACCGTTCAGTGACCTTTGACCCTTTCTGGGATTTGTCTGTTCCAATTCCTAAAGTTAGTTTAGCTGTAAGTATTAACATAGCCTAATTAGCAATTGAAATAAATTGAAAAGAAATTGATTATTTCACGTTTGAATTGAAATTATAATAAAATTATGAAATGTTTACAGATGAGAGGTGATGCCAGCATTATACAGTGTATAACAGCTTTTATGAAGGCAGAAGTATTGGATGGGGATGAGAGACCAGTAAGATCTTTTTTAAAATAACATATATATTTAGAAAATGGCTTTTTCTTGAAATTTCAAAACGAGATAGGTTTCTATTCATAAACCTCAGCCCCTAGCCTGTTACAAATGAACTCTGACCCTTTACTTTGAAATATTGGGAAAACAAGCATCATAAATCTAAACATTGTTATTGCTGAGTGATTTTTATAATGCATCTTGTACATTATGCTTGAAGATAAATTTGTAAATTATCAACATAATCAAGCTTAAGGAGGCTATGGGGTAAACAGATTATTTTTTTATTAACCACCAGATATAACTTATTTTTTAGATATGATATCTTGAGCTCTCAACTATCATTTGGCAAAGAAAAATTTCATAAATTGTAGTTTTAAAATTTGATCATTTTATTGTATCTTTATATGGAGCTCTTCTTCTAGAGGAGATCAAAATAGTCTAAAAATGGCCACGACCACCCAGCCTCTTTAAGTGTGTGGTACTCTTAAAGTGTTTGTAGTTTTATTTCCTTATAAACTTTGTCAAAACTGCCTCCATAGTATTGATATGATAACATAAGTCCACATTCTTTTTGATAACCCCTCATATACCAGGTATGTAGATTAAAGTTTACTTATACATGTATAGGATTATGAATTTTGGAATTTTCTTTCAGACTTGCTCAAAGTGCAAGAAGAGAATGCGCTGCACAAAAAGTTTTTCCATACAACGATTTCCTACCATATTGGTATTACGTATCCTTAATGAGTCATGAAAATATTGGGTTGTTTTACTCACAGTTATATCATTCTTATACCCTTTCATTATAAGAAGAAAAGGCCCAGTTGAGTCACATATAGAAATATCATTGTAAATTTCACGAGACTTTTAATATTTAATACTAGAAATGGTTAGTGGACAGTTTCAAAAAGAGTTTTACATGTATTACTGGATAATAAATAATGCATAACTACTTGAACATATGTGGATGTATCAGTGGACTTTTGAATTGCAAAATATATATATATATATATCATTCTCTGCATCTGACAGGTAAAAAGAACTGTCTCAAAACATCCTAGGTTTTATGTAATTCAAGAATAACAGGTATTTCGGTATATCAGGGTTCAAAATTAACTTTTGTAAGCACTAGTCTGTACAGACTTGTGACTTCTAGTTATCTCTGGTCCGTAAAGCATTTGACTAGTCCGCCTTTTGTATTATGATAATGATAGTGTACCTGTGATAAACCTTTTTTGTGAATTTATTTGAAGCTTTTTGACCTCCTACTGTGGTTTTTGAGTTCATGCATTTTGCTAACATGTATATCATGGACTGATCCTTAACACCATACAGATTTAAAAAGATTTAGTCAGGGCAGGTATAGCCAGAAAGTGTCCACATGTATTGACTTTCCACAAGTTCTGGACATGACAGAATACTCATCAGAGAAAGGTGAATATATACAAAACTATACATGTACATGTTTTAAACTGTCAGATTGAAGTGTAACCGCAGCAGAGTCCCCTTAAAAATTATTTCCAGTAATTAATGGATGTACTTGTTTGTATTTTCTAGGCATAGAAAGTGTATTTGATATGTTATGTGCTGCATCCATATTCCTTTACATGTTTATTTAGGAATCTGTGGACATTTCAATATACAGTTTGTTTTTGATTGATAATTTTCAGGTGGAAAGCGAGTCCTATACAATCTGTATGGAGTCAGTAATCACAGTGGAGGGGTACATTCTGGTCACTATACAGCCAACTCTAAACACCCCTACAGCGGAGAATGGCATGTCTTCAATGATACCAGGTATGTTGTACATTTTAACTGTAAATAATGACAATACGGGATTTTTTGTCTGATAGTAATTGAATTGTTTTTTGTGTAGAATCTTTTCTAGGATAAGCATGTAGTGAAAATGAGCTGTATACTATAGTTTATAAGGTTTTACAAAATGTGCAAAAAAGAAATTTCTGTTTTGGTCGAGTATGATTTCCATTGATACATACTTCCTTTCACAGAGAAGTAAAACTTGACCATCTTAATTATTGCATTGATTCTTGTTGCAGGGTCAGCCCAACAAGTGCTAGTCGAGCTGTCTCTTCTGAAGCTTATCTCCTGTTTTACGAGCGCACCTTTGACACATCTCGTCTATGATTTAAAGTCTGTAGATAGTCGTAGGAAAGTGTATCAGCATTATTTGAGCAGTTTATTACTAATCATGGCACTAACAATCATCAATGTTGGCAAATGAACACAATTCTTTCTCCTTTCCAACATCAATTTTATCCTTTCTGTCCTCCCTGTTACTTCGTGTTATATTTTTCTCGCTGGTTTATTCTGAAATTTTTAAATACATGTATATTTTCCTTGGACAGTTCAGATTATGTGTATTTCTATGAGTGTATGTTATTTCAGTTTAAATTCTTTTAAACTTGTTACTACATTTTCCCACACATCTAAAGATTTTGTCAATATGCAAAGTTGCATTGATCAGATGCATTGTTAAATAAAATCAGTCTATGCATTATCATAGATTTGTTTATATCAAATTGTTAGTGATTGTTATAAGATATTGCTGTTTATTACTGTTATCATTTCTAACAATAGATAAAAATCAAAGTTGACAAAGCGATTCTTTAAAGTATTATTATGAGTTTATGATTATTATCATAGTTACCAGGTAAGAAAAAAATACACTGAAGAGATAAACATGTGCAGGTTGTATTTGTTATTACTGGACATTATTACTGCTTTTAGAAGCCCTGCTTTATCATACATACATTGTATATTGAAAACTGATCTGTACAGTGTTGGTTCTAATTTATTAATTTATTGGAGTGATGATGAATGAATGTCACTGTATTATAAACGTATGAGAGCATAGAGCATTTATAGCTGTTGGTAGGCCATGTAGAACAGCACTTTTACAGGAACAAGCAATCTGTGATACATTATTTAAGGCACAGTTTGAGCTTTACTATTGTTTTTACGTGCACAAAGAGGTTTAAATATTGAGATATTCTCTGATTTTATTTATTGTACTGGAAGATAAAAGAAATATTCATATACATTTGATGTGTGAATGATATGATAAATAGATGAAAGAAAAATGTTTTTTTGAATTGTTTGAAATGGCCCCGGAGTAATTCAGAAATGTTTATTGACTTCATTCTTATCAACAGAATGAAATCTTGTTGTTTTGGTTTAATGTAAGATTTCATGTGCTTCCTTTTATTACTTAAATTCTTTTTACACTTTTTAAAGTACATGTACAACTTTGTATAAAGCATGTAATGTAGTTCAGGATTAACAAAATCTAATGTGTCTTGTTTTGACACATTTTTGTCATGGTTACACAGTTTTTTGAGCACTAAAGTGAAGATATTTTACATCAGAACAAATTTTATACCATGGATTTTGTTTTATCAGGTGTTTTGGTGTTTTACTCATTTTACAAAATATTTTCATATTTTTTGTTAATTTAAGTCCTTCATTTTAAAGTATTTGATTGATATTGGCACATAATGGCATTTATTGTTGAACAGTTTGCCCTTCTTGCTAGCTTTTTTATGTACATTGAATTCTTTGGGTATATTTGCTTTTCCATCTATATTAAAAAAGTTATTGTGATCAGTGCTTTACTCATAAGTTTATTTCTTTGATGATAAATTTGTCCTCCAATTTTATTTGTACATACAGTATATCCATTTTTTGTCCTGAATGTGACATTTGACACAAACCGTCCATTTGTTTTGTTTTTTCATGTTTAGTCATTTTACCTTTGTGCACCTATGTATTTAATGTTTATTTTGTTGCATTCTTTTGTGTTCATTCTTAAGAGGTCATGAATATGTTTCCCTATAAAAATTCACTAAATGAAGTTTTCTCTCTTGCATACTTAATGATACTTTATAGATATATTCTTAAATGCATTGTATTTTAGCTTTGGTTTTAAAGTAAATCCGAGACTGTAGAATTTATATTTTATGGTTCTTTTTTGGGGGGCATTGGGGGGGGGATTAATTATTTATTCTCTTTATTTGTAATGTGGGTACAAGGAGAATATTCCTTTCTGTTATAAATGTGTTTAATCATACCTTCATGTCAAATGAAAATGTAAATAAATGTTAATTGTATACACCTATTTCAAACATTTAAAAAGTCACTTTTTCAGTTTTCTTGATTTAGTTCTCAAGATTGTTTGGCAATACACTTACATGTATACGTTTTTGAAAAGGAGAAAAAGAAAAACATATAACTTGAGCAATATCTTGTTTAAAAAAGAGAGAGGTCGATAAAAAAGAACTTTGCATCATTTATGACGATATAGAGATTTCATTAGATATAATACAAGCTATTGTTGCTTTGAATTAATTTTATGTACATTAGTTTTATGACAAACTGTATTTTAGCATTTTTTAAGGATCACATTTACGTATTTATAGATAGTAAATCAGTGAAAGATTTGTTGATTAGAGTTTACTATGTATCCCATTAAAACAAGTTCAGGGGATGTACAAGAATGAACATATCTCTATGATTGCTCTACTTCATATTACATTTGTTGTCTGAAACATCAGGTCATTAAATACATGTGCAAAGATTTCTCTTGGAAAGGGTGTCCTAGGTCAAGGTCAATGTGATGAAGGCAGGAAGACCAGCATTGCTAAAAATTAAGAAAGAAAAAAATCTGTGTTTTCCAAAAGTTCATACTTGATACAACAGAAGGTACATAAATTAGCCAGAGATGGATTATAGACATGAAGTAAGGTCATTGGGAAAGGTCAGAGGGATTGGGTAAGGTTAAACAAGGTCAAAAGGAGAAGTAAAGTCATTGGGCAAGGTCAGAGGGATTGGGCAAGGTTGACCTTGGATTGGGTAAGGTTTACCAAGGTCAAAAAGAATTGGCAAGGTCAAAAGGAAAGAGAGTAAAATTGTTATGCAGATCATTACTTGGTAAAAGTTTGTGTTTACTTGACCATCTGTATATAATAAACATGTATTAATGACACTGAATCAATGTCAAGGAAACTGGAAATGTGGTCTTGTCACAATGCAAGAACTAAAGATGACTCTCCTTAATAAGGTCAGAGTGATATGTCATTACTTAATATTTGTGTGAAATATTTGAGTTTTTATTTACTGTACATTGTTTTCAGTGCATGTATGGTACTGATCCAGTTTTTTTATTTTGTTTCAGTTAAAAAGAAGGGGGGGGGGGTATGAGCATGGAATACTAACAAATATTGAAGTCTCTCAGCAAAACATGGATAATGGGTACATGTATATTGTACATATATCAAATTGTGAATATTTTTACACTGCTCTGAATAGAGTTATGATTGTTACTCTCTTAGATTGAATAATAATTATTCACTTGCCTTTATTAAATACAGTCATAAAATTTTTTGATTTTATTTTATATGTATGAGACCAGAAAAAGATTAATAAATCTAGAAAATGGTTTACAATGAACATATTCGATGGAAATTACCTAGAGATATGAATAGAAACTTTTTTTGTACAATCACTGCCAATTTCAACCAAACTTGGGATAGAGCATCCTTTCAAAAAAAGATTCAACAATATAAATAAAGGGCCTTGCCCCTTCCAAGGGGATTTATTAAGAACTTGGAAAAACATGGGATGAGGAAAATAAAAAAAAAAATTCAGAACCACTTTTCCAGAAAAGACAAAACCCTATGAAACACTGATAGTATAGATTCAGATTTATTCTTTAACTAATATCTACTGAATAAGATTGGGTCCATAAAAGAGAATCAAGATTTTAATAAAAAAAAAATCCTCCAAAACAGAAAGAGCCTGTTATTGAAAATAAAGAATCCCTATGTTGTGTGGATTCAAGTTTGGTAAATTCATGTCCAGCGGGCTATGGTTGAGTCATGATATCAAAGTTTTTCAAAGTAATAGAGGGAAAATCTACTTAAAAGAACAGCTAAGCCAAGGTGATTTGATTGATTTTATGTAATTGTTTTATGCCCTGTTTGAGAATTTTTTATTCATATAGAGATAGCTCAATATTATACCGGTGAAGGGCTTCAAATTTAGACCTTTACTAAGCATTCAGGACTGTTGAGCAGTGAGGGTACTTTATCGTGCCAACACCTACCATGACACAGGGCCTCTGTTTTTAAGGTCTCATCTGAAAGACATGCAACTTTCATTTTGAAGTGCTAAGGGCTTGGCAAAGAAACAGTTGCTTCCCATTTTTTATCAACCGAGGTGATTTGTAAGAGTGTTGTAGCATTATTGAGCCCCTTATATGTTTGATTTATGTCTCAAGAATGTTTTACTCACATGGGGAAATTGGAAGGCTATTTTAGATGTACCTTGCACTTACTGTCATTACTTGAGCTGTGAATTAAGGAACACCTTCTGTACATGCAACATTGGTTAAAGCTGTCTTATTAAGAGGAAGCTAATAGCAATAATCTCCACATCCTACAGGGCCTTTGTATCAATTTGATCTTGGTCTTAAGCTTGTCATTTTCCCTATAAAAAAGATGGGGGGGGTGTACAGAAGTCACTGTCTATCATTTCATCCGCATAGCTGTCCATACAATCGTAAGCTTGTCCGGGCTATAACTTCAAACAGAGAATCATTAGAATCTCATTTTTATATAAAATTTGCTTATTACATGTACTTGAAACTGTGTCATGACCTTGACCCAGTCTATAGCAAGTTTGAGGTCACTGGCAGAAAAGGATATAACTTAGCAGCAGAGAATCATAGTAAGGTCATATTTAGCACACTGTCAGACCTTTTCATGGTCAGAAAGTGTCTCATGACTCATTGTAAAGCCATTATGGCAAGTTAAGTTTAAAAAGTATCAAATTCCAGTCGGAGCAATAACATTTCATTGGAAGGTCATTTTGGTACAGATATTGTTTAAAACCAGTGGGTATGAAATGACCTTGACAAAAGGTCATCTGGTGAGTTCAAAGTCACCCATAAAAGAATAATAAGATTTGTACAGGCTATATCTTTATAAAGAAGATTTAATTGAAGCCGATACTGGCACAGAAATTGTTTACATCTGAAGGAGACACAGGACATTTTGGTAAGTTCAAAGTTACTGACAAAAGAGAAAATTCTTGTCTCGGCTATACCTTTACAGTGGAGAATCATTGGAAGCTCATACATGTATACTTATGAACAAATAGTTTAAATACATGTACTTCAGGCTGTGTCATGACCTTGATTCAAAGTCTTTCTTGCAAGTTCCAAGTTACTGGCAGTAAAAGTGTGAAATTCTTATCCCAGCTTTACTTTAGCAATGGCGAATCACTACAAGCTCATATTAGGTACTAAGATCATATATGACATGGTGTGTCACAAATTGCTCACGGTCATTCTGGCAAGTGAAAGGTCACTGGTAAAAAAAAAAGTGTAAAATTTATGATAAGTCTACTATTTTCATTTCAAGTCTACCTCTCATTAATAATGGGACAAATCGAATCTCAATCGCATTCATTAGAAAACATTCCTGCTTCTCATGGCAATTTCACTCATAGAAATGAATTCAAAGATAAGAGTGAGTATATTTTTTTAATTTGCTGGACATTTAATATTGACATAAAATTAATCTATGGTAGATTTTCATGTCAGAATTACACAACATGCTGTACAAGAGATGACAGTTTATACATAGCTGCAAGACAAATAATCAACAAACTCTATATACCTGATACTTGTACACTTTCAGATGTGCATTCATAATTTTCTATGCTTAACTTTATCTAAAACAACAAATATTTTTGAGAGGAATATTAACTTGTACTAGTCTATATGAAATGAAGTAATTAATTTGACAGAAAACAATTTATTACAAGTACATTGTAATACATTGCAGGTACATGTACTTGTATGTATAATCTTTTTCATACATGTAACTTGTTGGTGATAAAGCTCTACAAATAATGGCAGTTTCCTTTGAGAAGCTGATGACATATTGTACATTTACAGTATTGACATTCAGTTTCTATATCAGATGATAGTGATGGAGAAATTATATTGGTTGACAAGGGTTTTCAGTGTAAATAACAGGTAAAACATAATGACATCACCAAATAAAATAAAATTCATGAAAATTATGCCTTAATTTAGTTGATATTACATACTCTATGCACTTTTTTTCTATTCTTAATTTATTCATATTGACCTATATAAAGAACTTCCCAAAAAATATACAGAGGCAACTTGGACACAATGATAAATTAAAATGTAAGACAGTTCAGTAGAAATCAGTGGTTAAAGCATACAAGGAGAATATTAACTACAGTGTATTCTGAATCATTTAGTTTGTAGGAGTCAATGTTCAAAGGTAAGCAATATTTTGTTGGTTCATAGGGACATAATTTCATTGGTCACTTGCATATTCAGACAATGCAATGAATAAATTTAATGACAAAAAATTGTTTGTGGGGATCTCAATTCAAAAATAAGGGTGACCCACAGACTCTACAAACATTGGTCCCCCATGAACAAAGATGATTCCAAAGTAGTTCAAAGAAATGACTAGAAACAAAATATCTATGGCAAATAGCACCTAACTTAACCTTAACCTTTGAAAAAAATATGAAAAATACTGATGAACCTTTTAAACATCATCATACATGTAAATATTAATTGGATTTTGTTTTGAAAGCTTTGATGTGTAGCACTAGTACATTGTAAAAACAATACATGCATCTGTAAAGATGTTTGACAATGTTTTAAAAATCAAATTGGATTTTTTTTCAAAAAATCTCATGTAGTTTATACATGAATTAAGTGAATTCATCAATTGTAGAAACACATGGATATACCCAATATGGGTTAAAAGCAAGACCCATTTTACCAGGGACTTCCTGGTGAGTATGGAGGTTGCCAATTACGTAGAATATTATGTACCAACTGACATTTATCATCTTCAAATCCGCTGAGAAATTTAGTGATAAATAAGAATTAGCATGAATAAGGTACATGTACTTAATGATCAGGCAGTTTAGTTTGATTGCTGGATGTTTATATATTTTATTTCTCTGTAGCCAGTTATTATCAGAATCAAGTAGTGACTATACAATTTCTTCTAGGATTACACTGATGTGCAATTTCCAAGCAAGACCATTGAGTGACATTTAGACTTTTTGTACTTTCTCAATATACAGCCTTTATTTCATATTTCAATAATTCTGATTTAAGTTTAAGTTTTGGACATGTAGAAAAATGAAACTAAGAGCAAACTGACATGAGAAAATTGGCAGTTATGCATCAAACAGTTTAATGCAAACAAACTTATTACTTTTTTTTCTCAAAAAGACTGTTTCAATGTACTTAGCTGAAGTGATACTGTATCTACCATGAATATATATATTTTTTCTGACAAGTATGACAAGTAGTTATTTTACATTAGGCAATAAAATGCAATTCACATGCAGGTATTAATTGGCAATGGTATTGATCAACATGACAGGCAAATATTGAAAATTTATATTGATTTTACATTGAAGATTTTGTCAATTTAGCCTTCTAAGAGCAAATTAATGAGATTTGATTCCTAACTTAATTTATGCAAACAAAGATATCCCACTGCCTCTTGTAAAGCTGAATTTTGTCCCATCCCCAATTGCACCCCCCCCCCCTTCAAAGAAAATTGTCTTCAATATTCAAATGCAGAAAAACTTGCAGACACCTAACAGGATTTGAATATAAAACAAGTATGGTGGAAATCAATAAATGACTAGAATTTTAAGAAGCAAAAGTTTTGGTGATTTGCTTTTTAAAGTTACTCATCTTTAAAACTTTGATGTATTATATGTATTTGTACCTCTAAGAATACTCCAGCATGCTGAAGGTTCACAACAAGACTTTTTGGACTTGGCACCACATATAAGGAGGGTAGATACGTTTACCGAGGCTCTTACTTGCAGGAGTACTCCAAGAACAAAGAGTACCAGGTAAAATAATCACACACTATATAAATGGTGCCTGTTTTGGAGGGTAACAGCTGAAATTGACACCCCAAGGAAAACCATTGTCAACCATTGTCATTGTCGTTGACAATGGTTTTCCGAGTGGTGTCAATTCCAACTGTTATCCATCAAAACAGGCACCATTTATTTTATTATACTGAATGTCTTATTGATTTAGGACGTCAGCAAAAAAAAAAAAAAACCGTCTATCGTCTTTTCGTTCATGTATAGAAAGCTTTCACACTCACCGGTTCACTAATCTCCTTATTGTTTGTTTGATACTTGAATTAGAGTCATTTATCATACAAAGTTTCGTTATTTCTGACTCGCAAGCATGTTTCCTACACTCGCAAGCAACTATCGTCTGTCGTTTGTTGTTTTCAAGTAAGCTATATCGGACGCAAGCTTTTCTTGACGTAAGGTTCTTTCAAACGCGCAACTGACGTTTTGAGAATTCTACGGTGAACCGTACGCGCATAATTTCCACGCATGTGGCATTACCGTTGTGTTACCCGTTGTCACGTGTGTTGCTAAGGCTCAGGGTAATCGAACGGATTGTTAACTGCGTCTAAACCAATCAGATTTTAGTATTTAACATGAAAGTATAATAAACTAAAATGATACATTTGACAATGCTTGCACCAAGCTAACCATGTTTCACATTATAACAATTAATAATAGCTTAACATTAAAAGCACTTTTGATACATGGCACAATTCGCTACTGGAAATGTAATGGACATGAGCTACATTAGCCGCCTACAAAATCTGAATGTTTGCTTTGCAAGAGATCTGTAAGATTTGCATATGGGACACAACAAACATTAAAATAGCACATCTTTCATTAAAATTTAAAGACATGCAGTGGATAACAATACATAGAAATTTCTTTGATAATTATAATCAACAGAAAAAAACATGCATCAGAACACCTTATAATGACAGGCATTCTGATATATTCTTTTTTCGTAACAAACCAGACTTTAATAACAACGAATTCCTTGAACAGTTTTAACAGGTTCAACTTAAATATCTCAACATTAAATAACAGTGGCTGACAAATGTATGGGTATACTAGCTATAAAGGCAAACATTTGTCAGCAGTCTCAACAACCCACTAAGAGTTGACAACAGCTGTGGGCAGAGGGCTATTCTGTATTGTGACCTGCGACCTTTCACCTCTGGTGTCATCCATGTGGAAACTGATCACCTCTGCAACCTGGCTTTCACATGGTTGTCCAAGACTTCCTTGAGATATCCCTTGGTTTTCATTTTTAGTGTCTGTCTGAAGATAACAAGGATCTTCACCAGTAACCTCATCATCACCACATCCGTCCTTCACTTCATCTTCACTCACTAAAGTTTTTTCCTCTTTTCCGGAGGAGTTAGAAATATCTTCATCTAAGGATTGCTCTTCTACCTCCTTTCTGTCAAAGTCACTAGATTGATCAAAGTCTACAGAGTTCTCCGGTGAGAGATCCCTGTAAGTACTGCCAGCAACACTCACATTACTTATCATATCAAGATTCACAACCTCTTTCTGACTAGCATCTTCCACACCTCCCAAAGGAATCTGATTCCCAACCCCAACAAGGACTTCATCACAACCTTTTTCTAGATAATTATTTTGTTCTTCATCAGTCAAATGAACACTATTATCCCCAGGTGGAGAATTTTCCTGATGGACAGATGGATTAGTGAGTGGGTCCACACCCTGTCTGTCTGTCTGCTTATCTGTAACAGTGTCATTTGGTTTAATGTCCTCTGCACCTTCTCCCACACTTTCCTGAATATATACATTTTCCTCCTGGTTATTTAATTTTGCTTCTCGTATGTCTGAAGTGTTATTGTTATTTTCACTGTCAACATTTTCACTCTGTTTTTTAATTCCTGTAAAGTTAGTCCCCTCTTCTGATTTACTTTGTTTGGTCTCGTCAATAGGATCAGCCTTTGAACTTTCCTCTTTTTTGTTGATTGTAGTATCAACAAGTTCATTTCCTAAACACAACAGTTTTTTAAATGGTTATATTAAGATGACTTATTAAAAAAAAAAGCAGTAATAAAGAATCTTCACAAATTGCTCAATGCAACTCTGTTGCAACAAAATTTTTTAGCAATCTATTTATTATAATGGATTAGAACAGGTTCTTCATGTACATAATAAATCATGACCTTTTTCATGGCCAACCTATTTCTTCAAGTCCATGAATTGTACAGACTAAAACATTTCAAATAAAATATTTTCTACTACTATTAAACTTTATGTGCTTCCACAGTACACAGTACTTACTTTTCTGCTCTGTGGTAACAGGCATTAGGTGTGTTATGGAGTGCTTTCTGGCTTTCCTTTTTCTGCTGCCCACAACTGGCTCAGAAGGAAGATCCTCTGCTTTTACTTTCAGATGAGGTGGTATGATCAACTTTATTTCAGGTGCTAAAAAATAACATTTTTTATTTTATTTGAAAGCTAGGGAATACTTTTTTAAAGTAGACACCAATTACCTCTCCTATGAGATAAACTTCTAACTCCTGTTTCTTTAACTTAACTTATTTTAAACTCTTTACCAGCATTCCAGCAAACAGAAAACACTGATTTCAATCATTTCTGCAGCTTTTTAAAAATAAAGTACATTTTGGAGAGAAAAAAAATCATCTCTTTTTGCAATCACACAGTCACTGTTCCCAGAGACTTGTCATGAAACAAGTCCCAGTCATTGCATCTACATACTAAAATTACTGCCAATGCTCCTACATACCAGAGTTACTGTCACTGCTTATAGAGGAAGTACGGCTTTCTGATGTGGTCCTCGGTTTTGGAGCTGTCTTCTTTGGTTTAGCTACCTTCTCTAAAGAGCAGGCAGGAAGAGTGGCTATGTGGGCTTCCAAGTCAAAATCCCTACCAAAATTTACACAGCAAATATACAAAAAAGAAGGCAATAAAAAAAACTTGTCAAACCTTTCAAAAACTGTTTTGAACTTCCAAAGCTTTTTAAAAAATTTATTTGAAGTATTTACCCGGTTTTGTATCTGCTACTGTCTTCTAGGCGGATCTTCTCAGACTCTGATTGTGTTCTCTTCCTAATTTGTCTAGGATAAACAGACAGAACGTCAAACCGCAGGTGCTCTCTTGGATTCAGATTTATCTGCTCCTCTTCCCTGAATTCACTGCAATGGAAATAATTACTGCTTATTAAATTACATTTTTGAAATCAATCAAATCATTTAGCAGTAGATTAAATTATTCTTGGACATCTTGGGAGATACATGTAAAAATGTTCCCATATAGAATAAATCTCCACACCTGTCTCTCTGTAAAGTCATCTGCTCCTCTCTGGCTGCCTCCTCCGGTGACTTGGTGATGGTTTGCCTGTCTTTAGAGGGCTGTATGATCCCTTCGTTAATCAGCTCCTGATATCGCTGCCCTCTATTCCGACGTTTGGACTTCCTCACAGGCTGAAGGTCATTTTCTCCTTCATCATCCATTACATCACTGCTTGAATCCCCGGCCTTCTTGTAATAAGGATTCACAAAAGGCTGCAAGGTGCTCATTTCTGGTGTGTCTTTAAAACCTTCAGAATAACACCTTTTTCTTTTATATCCAGACCATGCTGACATCTCATTCTTCATCATATCAGAGTCATTCAGCATAGCAGACCTTCTAGGATCCATCCATGAACTCTTAGCTGGATCCACCCCAGACCCCAGACACATCTGTTGATTAAGAAGCAACTTCCTCTCCATTTCATCCCTAGATACAGAGAGGTCATGGAGAAGTGACCTTTCCCTCTGTTTATCTGTCAGCATGGTAAACTGTCCACTCCTTTGTTCCACTAGTGAATTGTCTGATTTTGAGTAATACAGCTGATCAATGATAGAGTCCATGACCATTTTTCCACAAGCTACAACAGTATTTTTGTCCTCTTTCTCTGGGCTGTGTTCCTGGTCTGATCCACTCACATGCTGAGTTTGTTGAGGTAACATTCTACCAGTCTCCATATTGGTCATCTGTAAAACAAGAAATTCTATTCTATAGTATTCCAATGTATGAAATTAATGTTTAACTTTCTAAGGTCCCTGCATCTAATATTAGATGTTGTACATAATAAAGTCACCAATAAATTATATGTCCAACGATATGACGCTTAGTGCAAACTAAACCAATTTAAATGAGAGCAATAAGGCTGGTTTGATTTCAATAATAAAACAGTTGTCATGACTCACAATGATACAAATATTACATATCCTTTATATCTGTAAATCTATAGGAATTGAGCATTCCACAACAACTATTAATGTCATAGATGGAGGAATTGCAAGATGGACTTTCGTCAGATTAAATCATTAATTCTTATATGTCTAGACCATTTTCTCTGCATTGAAAAAAATTATGGTAATTTTTAATGTCTAGACCATTTACTCTGCATTAAAAAATGTCTAGACCATTTACTCTGCATTAAAAAAGTTATGTCAATTTTTAAAGCAAGGGGTGGACAATCCTCTGGCTTTACAACTTTGACTAACCTTTTCTCTGGTAGGCTGCACTGCTGGGATTACAGTGGTTGGTTTGGATGGATTTTGTTGACCAGCCATAAATAACAGACTCAACCCACCCATGTCAGAAGGATCTAAAGGAACAAAATCACATATTAATTTGTGCTAGTTCTTTTCATTTCTTGTCATCTAATACCTCAGTCAAAACCAAATCTTGACATTTTTTTCATATGAATTTTTGAATTGCCTATTATGTTTATTTTCTAAAATGAGAAATTCTTTTTATATACATAATCTCCTAAAAAATAAGTGTACCCCTATATTTCTACCTGCTAACTTCCCAGGAGTAATTGACTGGTCAGCTCTTGAAAAGTCAAAGTTTTCATGTCCCATGCCTTTTGTTGGGGACCTTGGTAGCAGGCCAGCGGGGTGCATTCCTTTCTCTGGGTTGTGCCATTTATAATCAGGGTTGGCTTTCATAAAGGCATCCTTATACTGAAAATTAATTTTTGAAATCATTATGCAAAATTATTTCTAAAACATAACTGGAAAAGCTCTAAAAATGTAATATAAATATTATACATATATTACCTACATGGCTTTGAGGGCAGCATACCAGAATTTCTGCCCCAAAGTGACAGGAAAGCCCTGGAGTGTTATGTTGCCCGATGCCGTAGGCAGAGGGCAACATAACACTCCAGGGCCTTTTCTGTAACCGAGGGGCAAACATTCTGGTATTGCTGTCCGAGAATTAAGCCATGTAATATATGATATATAACATTTTTAAACATTGAGCCCAAACCGATCATCGAACATATTTATTGAACACTATGTACACATGTACGTTGAGTATAATTTCAAATTATCCCATCCTGTTTCATGGAAGAATGTTTTCAGTATTCTGACACTTGTGTTGATAACCTGTGTTGCATTTTAAGAATTTTACTCCTCCATTAAATTATCTAATTCTTCTGAATCCAAATAAACAAATCGCAGACGTCCCGACTTTTTAATTTTCGCGGAACTGTTAAGTTTGCTAAGCAACTGCCTCTGTGAATTTCAAACCCGACGTATTTAATATGCAGAATGATGGCACGTGAGGGAACATAACTGTGTTCAGGAGGGCAATATAACTGTTTCCGGTGAAATATAACTATATCCGGCGTGATTCAGCAGTTTTTCTGGGCATATGGATAAAAATATCATATTTGTAATATAATGGGAAAACTTCTTCAAAAATATTATGTAAGTCATTATAACAGTTACTTGATCACATTGAGATGACTGGTGCAGATCATCAGATCATGCAAACAAGATGCAAAGCATCAAATTTGATCTGATGATGCGCCTGTCAATGAGACATGATACGTACAGATCTTTTTTGCACTCTTTACCTGCTTGGCTAAATCTGTGTACTGTGTTTTCTCTTCCTCCTTTAGGTTTGCCCACAAATCACCAAGGATACGTGTTACATTCCGGTTGTCTAGATTTGGGTTCTTTTCTCTCACCATTGACCGATGTCGCTTGCAGAAAATAAGGAAAGCATTCATTGGCCGCCGGACCTCTTTTTTATCTGGATCAGAAGGGTCCATACCTGAAGGTTGAGAAGACAATAATTAAAATATTATTTTTATTGAAGAAAAAATTAACACAATGGCACACATATAAAGTGTCTTCAATAAAGTTTTGCAATATACCGTAAATCTGGAAATTTTTACATCGATTTTATTTTGCGAATTCGGGTCAAAATGGTGTTGATTAATTTTTATGTTTCAAAATTTTGCGAATTACCACTGCTTTGTTTACATTTTCTTATTGGTAATTTATTTTCAAGAAAAATATTTTTGCGAATGCAATGAACTCGCAAATTTGCTAAATTTATCTACAGCAAAAATTTCCAGATTTACGGTATTTGGTACAAGGTATAATATAATACAGACTGCCTAAAAAGAGGTTATATAATGGGGGGGGCTCTCTTAATAATTTGTTTATATATACACTTTACTATAGAAAACAAATCAACTTCATGGATGTGACCTCAGTTAATTCTTGAAGTTCTTATATTTTTTTTTATTCCTTGATTTTACATTGGCTGGTATAGTATCTGAAAATGAAAGTTTGAACACCCTCCCAAAAATGCACTTTGCACCCCATGAGCAAGCAAATTTTTATGTTTTCTTTAATTTCTTTTTCTATGTTTTCTATAGATAATATGCATGTACCAACTTATAATGTCAAAATATATGTAAAAAAAAATTCCTGGTGAAATTAACTTGTTTGCCTTAATATTGATGTCTTATTTGTTTCGAATAAAAACAAATCAAGAATTATAGTCAAATTATGAAAATTCATTTGTAATTGAATTGGCCAACAACTTTTTTTTAAACATAACATGCATAAGGAAAGGTGTCTCATGGACTTCCCAGAAGAAAGGGGGGTATTTTAATGACGCATGCGCAAAAGCATGACAGTCTCTGCACCTCCTTGTTTATATATTAGGCCATTGAGCCTATTTATGATTAAAAATCACAAGATAAAGTCATGTTATACAAAATTTGCTGTCAATGACCATTTTCTCCTTAAAGCATTCGAATCATCGTGTATCAAACTGTATAACATGAAAGCGAGGTTCTGTGGGGTCAGGAGAGAAAATATAAACAAACACATCAATTTTAGCAAAATGTCAACCAGTTCCTTAATTTATAAGTTTCTATTTAAATTTCTCATCGGATTCATTTGTTTGCTACCATGTTTGTCATAATCTTTGCTGTAAAATGACCCTTCACAGATGCCTTACAAATCGAAACGACCATGTGCTTTCCAAGTCGACAAAACATGGTGAACGCCGCTGGAAAACACGTGGCCCTATTTTGGGCCGAATCCTCCCCACGTGTAAGAGTTACAGTCCTACATATGACAGTAAAATTCTTTATTATCATTTTATTTATCAAAATGACACATCAATATACAGTTACAGTGGACGTAAAGGTGTATATTGACAAGAACAAGGTAGCTCATTATGACACTTCGACCGCATCATGTCGGCCGATCATGTGGACAGTTCTAGCTCTGTGGAATGAATCACCAAAAAATTGAATGGGAAAGTTGTGTGTCATTCAGTCAAACTTATAAAAAGATATCAATAGACGATTATCTTACTTGTCAGTTCCCGATCAGCCACCAATACCGTTAAAATGATCCCCTAAAGGACTTCCGTCAGCGTGTATCTCTCTCGCTAGGAAAGCGAACTGCGCAAGCCATTCGAAATAGGTCAAGGTTGCACAATGTCTCAATCATTGCAAAATATTAGATTATTCACCATTCAACTCCAATATATATTGACCAAAATGTTGAATACTCTATTTATTAACTTTATAACCTGCCAATATAATTATTCTAAATGAATAAGACAAAATTCATCAAACAACAGATACTGAAAAATTCTTGGAGCGGATCTAGGATTTTCTATTTCAAAAATGCTAGGCCTAATCAGCATACGCTAGAGACAGGTCCGTATCAGCGACAATTTCAGTTTTGGGGAACGGCCATACAGTTTTAGTTGGGGCAGTATAAATAATAAATAAACCAACGAGATGGAGGGGAACTAATACACCAAATGTGCTAGACCTGATATTAACCAAGGACCCGGACACAGTAGTAGATATGGAACTACAAAGTCCTCTTGGAAAAAGTGACCACTGTGTCATCATATTCAGCTATGTGTGCAGAGTGGATGTCAAGAAAACAAAGAAGAAGAGAAAAAGTTATAGCAAAGCTGACTATGTAGGACTAAAGGGTGAAATTAAGCAGATAAATTGGAGGCATATTTTGGGGAATGGCTCTGAAAACATAGATGAAATATGGACAAAATTTCGTGGAAAGATGGAGGATCTAGAGAATAAGTATGTACCTACTTATGAAATTGGAAGGAAGAAAAACCAGCAAATTCCCTTGGATAAAGAAACTCTAAATGTCATTAAAGAGAAGAATGCCTTGGCGCGTAAGTACCTAGTACACAAAGATCCAGATGTTAGAAGAAATTACAATCGTACTCGAAACAAAGCAGGGAAACTAGTAAGGAAGGCTAGGAAGAAATACGAAAAAAATCTAGCAAAGGAAGCAAAGAGTAATCCTAAGAGAATATGGCAGTATATCAACTCAAAGAGTAAAAGCAGACAAGGGATTGCAGATTTATGCACCGACCCTAGAGATCCGAAATCAGAAAAAACGGATGATGATGAAACAAAAGCTAGCATTTTAGCGGATTTTTTTAGTAGTGTTTTTACCAAAGAACCAGATGGTGAAGTACCACAACTTAAAGCCAGAAACATCCAAATTCAATGGGAACAACGTTACATAAAGGAAGAAACTGTTAAGAAAATACTCAGAGAACTTAAGGTGGACAAATCTCCAGGATTAGACAATTTTCATCCAAGGTTTTTGAAGGAACTACATGAGGAGCTGTCGGTACCACTAACTATCATATTCAATAGATCATTGGAGGAAAGAAGGGTTCCAATGGAGTGGAAAAAAGCCAGAATAAGTGCTATTTACAAGAAAGGGAACAAGTCCTTAGCAGGAAATTATAGACCTGTGAGCCTCACATCAGTCGTGTGTAAAACAATGGAAAAGGTAATGCGGGATCAGATCACTGAACACTTCACAAGGAATGATCTATTTACAACAAGGCAGTATGGTTTCATGGGAGGGAGGTCAACCGCACTACAACTACTCAGAGTCTTAGATGAATGGACGGAGGCATTAGATCAGGGACACACCATAGATTGTATATATATGGACTATCAGAAAGCATTTGATACAGTTCCTCATAGACGTCTTATCAGCAAGCTGAAAGCATATGGAATAGGACTTGAAACAATTCAGTGGATCCAAGACTACCTAAGGGATAGAAAACAACAGGTTACAGTGAATGGGAGAAGTTCCGAGTGGCATGATGTAACATCCGGCATCCCACAAGGCTCCGTCTTAGGACCGATATTGTTTGTAATATTCATAAACGACCTACCAGAGATCGTCGAGTCAATGGTATACCTTTTCGCAGATGATACAAAGATTTTTAAAATTGTGAAAGAAAATGTTTTTCTTTGACAAAACCTTTAGACCAGGAAACACTGCAAAGAGATCTTGAAAAACTCGCTCAGTGGAGCAACACATGGTTGTTGAAATTCCATCCTGAAAAGTGTAAATATATGCATATAGGAAAAAAGTCTTCACAAGAGGTGTCATACAAGTTATTAGGAGAATCTCTAGAGCGTGTTCAGGAAGAAAAGGACATAGGAGTAATCATCGACGAAAATTTAACCTTTGAGAAACACATATGCGAGAAAGTAAAGAAAGCCAACTCGACATTTGCCATGATTAGAAGGATATTTCAACATTTAGATGAAAATACATTCATTCCGCTCTATAAATCTCTGGTTCGAACACACTTGGACTATGCAAGCTCAGTCTGGTTCCCATACAAAACTAAATATATTGAGATGGTGGAGGGGGTGCAAAGAAGGGCAACAAAGCAGATACCTGGAATGTCAGATCTTACCTATTCTGAGAGACTGAAGAAACTCAAACTACCAACACTCAGCTATAGAAGACACAGAGGAGATATGATAGAGATATATAAAATTACGAGTGGAAAATATGACACAAAAGCAGCCAACTTTGTGAAATTTAGGAGAGATCATGTAGGGAGAGAAACTGCAAGGGGGAATTCCAAGCAACTATTAATCCAGAGAGCCAGATTAGATATCAGAAAATATAACTTCATCCTGAGAGCTGCTAAGATCTGGAACAGTCTACCAGAGGATGTTATAAGTGCGAAAACTACTAATTCTTTCAAGCAACGTTTGGATAAACACTGGGAAAATCAAGACATTTTATATGACTATAAGGCTACAATATCCGGAAGTCACGTAGTGAGTAATACTAAAACTGAAGTAGGATATAGGGAGTCCAATGAAGAGGATCCTTAGGGAGCCTGAATTGGAAACCAACTATAAGTAACTATAAGTAACTATAAGTAGTATCAACTATCGAAAATTCCTTGACAATCCAAACAAGAGGCTCATGGACTTTATATGGTAGGTCACCTGGAGCATCATACAACATTTCTCCAACAATTGATTCATGTCAAGTTTTAATTAACCACAGCCCATGACATTCACGATTTTGAAAGAGGCACCATATATTGCTCATCATAACTATTTACTAAGCATGTTTAATTTGGTTACTTTTACTTTAGGCAGAGTAGGGGAACAATCATGAAAAAATGCAATGCAATTACAACTAACCAGTAATACTAGTATTCAGCAATAACCATGCAGTAGTGGCTGGGTACTACTAAACAGAGTACGCTAGCGTACGATAGCGTACTTTAGAGTACGCTAGAAAAATTATGTTATTTAATGCAATTAAATTGTTTATTTATGTATGTACAACTTGATTAAACATTATGATAAACTTATATTGCAATATTTGTTTCAAATATTTGTTATTAGCGATATTTTGACAAGAAAATAACATCCATAATTCAACGCATTAAAGATTACTAATACCCCAGTCTCGATTTCTGTTTTGTTTCAGACTTACTTACTAAAGACTTACATCTAAATTTCATCAAATATTAAATTAATTGCATAAGTATATATTTTGCACATTCACATTGAGGCATTTCAACATGTTCAAGTTAAATTAGATCGGGATTAAACGATAAATCGTAACCTGAAATCAAACATTGAAATAACTCCCTAAAAATAAGAAAACATACAAATTTTATTTAAGATATATATTCAATATGTTAAACTAAAGTAGAAAAACATAGAAAAAGTAGTTTAACTGCATTAGATTATAAAATATTACTAGCGTACTTTAAAGTACTCTATCGTACTAGCGTACTCTGTTTAGTAGGACCGGTAGTGCCTCACCCCACAGCAACCCCTGACCCTAGGTCCACATATTTTACAATTTTTGAAAAAAGCACCCTTGCTCATCAAAATTTTTGATTAATATCAAAGAGCGCTGAGATTTCAAAGCATTAATTCATTTTCATTTTTCAGTATTCAATTAGATCCCCCACTTTATGCCACGGTACCCCTGACCCCGGGGGCCTTTAAATTCACAATTCTGGAAGTTTTGTTAGTAGTTCATCTGCTTAATAGTAATACTCGGAAACAGAGGAGAAATTTATCAAAAAATTATAATGAATTTTCACTATATAATTTAAATACTGTAGCCCCTCCCCAACACCAGGACCCCTGACTCTGGGCCCATGGAATTTCTTAATTTCAGAAGAGGCTCCCTTCTTCTTCAAAATTATGCAGGCCTACATGCGCGGACACCCCCTCCCCCCTGGAATTTGCAGAGTTATTAATTTTATATTTGTTTATTTATTTATTCACCAATCAAGGGCCCTCGGGGGGGGGGGGGGCATATACAATTAAAAAAACAATATAATCATTATTATAACAACATTAACATGTAATTGTTGCATCAAGTGCAAAATTGGCTTGATCCTCACATGCAAAAGTTCTCAGATTTGAAATACTGGTATATAATTCACAATGAAATATAAGCATCACAATAATACAATATAAAGAAAAAACCAAGCTGCTTTACACTTCAATGACCAGACGAATAAAAGCAAACAAGTACACTAATAATAAATTTACTCCTATTATTACAAAAAGTACATATTTTGCTGGCCTGGCAGCATGGGGCACCAAGGCCCGATGCCTATTGAGCAGTCTGGAACAATGGAACTCTGAAAAACCAGCTTGCTCGGTCTTGTACCCTAAGCAACCAAGACAGCTTACAGGAGGAAAACTTGATTTGTTGGCCTGACTACTTGGGGCACCAAGGGACGGTGCCTATTGAACCATATGACACTACAGACTGTCGGTCTTGTACCCCAAGTAGCCAAGACAGCTTGAGGGTATAAAAAATCCTAGTATATAACTTGAAATGTAATGCATAAAGATACAATTCTTCAGAAATCAGATTTCATTTCTGAATCATTTTACAAATTTGAGTAAGAATTTCAACATTTTCATTGGTAATTAACCATATTAGTTTTTGGTCATTGTCCATCTTATCAAAATTCTTACAATATTTATCTATCATCTTATTCAAAATAGCCCTTTCTTCCTTTACAAGTCTACATATAAAGAATAAAAAATGTTTTTCATCATCAACCTTATTGTTACATCTTTGACAAAACCTTTCATGTCGAGGAATGTTTTGGTATCGTCCTCTTTCAATTTGGAGTCCATGGGCTGATATTCGAAAGCGTATTAAATTAAATTTCTTCTATGTTCAAAGTTTTTAATTAATCTTAAATACTGTAAATCACTTTTTATTCGCGAGAACTTTATTTTCGCGTAATTACGCGAGACGGTATGCTCGCGAAAATTTCATTCTCTCGTATAATAGAATTACCACAATTCGTGAAAATTTTGTCTCGCTAATACAGAGTCAGTAACTTTCTCGCGAAAATAAGATGTCGTGAAAATTAAGTGACCTACAGTAGTTCTCAAAGCCAAAATTTTGTTTAAAGGTGCAGAAGTTTCTTACCTTTTTGTCAGACTTTAGTCCGAGATGAAAATGGCGTTCTTTGATGTAGTGTTTAAGTAAACAGTTCCTAATGACAGTTTTAATTTTATTTGTTTTTACTGAAGACAAATCTTTAATTCCAATGATATTAGAAAGAAAAAAGTTGATTGAGCCATACCATGAAGATGCGTTTTGCTTAAAAAGTAAATTTGATTTAGAGAAAGCATTATGCAATAAAGTAAATGATCGGACAAGATGTTCTACTCTGTGCCAGTAACCTAGCATGCTTTTAATATGTCAAAGTGCAGGAGAAATACTAGCTATAGACCAATTAAAAACCTTGGACCCCCCTAGAAGACGTAGGTATGAAAAGTCAAAGGTACATGTATGAAGAAGATTTGGAAGTGAACGACTAAGCCATGTTTGGTCAATATTTATATGGAAGCATCCTCAGGTAGTGTAGATTCAAGTTTGCTCAAATCATGCATGACCCCTGGGGGTAGGGTGGGACCACAATAGACGAATACAATCAGGAGTGTCGAATATGCACATCGAAATCGTCAAACATTCACTAGCGTCTGGAGCCCCGCCCCCCACTACGGCTTTGCAAAATCCACTGCCTACTCAGATGTCCACATCAAAAATACACCATGGCTACGCCTTTCAAGGACCTCCCTTTCAAATCGCTACTTCAGATATATTTTTCATCGCTACTGGTACGGGGGGGGGGTATTTGCATAAATGGAGCGGGGGCATACATTCATTAATTAAGTTTCAGAGGAAGTAAAGTTAATTAAGAAGACCAACCTAGAAAAGGTCGCAATTATTTCATCTGCGTCTTTTAAGCAGGAAATGTTGATGGATAAGGTAAAATATGTTAAATATAAACCCTGTAAATTAGAACTGAGGGATGTGTTACGCATCGAGACGCCCAAGTAAACGCCTTAACGAGAACAAAGTCTTAAAATGAAATAGTCTTCCCATCTCAGACCATTTTTTCAGGGCCTATAGCTGCATCATGAGTTTCAGCTTAACTATTCTGTGTGCTGTCGTGTTACTTTTTGGTCTCAGTGATGGTGCATGCAAACATACACCTGCTGAATTCCGTATTGACAGAGGTAAGGAAGATATTTCTTCTGATTTTTTTTCTGGAGTAGTGTCATTTCTGACATAATTTATTTTATCAAATAAACTCTGCAATATGACTACTTTGCAGAGTTTATTTGATAAAATAAATTATGTTAGAAAGGACAGTAGCAAACTGTAGGAGAAAATTCTCAATTTTTTCCAGGCAAGGCAATATATACGATAGAGCACAAAATAAGCAGATAAAATGTTATCAACTGATCCAAATGGAAAACAAAGGATGTATTTGTTTTTTTTTTTTAAATAACTTTTTTTTTTCATTTTTACTCTTAATTTTTTCTCTGTAATGTTAAAGCAGAACCTCATATTTTCAGGTAGCTTTTTGATGTGTGTGCTAATATCTATTGAGAAAACCCTATCATTGTGCTTGAAGATAACTTTCAAATAAAACACCATGCATAATTGTCATACATTAAAATAAAAAAATTATTTAAATCCATAACATGTTATCCACAAAAGTGTGAAGATAATTCTTAGGTTTATCAATAGGCGAAAATTCAGCTATCACAAACCCCCTAAAAGGTAAACATTCCTTACTGTAAATATATTATCGAATCTGTAAATTGAATGAAACTTTCGTTAATTTTTCTTCAAATGTGTCATATTACAAAAAGTCAACGGCCGAACTGAATTTTAAACTATTTTTCGATAATGTATGTAGTAATTATTCATTTTTAGTAATAAAACCAAGTCATTCGAACTATACCGAATTGTCATCCTCGAACAGAATAATAGCGTGCCGTGTTTCAGTTTGTAAAGTGGCCAGATATCATCCTTAATTTTTATGATCCAAATACTTAAAAAACAGAAATGGTTCATTATTTAATGGAAACTAACCTAACAAAATAATAACAATGCTCTATAGATACTGAGTATCGAATAAAAGACGATAACTTAGAAGTATACATGAAAATGCCGTTGAAATAAAATTTTCAAACTAAGGTTTATTTTAATTCTTTTTTACAATGTAGTTTGTTCATAAAAATGTTCATTAATTCAGTTTTTTGTTGTTTATCTCGAAATGGCACTGTGCAGAATGAAATTATTAAAAAGAAAATAGAAAAAAAGGAATATTTCTTTATTTGAAGATGTTACGCCTCGTACATTCTAGTAGTTGCTCTTTCAGAAACTGCATGCATTAGAATACTTTATCAATAAAAAAGGAAAAGGTACCCACTGTATAATTTAAGGTTTTGTTGTCTACTGCATGTATTTTGAACAGAAAAGAAGTTTCGTTGGAATTCAAGATTTAGAAAGCTAGTCAAAGTAGCAACTGCATGAAAACAGTTCCTTATATATTGTTGTTTTATTTTTTAGTTTAAAATTTTTAAGTTTGGTAGGTGACATATGTCCCTCCCACAATTCAATATTTTTTAATAAAAATCCCACCATACTCTTCTCTTGAAAATCCTACATCTGCCCTGGTAATCCCACAGAATTCTCATACAAAAATCAAAATGTAATACATTTCAATATTCATGAACTGTTTGATTGTGAAAACAAAGAATATATTTGGGATAACAAACATTTTCTTCGTATTATAAATAATAATTGATATTATAGTTTTTGTATTTTGTTTTTGGAAAATAATTCACATTAACTTATACGGAAAACTTATGTTTTGCGCGGTTGCAATACATGTATATAACGTTACGTAATGTAACGTAACAAGGAAATGAAAAGGTATTTTTTTTAATATCATATGAGACAAAGATGAGGCAAATTAATACTGAAGATTGATAAAAATTTTATTATTATTGATATTTGCACCTGTAATTTAAAAAAAATATGTATAGCACATTCCTCTGTAATTTAACATGGGTTGATCTGATCTGTTTTTCCGAGGAGAAGGATGTGTTGTGGAAAATATGCTATCTTCTCAAAACATTTGTTCTGAGTGTTTAGAATATTGATAGGAATGGAGTAAACGATCATCCTTCAAACTTACTTTTATTTTAAGGGAAAAAAAGAAATGACGACATTGGTGACATTTCACAGCCGAGTGCATGCGCACCGCATATTATTTTTTCTTCTTTTTTTGTAAATTATGTGCCCATTCCCTTATATTGTCCGCATGATGTAATATTTGCATATTCATCTCGATAATTCATTTATATTCTATTGCATTAATTTCCATGAGCATTCTTGGGGATGATGTATCTTTTCTAACAACAAACAACATTAACATATTTCAAAGATAATTTCAACACCTCTGGTGAGGAAAGTGTAACCAAGACCCGAAAAATTGACTTTTTATTGTGTAACTAGCAACATATTGTAAATTCTTCATCAATCTTAAAATGCCAAACTTTGACCCATTATAATACTAAGCAATCTTTAAATTAAAAATAAATCACCTCATTTACAAATCATGACAAACTTTGTCTCCATGGCTTACTGAAGAGAAACATTACATTCAATCAAAATCTTGGCTTTCTTTTTGAAGTTTCTATTTCTGGACAAATTGTTCGACTCGACCCTATTTTTGCGAGAATATAGCTATAATAATATTTCCATTTCTAACTTTTTTTTCTCTGTGATAACTCTGTGAAAGTTATATAGCGGAGTTGTTTTCTTGATAATTCTTCCGGAATGTAAATTAGGCAGGTCGATAGGTCAGGAGCTAAGGAGGTCTAATATGCATGCAAATCTCGTGCGCATCTGTCACTGTGTCTGACGCTAAGGAGGCCAAATATGCATGTAAATCTCGTGCGGCTGCCTTTGTGTTTGACATTGAAATTGGCAGGGAAGTCCTCGTGTAATTTAAATCTCTGACTACATTTTTAAAATCTAAATCTACATTTTTATTTCACAATGAAATGGAAATATAAAGAATCACTGTCTAGTTAGTATAGTATGCCAGGGACATCAACGATAGTGGGAAACATGGGATAATTTATGCATAACGGGCTTCGACCGTTATGCAAATTATCCAATGTTTCCCACTATCGTTGATGCCCTTGCATACTGTTCTAACTAGACAGTGATTCCTTAAATATACTGGTGTAATTACAAATGCATGTATATACTGAAAACATGCCGACCGGTCACACCCGCCGTGTGCACTTTGACACGAGTGGACAAACAAAAAAAATCCGTTGACAATTGAGTGTGTAAAAAAAGTCTAACGATAATTATTGCAAAGCGTCAGTCAATACTCAACTGAATGGTAGACAGTCAGTAGGTGCTGACAAGGTCATTGTATCGACCGCAGAACTTATGAAATGATGAATTTAAACGAGACTCTTATATCCTTATTTCATCAACTTGTTTATCAATAGCTTGTCTCGTTTAAGAAATTGTTCGTAGGTAGAGCATGCTCTTGCGAATCCATTCAACATAAGACATAAACTTTATGCAGCTAGGTGATAAGGGTTTATTAGGCCAGTTGTCGATATTAACGTCGAATTTAGAACGCTTGTCATAAAGGTTGTTGCTAGATTACCATAAACGTTAATAAGTAACAGATATGTCAGACTCTGTGGTATCTTTTATTTATAGGGATTCCGATATACCGGGTATATCGAGTTAAAATCTATAAAAGGAACTTGTTAATTGAAAATATATACGTCGTCTTTTTATCTTTTTTCCTCATGCATTTTGAATAATTCTGCTTTTTATGATTACAAATTTAAAGTCTGCTAAGAACGCAGTTCGGGGGTACAGTGTATATTACATGAACTTATTTGAGACAATTGAATATGCAGAATTGCATGGAACTTAAAATTATTTGAAAACATGATATACATGTACCGGTATTCTTAAGAATGCTAATTTGTCCTTTTATAAATAAAATTTGGTAAAAGATAAAAACGAATATTTCTATTTTGATTACTTTTTTTCAGCCAGGAATGAGTTTGTTGTCTTTTGTTCACACCGAGGGGTAGAATGGTCCCGTGGTTTGGTACATTTTGATGAACACTGTGAGAGATGCTACTGTAGCGGATTTGTCAAGCAGTGTTGCGAGTAAGTACCTCATCAAAGAGAAATTCTTCTGTATCAGAGGTAGAATTTAATTAAGATGACAATTTATTGAAAACTGGACGATATTAAACTTACGCTAAATTTCTATTAATTTCAGACGTAATGATTAATTTTCCTTTATTTTGTCTCTCAATCATCAACTTTAATTCAGTCTACTAACATAATTCTTAAAAGTGGACACAGATTCAAATCTGGACATGTACTTTAAATAAACTCCGAAAATGCTTTATTTCCTTTACAAGCACTTCCGAAAATATACTGTGTACAACATATTGCCAGAATTACATTAGATATGTTAATTTCTTATACTTAAAAAATAATTTCATCTGTTTTTCTCTCTCCTATTTGTAGAGCTCGTGAGGTAGCGGGAGTTACAACGATCCCCGGATGTGTACAAGAGATGCGCGGATGTAAAATGGAGTTCTACAGATACATGTATGGCATTAAAATAAACTGTCGTACAGGCCAACCTTTTGAGGATATAATTGGTTATTGAAAAAAACTCTTCTGTGGTATATTTTCATCTTTTTTAATTGTTTATACATTTTGTTATAGAATAAAGTTGATATTTGACTACTTAACTGCTTTACTTATGTTTGTATTAGTTTCAAAGTCCACCCAAAAACCTGACTATTTGAACATTATGGGTGTTTTGGTGGGAGAGAAAGAGAGAGATAATTTCAAGTCTTTGGCGCCAAAAATCGTCATGGCTCATTATGACGTCACTGCATTGTGACGTATCATTACCTTGAGCAAGGTGTGATAACTTATCCAGATTTCCAAGAAATAATCTTTTTGTGCTATATAAACTTTTTTTAAAGAATAAAATACTTTTAAATACATTTATTGGTGTTTCTCACCTAGATTAGTAATTTAAAAAATGTATCCTTGATTTCAGAGGTATGAAAATTAAATAATGAAACGATTTGATTTTCACTGCTATATAAAAATTTGTTGCTTTTTGGAAACATTTAATTCATTTTGTCACTCTACAACAATTAATGTATAAAACTGAATAAAAACTTTTAAAATAAAAAATAAATAAGAAGACAGCTGAAATTTATTTGCACTCCTTTCGCAATCATTAATATGCACTTTTCTCTTTTTTCTTGATGAATTGCGCAAACATGTTACATGAAAGATTTACCGTAAAGGTTAGAAGAGACGGATGGCGAGACATGCATCAAGGAGAGCAGAGGATCAATAGCTGCTGTTTTAAAAGAGACCTTAACCACGAGGCCTCTTCTGAGGAGGTCTGAGAAATGAACTCACTAAGTTTCAGCTTGTTGGTGCTCTGTACAGTGTCATTATTTTTCTGGCACACTGATGGCGCATGTAGGTTCTGGATGAAGAGGATTCAATTCGGCACAGGTAAGACGTATTCCTAGCACTTCTCTAGATATTACAAGGTTGTAATAATAAAATAAATAAATAATAATAATTTTTGGCTGTCATATGTTTATGGTTTCCTGGAAATGAACCTTAGCTTTTAAAGGACGCGATTCTCTAAAAATAATAATTATAATAATATATATTTAAGGCTAAAAAGCAACAAATGAAAAAAAAATCACTCAAAACAATGTACTACCAAGGCACTTTTATATTCAGCGCAAAATATGATTCATTTAGAGGTAAGAATGAAAAAGGCTAATGAAAATTAAAATCCATCCATAAGGCATGAGAGCAGATGCAGAAATTTTTTTTTCTTCTTTTTTTTTTCATTTTATACCTGAGGCTGAAGCACATGAGTAAGCAATATTGAGTACCCATGATAAACATTGTTAATCTTTAACAATAACTTACGACCAAGAAAACCGCATGGATTAAAATAAACCTTGTTAACTGTACTTGAATTTTGTTTTTTACTTGGCAATCAGTTTTTCTTTCTTTCTTTTTTTTTTACGAAACGCTTACTACTGTAGAGCAGAAAGGGAAGTTTTACTGTTCGTATCGTGGAGAAAAATGGTCAAATGGAGTGATGTTGTTCCCTGAAGTATGCGAAGGGTGTGAATGTAGAGGCAACATGATGATATGCTGCGAGTGAGTACAATAGCAGGATCTTTGGTAACAATGGCCGAAATATTTTGTAACCATGATCATTAAAACTATTCGTAAAAAGTTGTTAATCTATTTGTATGATGATGTATTTGATTAATAAGGTCAGGACAAATTTCCATAATTTAACAGAAGGACCCCAACAAATAATCTTCCTTAAAATTAATTCTTCAATTAAATAAAATATAATAATTTCTTATCTTCAATTTTCCAGTGTAATCGCCTTTAAAATAGATATCATACTTCTACTTATATAAAATTATTTAATGTTTTGTAAACGAAAAATCAAACACACATATTCTTAATCTGTACCGAATTTTGATCAGTATTTTCCTTTTAATCTAACGATTTTATTATATATATATATATTATTTTTGTAGTGTGATTTCTGGTTATTTCTTATATTGCGACATTGCATCGTATTGAATTGATTGATTGATTGTATACTGTTTAACGTCCTCTCGAAAATTTTTCACTCATATGGAGACGCCACCACTTGCCGGTGGAGAGCTGCTTTGTCCTATACTCGGCACTGAGGACCATTGGGCAGGGAGGAATCTTTTTCGTGTCAGCACCTACTGCGACACGTGACCTTGGTTTATACGGTCTCATCCGAAGGACCGGTCTCCACGTCCCACAAAAGAGATTCGAACCCGCGACGTAAGGATCAACTCCTTACTTCCCGACTCTAGAGCAGACGCTCTAACCACTGCTCCACGCAGGCGACGTACGCGTATCGAATTGAAAGGACGACGAAATAAGATGGAAGGGGGGAGGGGGGTAAATTATACAGACTACCTTATTTTGAAGAACGTGAATTTCAAGTGATCTTATCGGATGATTTCTAATTGTTGTTTTTTGTTCTTTTTTATTCCAACTAAACTTGTTTGAGGATGATAATCGATTTGTTATGTACATGATACTTAAGCAAATGTAATTTATTCCTTGGTATCATAATGGCAAATATCTAAAACATCGGTAGGAAGTCTACATTAAGAAATCTTACCGTACTCTCAGAAAGTGGTGGAAATTTGGCTCTAGTTTATAGATCCCTTTGGGGGGGGGGGCATATTTAATCATAGCATCTTATTTCAGTTAAAGAAATCGCTTTTCTTTTTGTGCAAACTACATGCATTAATTAGACTACATCTTCCTGTAGCTATCATCCATCTCACTTTCATGTATCAGAGTTTCATTAGAATTTCCAAAGAATGATACTGAAAAGATCTTACAGTGGCTATATGACTATCTTAAGCCTTCCCTGATTAAACAATCCTGATTTAATTCCTTTATACCATGTCATAAAGATGGTGTTATTTTTTAATCCCTAGCATTGGTACTGCTGCAAATGCCGGGGAATACGAGGGCTGTACCAAGGTGAGCCGAAAATGTGAAGTCCGCTACTACAAGATGGTGAACGGACAGAAGTTGGACTGCTTCTCTGATCTACCATTTGACGAGAACTTCTGGCTTAAATAAATATGATGAAGCCTTTTTGTTGTATTCTAAATATTTTTGCAATTTGAAGTAGATACAATGAAAATTACAAAGCATTTGTTCTTTGATTGTAAGAATTTACCTAAAGCTATTCTCCTGATTTAACACTAACATTAAACATAACGTCCTTTCAATCATAGTTTTTGATGTCTGTTTTGAAAAACATTTTATTCTATTAAAACTAATGTACACTACTAAAAAAATCGAGCTGATCAATGATTTTAAAAAAGTTTATTTCTGAAAAATAAATTTTGTCACCTAGACATTCATAACAAAACCGGTATGTATTGCTTACATAGCAAACAACAGTTACTGTACATTCATTCTTCATAAAAAAGACATTACGGCTACATTGCGAAACAATGAAAAAAATGACTAATGGCCATTCTGGAGTGAATGGCATGATCAAATGTTCATACTCCATACAAGTACACCAATAAATGGATCAAGACTTCAGTATGTACATGGATTTATCAGATTAAAGCTATTTTTGAAGAACTATTGCAAGTGTCACAACAGTATTCAATTTTGCTATATATTCTTACCAAAAATGTGCAACTCTGAGTAGGTGGTATTCATTGAAAACAAACTTTTGAGAAGTTTCCTTTTCAGATCTTGTAGAACAATTTTTTATAAAGATTTTAGTACCAAAAAATACACAGCCACCCAGCTAGGCACGCAAGTTTGTTTTGTTCAAAGTTAAGCAGTGCTTGAAAATCAAGTCCAGGACCTAATCGCTCCCAACTCAAATATAGTAGATAGAAAAATCAGCCCTAAATGATAATGAATCTGGTCAATACAGGAAGTTAACATATTTGTTTTTCATCCCATAAAACAATTCAGTCTCATGCCAAAATATCAAAATCAAAGGGGGGGGGGATTCAGGAATTTTGCGTCAGTCATGATGATCAAGTGTAATAACTGTAATGACACCCCCATGGTCTCATGATTTATGTACATATGTAGCAGAAAAAAACAAATGAAACATCTAACAGACAACAAGGCCTACAGTGAGCAAATTAATACCTTGTTATCTGGAACCATATGGAGCAAAACAATTTTTTTTAAATACAGTCATACTTGTCTAATATGAACACAGCTGGTTCCACAAAAATACATGTAGACTGGATTAGACAAAATTAAAGATCAGACATATCTACCAACTGAATTTACTAAAAGTTATCTCTATATTCAGCAAGATTTCGGAATACACAACACCTGGATTAGTCTATTTGACAAGCTTCTCTGTATCTGAATGCAACATGAAATGAATAACTAGTGTAGATGATTGATTGAACACTCATAGATGGATGAATGGACATTTACTGTTTCACAATCCAGCCAAAATAAAGAAATATCAAATACATCACAGTATTATCGTCTCATTGAATGCGTGCCAGTCTTTCAGGTCAATTCTACTACAGCTAGCCCAGATACAAATAATCTGCTGTCAGGAAAACATGATTTTAAACAAGCCTGGATCTCCAAATTCACGATAAAATAATTTGAATCTTTTGGTCAGTTACCCAGCTGCAGCATCTGGAGATGTTTCTGAACATCTGTAAAATGTAACAATGTTTGTTTTAAGATTGTTATTTATTTATTTCTATAAAATTAATACATCTTACAAATTGCATTATATGCAGTGGGACAGTATATTTCCATGTAGAACCACAGATGACTCTACTTACCCATTCCTGGAGGAGCATAACCTCTGCCTTTAGGAAGTTTCAGCGTCGGATCAACAGTTCCCATGATTCCTCTTCCTCTTCCAGTGACTTCTGAAAGACAAACACAACTCTCCATCAATTACTCTATAAAAGATTTATATTTCATGGCCCTTAACTAGTATTTCTTGAAAACATTTTAAGAAAGTCTTACTGAACTGTGTTAGTATGTCACAGTATCTATTACAGTTATAATACAATATATAATATGTATAATACAATTGTTTGTTTGTTGTTTAACATTCTTCTTGAGAATTCTTTACACAATTGGTGATCAAACACTTGCCAGTGGCCGGCTGCAAATTTCGAACTGTACTTGACACTCAGGGCCATTGAGCAGTGCAAGAACTTTTTGATGCCAGTATCCATTGCAACACAGGATATCAGTTTATACAGTCTCATCTGAATGACCTGTCTTTTTGTCCCACAGTGGGATTCAACCTATTGACATAAAGATAACCTGCTGGTTATTTTTTGCTGGTGGAATAACTAACTTCTCTGGGGTGGAGCAGTGAACTTGTTGCTTATTTGTTGCTTCAGGGGAGCAGTTAACCTGCTGGTTATTTGTTGCTGTGCAATTACTAACCTCTCTGATGTACAGCAGTTAACCTGCTGGTTATTTATTTCCACGGAATTACTAACCTCTCTGAAGTGGAGCAGTTAACCTGCTAATTATCTGTTGCTGTGAAATAACTAACCTCTCTGAGGGGAGCAATTAATTAACCTACTAATTATTCGTTGCTGTGGAATTACTAACCTCTCTGAGGGGGAGCAGTTAACCTGCTGGGTATTTGTTGCTGCGGAATTTGTGGCCTGACTGGAGGTTCCATTGCCTTAAACCCTGGGGGTACAGTAGAGGCTGGTCCCCTAGGGGCTTGAATGTTTTGTAGACTTTGTGATATACTGTTTAACGTCTAGAACAAAGAAGGAGCCATTGTCTAATTAAATTCCATAAAATAAACTTCAGTAGTGAAAATTCAATAATTTTACATTCAATTCTTTTAATCAGAAGTTATCAAACAGCTTTAGAAAGAAAGCTTTTTGAAATGAACAAGCTATACTGCATTCTGAGAAATGGAATCAAATGCAAAACAATATCTTCACCTTTCAAAGACTTTTACACGATATTTCACATCATTTTAAAACAAATATCAATTCTTACTGGTTTGGGGGATTCCTCTTTAACCCAAGCTGCTGGAGGAACAGGAGCTGAACTGGGATCTGGGGCCATAGCTCGCCCTGCAAACTTCTGTCCTGCTGTTGATATAAGAAGTGTTATGAGTAAAACTTGCAGTGCTTTACATTTGCATTTGATTTTCCTTTCAATCTTTTTCTTCAATTTTCAAACCAAAAACATAAAATTTGATGAACATCTTTTCTTGTTTTCATACCTGGCTGCTGGACATGACTTAGAGGAACTCCTCTCCCAATGCCCACTCCTTGTAATCCGCTCCCCCTTCCAAGGCCTGGAAAATCCCCAGCACCGGAGGTAAACCCTACAGCAGTGGCACCTGCTACACCTCCCATACCACGGCCCAGTGAGGGAAACTCTGTCTGGGTAGCTGTAGGGGGTGGAGGTTTGGAGGGAATAGGGGTCCCAGACCACATGCCTCGTCCCATATTTGCTGCTTTAGGCTTTTGCTGTTCTGCCCATGGATCTCTGGGTGCTGGTGCCATATTTACTATTCAAAATATATCAAAGGTTATGTACTTCTTAATCTATGAATGTTGTTATAATGTTCAAAGTTCAAAAGTAATCAATGAGATCGAGTTGAACTTTATGCAGCTGAACATAGTGAATTTGTCTGATGACAACAGAAATGTTTTACCTGGGAGATGAGGACGTCTAAGGGAGGTCATAGACTGATTGTCATCATCACTCTCATCTGAACTTTCATCTTTAAAATTCTTCTGGAAGAGAGTGTAGTATTATTATTTAAACAATAAAATGCTTTCTTTGTTTGTTATTACTGGAATTAACGGAAGCAGCTGTTGCAGAAAAATTACATAACCAGAAATAACGAACAAAGAAAGACATTTTATTGTTTATATTTACATCTGTTTAAATAATCATTTAAAGTAGGATTAAAAAGATTAATTATTGTACATGTATTAATGATGCGAACATCTTTATACGTTTCATTGATGGAACAGCCACTGATCAAGAAATCTGAACAGGCGACATGCCTACTGTAGTTCATGCAGTGATTAATGTAATGGGTTTTCTTAAGAAATACGAGGGGCTATCAAAAAGTTTGTAGACTAGCGCCATAAAATTAAAACCGCTTTAGGTACATCAATGAATTTTAAAATACTTAGTTATCATCATCTTTTCTATCTATAGAATAAACCACAAATCATAAATTTGATTTTTAAATACATCAGTAAAGTTTTTGTAAGCAATCCTATGTCAAGGCGGTGCAGCCTCGAAAACCACGTTTTTCGACCTAAATGTAACTAAGATAAACTATTTTGATATGAACATTTGACATCCAAAAATCCTGTTAATTCAGGTATGTGTTGGGACACTATTGTTCCGTAAAATATGGAATTTTTACCTCATTCTGGAAGTTCTATGAAATTTTATTGTAAATTTTACATGGAGTATCCAAACAAATATTGCCTTGAAAATGACGCCAAAAGGGGGGAGGAGTTTCATTTTTCAACATTCTATAAAGTTTTGCCCCTGGGATAACTGGTATACACCTAGGAAATGTTTAAACTGGCTACGGAGAAATAATTTGCATCCAGATTACTTGTCTTTTTAATGTCAAAATAGATTCAGAGAGAAACGGGGATGTAAAGTTAATATGGAGTCCTAGTCAATGTTTGAAAAATCTATCACGTCAAATAATGACGTTGATATGTGTTTTAGATTTACTGAACTCCAAAAAAACAAAATATGCTGGCACAATCAAGCGAGGATCTCTCCAAATGTATAAATCCATTTGCAATAATATATGCATTGAAAGCTGCTGTTCATGATATTGTAAAGGCGTATTAAGAAAAGGACAGGTTGAAGTCCATACTCAGCTCTAGGGAATCTCATCAAAATAAATGTACGAGGAAGAAGCGGACATTGAAAAATAATGACGTTGTCGGACGTCATGCAACTAAGCGGCGACGGCGCCTGGTGATCATATAATGTCGTTTTTATTTTATAATAATTTGGGAAATAATGAACGTATCAAGCTAAAATTTTCAACATTTCTTTATTTTTTGTTGTTTTATGTTCCTTATAAATTTTGTAAGCTCAGACTACATAGTACTAATTTTATAGCCTCAGTCCACGAACTTTTTGATAACCCCTCGTAAAGGAGAAAATATTCAGTGGATGTAAATATACAGTTTTCATACTTCTGACTAGTATTTACTGATAAAGACTAAGATACTAGAAAGATGCTCAAGGCTTGTAATACAAAGATGCTCAAAATTTCAAATTTTGCAAATACCTTTTGTTTCTTATAACAATTTTAACGTGAAGTACAATAGTCTCTCATGCACAATTATATACAGTAGAGACTCGCTATTACGGTGACGGTTTTATACGATAGAACACTTATTACGTTGTAAATTCAAAGCACAAATCCATTTCTTAACAAATCTATACAAAAAAGAACTGTTTATTACGATGTCCAAAATCGCCAGGTCTCAGTAATACGATGTAAAAATTCTGTCAAAAATCTTTTCACTCCATGTTTATTCAGTGTTGATTGCTGGTAGACACTTAAGGAGACGCTAAATAAACATTGGAACACCTGTGCTCTGAGAGAGTGTTAACTAACAGGGCAGTTTGGTGATTAGTGACGCTTGATTGCACCCACCTGGACTGTTCCAGCGAGCCCAGCAGATTTGGAGATGTGCCAAAGCCATTGTTAAACAATTAAAGTTGACTCATAAACCTAGCTTCTTCTTTATCTATCACTGTAATTCTTTTTTTTTTTTTAATTCTTTTATTCTTTATTTCATACTTAGTTTAATAAATTAATTAAATAAATAAAAGGTTATATTTAATATTATGCATGTATGCTGTACACAGGTACACATAATGTGTAATTTCGTTTGCAAATAAACTGCGTAAATAAACAGCTTGGGTATCAAACATAATTTGGACAAATTTTGAACTCCACTACAAACGTTTTAACAGCTTGGGTAGTGGCTTGGACTACCTCTCAGTTGTCAGCAGAAATACAAATCGATAATTGCTGAACTGCTAATTGACCTCTGTTCAGTAATTAAAAACAAATTATTTTGACAGATTGCTTGTCTATTTACTTTGACCTTTTTATTTGAATAAAAAAAATGTTGTTGTTTATTTAGAAATGACTTTTAATTGAATACAAAGAGAATAAAATAATCAGAATTATGGTTGTTGTTTATATAGAAATGACTATGACTACGAAGACATTGAAATTTTCACGAACGCATTATCTGGACAGAAACGAAAGTGAAAGTACATGTTACAGAAAATGGCGGCAATTAAAGGAAGATTGTCAAAGTTTCTATTAAAAAATGTGCTCTATGCTTTTACTAAGATGGAAAAAGAAGAAATAGCATCATGAAAATAAGTTTTAAAGATAAGTAATCAATGAATTAAGTGTATATGGCATATTGGAGAAGAATTTGAGCATGAAAAGGAGACAGAAGGAGAGAAATATACCCCCTAATACAAGAACACGTTTTCCAAATGATGTTTTACTGGATTTTATAGGGAACTTTTATTACGTTGCCCTCGGTATTACGATATTTTACCGTGACAAAGTGAACATCGTAACAACGGGTCTCTACTGTACATAATTTTAATGCACAGCAAATTTGATAAAAATGATTATTTTCAGCTAACCAAGAGCAGAATGTCTAAAGGCTTACACAGAAATACAAATGATTATTACCTTAGCTAGTGCACTGTAACTGTTGCTCTGTTTTATTGGAGACTTTTCAAACCTCTGATTCTGGGATGGTACTTTCACTTTCATTGAAGACGGTGGAAGAGCTACCACTGGGTTGTCTGTCCGGACGGGAAGATGTCTGTTGGTCAGTTCTATCTTCAACAGGCCACAAAAACTGTCTGAGATAGCATACCTGATCAAAATACAAAGGTCCAAATGAGATAGCATACCTGTCAGATCAAAGAATAAAGGTCCAAATGACATAGCAACAGATGTCAAAAATAAATAGGAAGCTGAAGGAGGATCAATAGGAACCAACTAAAGACTAAACACATCAAAAGCAACAAATTCTGATCCTTTATACTTAAGTTTCACATATTGAAATTTTAGATAGTTCTTCATGCGTAAAAAAAACAACTCACGAATATCTTTGAATAATCCCCAGTGAGCAGTATTTACATTCCAGTTCTTCATGGTAATCACATCTAAAATGTAAAAACAGCGCTACAACAATGGAAACAAGCTTCATCTTTCAACATGTACCCAGTAATTTGAGTCTGTAAATCTTCACTTTTTTACACAATGACAAATGACCAAAAATGTTCAGATGTAAATTGCTGGTAACAGATTTTTCAGTTGAGCTAGTAATTTTACTGCTGTCATTAGCCCAATTTTTTTTAACTTAGCATTCCTGTTAATAATACCTTGTTTTTGGCTCATAATCCCAAGAATTTGAAGTGAGCAATTCTATAACTCTTGTCTTTGATACAGAATGACCTAAGTGTTGATAAAGGTCTGTGACCATGCCCTCCAATTCGTAAACTTTCTTCAGTCGGTTCGGGATTCCTAGACAGGCTCTCCCATGAATCCATTCCAAACAATAGGCCGTTTCTTTGATGTCATTACCCTATAAAGCAAAGCAACATTCATCATTACTTTATGACAACACATACTACAAGCTAAAGACAAACATGAATCACAGAAGTAAATTCAGTGTTTATATCTTTTATTAATCTTTTTCATATCTATAATAATAATAATAATAATAATAAAACTTTATTTAAAGAAGGTAACCTGGTTAGTGCATGCACTATTCTTCCCCAGGGCCCTATATATATATATATATATATATATATATATATATATATATATATATATATATATATATATCAAATACAAAAAATATATACACTTCGTCAAGATACAATTCATCATAATTATATACAATTAAGTAATAGGTTTGAGGAATTACAATCACTGAATTATGAATAGAGTGTTCAAATACAGACATATATTAACAATAACAGTACAATATACAATATTCAAATGATTTTACGACCACTGATAATGTAATTTTCCACATTATGCTTGAATGTTTGTAGAGATTGAGAGAATCTAATGTGTTGGGGAAGTTTATTCCATAGATGTACACCTGAATACTGAAAAGAGGTCTTGAATAAGTTTGTACGAAATTTTAGTAACTTGAGATCATAATTAGATTCAGATCGCAGGTTATAAGAAGTTGAAGACTGAAATTCAAATAAGTTACGAAGATATTCGGGAGTCATTCCACCGAAAATTTTGTATAATAATATGTATTTGTATAGATCAACTAGTTCATAAACTGTTAACCACCCAAGTTTCTCAAACAGTGGTTTAGAAGAAGAATCAGGACTTGCGTCTAGGATAATCCTTGCTGCCCTTTTCTGTAATTTGAATAGTCTGTCCATGTCCTGCTTGGGGGCATTACCCCAAACAGTCAAGCAATAGTTAATAGATGGTAAAATATAAGCATTGTAATAAAGTTTCCTTGTATTAAGAGGGAGAAATTTCTTAATCCTACGAAGCGTAAATAACTTATAATTAATCGTTTTACAAACTGAGTCAATATGATTTGCATACTGTAACTTATCATCAATATGTACACCAAGAATTTTTCCAGTTTCAACAATTTCAATTGTTTTGTCTGAGGCATAAAGTTGTAAATTTGGATTATCTAATTTTAATTTTCTTTGCTTTGTTCCCATTAACATACATTTTGTTTTATCTACATTTAAAACCATTTGATTTTGAGCACACCATTTTTCAATCTAACAAAGATCTGCATTTAGCGTATTTTCTAAACATCGTGCATTATGATTATTTGAATATAGAGTAACATCATCAGCAAACATATCAATATTTGAATTGTTTACATGTAATGGAAGGTCATTTATGTACAATAAAAATAAAAGAGGGCCCAGAATTGACCCTTGTGGCACTCCTGCTGTGACGGGTTGAATATTGGAGACACATGTTCCAAATTTAACACACTGGGTCCTGTCGTAAAGATACGACTTAAACCATTTTATAGCTGTTTGGTCAAATTTGTAATGAATTAATTTCTCTAGAAGAATATCATGATTCACCAAATCAAAAGCTTTACTAAAATCTATAAATGTAATGCCGATTAGTTCACCACGATCCATTGCATTAAGCCAACTTTCTGTTAGTTTTGTAAGTGAAGTTTGACAAGAATGGAGTTCCCTAAATCCCGACTGGGATTGTGTTATATAGTAGATCAAATTCATTAGTGAAGTTTTGTATTAGCTTAGCTACATGTTTTTCTATCAGTTTAGATATAGTTGGTAAAATAGAAATAGGACGATAATTATTCGGGTCAGCTTTGTCACCTTTCTTAAAAATAGGTGTTACTTTGGCTTGTTTTAAATTTGTCGGGAAAATACCACTTTCTATGCTAGCATTAATAAGATTAAGATGTACCAACCAGACAATAAAATGGAGGGTATTCGGGTTTCTCTCCATTAGGATTTACAAAATTCTCTAATTGGATCCATAATCCTCTGTAATTGGAATCGGCATTCTCAAAATTTTCCATCGGAATTTTATGGTAATCCTCACCTTTTTAAATAAATTAAAATGTACAATCCACAAAAATAAACTATAATTCATAACTGATTAAATAAGGTATAAAATTTTTTTGGCAAAAGATTAGGAATAAATTGCATTACAATATTCTTACTTTTTTCTTTACAAACTCCTTTATATCCCAGTGGAATTCTTCCTGTAAAAATAGACATAGGTAGTCAAAGATCATCTCCACAAATGTTACATCTAAGAGAGGCAAAATCTAAAACCATATTTATAAAGTTACAGTAAATTACATCCCTAGATACAACTGCTCCAAAAACTGGGACATTAAGGCCAAGGGTATAGACTAAGCATTTTGGAGGTAAGTTAAAAATGCACTCAGAAAAAGTAGTGAGAGACAAAGTTTTGATATCTTTCTCAAAGTAATGCAGTTAGCCCTTTCATTACCGCTGTCAATCAAACTGCCAAACAAAATTGCCAAAGACTTTTTAATGTTACTCATTCTACACAATTAAGTTAAAACCATTTAAATTTAAAACGATCATGTTTATAAATTCAAAGAGTAAAATGCATTCTATCATCTCACTTAACTGCACACTTTGTTTTCCTATACCGTATAGCGAGTTTTCTTGGCGGGTGTAAAATTTGGCGGTTTGCCTGCTTAAAGGTATGCGAAAAATTTTGGCGTAATTTATTTTAGCAGATGCAGGGTTTCAGCTTTTTGCAGATGGACACTAAAAAGAGAACTAACTATTTCAGCGATTAAAATTTTAGCAGACTATCATCAATACGCCAAAATTAGCACCCCAATAAAATAACCTAAAATAAAATAATATGGTATACACATGTTCTTTACCTGGTTCTATAAATCTGTGGAGTTTTTTACTTATGCCTCGCTTGATGCTGTATTCAATTACGCCGATTTCTGCTGGCAAATAATGGCCATCATCAGTCATACACAGTGTTTGGAAGTTGATTAAATAAAACACCTCATTTGCAACCTCTGAAAAGAAATTGTGTTTAATTTATTGTAATGAAAAGTATAAGATATAAATATAATTAAATCAAAAGTCTAAAATTCTAAGTGCTAGTTTATGAATGTATTGACATGAAACCCTATGAATCTGAACCATAAAGTCTTTATTTTCCTTATTCTAATCCATACATTAAATAAATGCCAGCTGACCTTCTCCAGGGGGCCATTTTTCTCGGACAGACATCCTCTGCTTTAGTCTCAGCTGATCAGTCTCAGCTTCTACATCTACACGTTCCTAGAATGGATCACTTTGTATGTAAAATAATATCATATTTGCTTAGAATATGCAGCATGTTACACAAGGCCAAAAAATGATGATCAGTCAAGAGCTTTACCTCATGTTCCTATACAGCATATAAACCATTATTGCACAGTTTCAGAACACTTACCGAGAGCAGTTTTCCTTGGTTGTCCATTCTGTAGCAATCACCACTAGCTCCTTTCATTTGCTTTTTATATTCCTTAGCCCTTTGATCATATACTGCCCTCTCTTTATCCGTAAGAGCCTATATTCAAAATAAATGCATGATTGAAATTCTGCACAATTAAAAAATGGACATGCAGGGACTGGCAAATAGATTCATAAGGCACTTGTCCAAAGGCAAGTACATGGTCAAGATACACTTGCCCTACCTGAATTTTTGCTTGCCCTACCACAAACTTATACTGTGTTTATAAATTAAAAAAAAAAAAAAGAGGAAGACCAATACTGATGAGTAGATCAAGCAAGCCCCTATGCCCAGCTTTAAATCTTTAGCTTACATATTGATTTTATTTTTGGCAAGTCATAATTAAAGATTAGGTAATCCTTAAATTTTTTTTTTTGCGGTAAATCAACCGACTCACAAAAATCTGCCCAACTCAAACTTGTTTATCACTATTCAAGGTATGAATTTTTTTTGTAGCTGGCTACAAGTAGCTCCTAAACATGCCCAATTTAAACCTTTTTTTGTATACAGTACCCTGATTGGGTTTTAGCTTTGTATGAAGCATGGCAGTACCAAAGTGTAACACTCTAAATAAAATTCAACTCATTGAGTCGTATGGAAGAAGAAGATTGATTGATTGATTGTATATTGTTTAACGTCCCTCTTGAGAATTTTTCACTCATAATGGAGACGCCACCAATTGCTGATGGAGAGCTGCACATTTTGTCCTATACTCGGCACTCAGGGCCATTGAGCAGGCAGTGATCTTTTTCATGCCAGCACCTACTGCGAAAAACCTACTAAACCTCGGTTTATACGGTCTCATCAGAAGGACTGGTCAGGTCTCCACGTCCCACAGTGGGATTCGGACCCGCGACATAAGGATCAACTCTTTACTTCGTGACTTTAGAGCAGACTCTCTAACCACTGCGCCACGCTGGCGACAAGGAGAGGAAGATAAGATAAATAGGCAATGAATTTTTTGGGGGTTTATACCCCACTTTCAATTTGCTTCCGACGCCTATGTTTAGGCAATGTCTAAATTTGAGTAGATTAAAACAACAAAAAACAAAATTTCATGATAGAGGATATAGAATCAACAATTTATCTTTTATGCAGCACATGCCAGGACTGCAAATAAATTAGGCTTATACAAAATTAATAAAGTACCTTCCATCGAGGGTGTGCAATGGGAACAACGTCTTGGATTCCATTAGGAAAAACACGTCCTTCTTTTCTAAGCGATGGCTCGATGTCCTTCATGAAAAAGTAAAACCCATTTCTCGCAGGTTTCTTCGGCATGATGCCTATCTTTATCCTCCAAACCCCGCGTGTTCGGAAAAAATCTTTCGCCTGACAATCGCGGGAAATGAATCAGTGTTACGCTATTGTATGCATGCCGATCCCGATGAGAATTAAACAGAATAGACCCCAATCTCTCACCAGAGGGCGTTTTACGCATCCGCTCCAACACGTGTAAGCGGAGCGCGCCCTCTGGTGAGAGATTGGAATAGACCCCAAAGTCACTTACTACATAAAAAAAAAAATTGTTCATCGATTTATTTAACTTATGCATGCCTTTCTTCTCATAAATCACTGACTACTTTATCACTTTCATAACAAAGGCGCACCAAGATTAAAAAGACAGTCACAAATATTTTTTATGTAGGTAAACTAAAAAGAAACTAGCAATTTACTTTTTATTACTTTAAATAAATCTGTACATAAAATTCATTGAACGGAAATTATAGGTTTTAAAGCTCTTTACTATGGTCAATAAATTGTCAATAATATATACATTACACATGCTCTTTATTCATATCCAAAAAGAAAAAAAAAGATACAGTAGTAAGTTATTAATATATCGAAGGGAGATCCGCTATTTGATTGGGATCTCGAGGGTGATTGGGAGATTCTTCCTGTTTATTTGACCAATCTTTAAGAATAATTCTTAATTAAATCCAAACAAAAATTCAATTTGGTGACATAATCAATTGTAAAAGATGATTTCTTGGGTTCTGTGATGCTATAAACATTCATTTAAATATAAATGAAAATAAATGAATAAATAATTACACATGTAGGTATATTATTCATAACTTTTCAAAAGTTATGGCAAATGTTAAAGTTTTTTTAAAAGCAGGTCAAACCAGGCACGTAGCAACGGGGGGGGGGGGGGGGGGGGGGGCAGGGGGCCTGCCCCCCCCCCCCAATTTTTTTCCCAACATTACCTGTACTATTGAAAATGTTCATTGAATTGTTGGTTGCCCCCCACCCCCCACCCCCACTTCTTACCACAGTAAAGGGATATCAAGGAATTGTAGTATTGTATGCAAAAAAAATTGAAGTCAAAGAAAGTTGGCATTGAAAAAAGTTGGCCACTACCCCCCCCCCCCCCCCCCCCAGCCTCGAAAATAGGATTTTCGAGTTTGGGCAATTCCCCCCCCCCCTTTTTTTTACTTGTCAACTTTTACAGGTAATGAAAAAAAAAAATCATCTCTGGCTCCCCCCCCCCCCACTTTCAAAAACGATGCTACGTGCCTGCAAACTCAGAGGTCAAGTTAAAGAGTAAAAAAAAATATGTCGATCCTTATAGAAAGATCTTGTCACAATAAATATACACGTGACGTATTGATTTCAAGCTTTAGCAATGACTGTTCAAAAGTTTGTGAAAATTTAAAGATTAAAAAAATTGAGCAAAAGTGGGTCCATCTCCAAGGTCAATGCCAAATATATTGGCACCCAGATTTTATTACAAGGAATACATATGTCAAATATGAAAGTCATAGCTCCAACCAATCAAAAGTTATGGGCAAGGTTAAAGTTTTGCGGACAAATAGACAGACAAACAAACAGGCAGACGGTCATGATGAAGACTAACACCCCTCATCGATTCATCGATTACGGAGGCATAAAAATACGGCCGTGGTTACCGTTGGCGGATCTAAGTTACTAGAAATTTTTAATGGGGCCAAACACAACCAAACATTTGATTATTTTAAAATGTATATGCCTGTAATTTAATGTAACCACTGAAAAGCAATATTGTATATTTAGATTCTATTATAAATCCTCAAAATACAGAGAAGATTCTCGACCTCTGAGTCACTTCAAACCTTTCTGTGCAATTTTACAGCAAGCCTCATTTGTTTAATCTATTGTAAAAACAGTATATTTTGTATTGTATAAAATCGTTCTTTTTGAATAGAAAGTATTAATTACAAATATTAAATCTGCAAAATGGATGAAACTGGATCCCCGCTTGAAACTCTTCCTGTAGTAGGTCCAATCAAACAAATGGTTTTGCATATTTATTTTCCTCTTGTTCGGCGCAGAGATCCAATGAAAAGATAAAAATTACGGATGGCTGAACACAGACAAAATGAGCATAATTTATTGACGTGCAGATTTTATGATCCGTTTTGTTTACATTTAAAGCTACTGACTTGACATGGATAGTATTTTGCACCAATAAAAGCAATGTCGTGAATAAATAAACTCAATTCAAACATGGTGACAATAAAAAGATGGAGGTCTATTTTCAATGTGACAAACAGGATGTACTTATTAGGAGTTTTATCCGTTCTTGTTCTATATCAGCTTTGGGACCAGAATCGTCAGTTGTCCAAATTTTCCAACTCTTTCAGAAGGATAAAAAGGGATATGTTCTACTTCTTTAACCCCACCATTCTCGTGAATATTAATACCAGTTATCCAGACCGAAAAGTTGAAAGTCATGTTGACCAACAAAACTACGTCTTTCAGTCCAGTCATATTCGCAGGACAAAAACCGGAAGAAGAATAGCAAGACCTTTTTCGTGTAATTCTTGTTTTGTTCACAACTTTGACTATGTTTTAAACAACAGAGACATTTGTAATACAAATAATGGCGATGCTTCTATTTGGGTTGTTATCCTGATCTTTAGCACACATGCAAATTTTAACAGAAGAAAAGCTTTGAGAGAAACATGGCTTCTACCATCTAGGCGTAATCTAGGCAACTTTCGTTATGCTTTTCTTTTAGGAATGTCTCAAAACAACAGTTTACAATTGGAACTTGAGAAAGAAAGTGCAATTCATAAAGATATTGTTCAAGAAAATTTTATTGACAGTTATTTTAACCTCACCTATAAAGCAGTAATGGCGATGAAATGGGTCAGCACGTACTGCAATGAGGCTCAGTATATGATGAAGACAGACGATGATATGTATGTAAACACGGATTCTCTAAAAATTGCTCTTGATCAGTATGAGGACCTTTTATATGAATCCATTGGAGGATATTGCTGGACGAGGGCAACTCCTCTGAGACAAAGAAGTTCTAAATGGTACGCATCGTACCGGATGTATCCACAGAAGATCTATCCGGGTTTCTGTTCCGGAACCGGATATGTAACTTCGGTTCACATGGCTAGGAAATTGTTTGAGATTTCCCCTCATGTTCCCTTCTTCCACCTAGAGGATGTGTATATGGGGCTTTGTGTCTATGCTCTTGGTCTGACCGTGACTTCGATCAAGGGGTTCAATTTAGACCGGGTCCCCCTAGGTTGTGACTATAAAAGCAAGGCAGTGATTACTTCACACCAACTAGAACCGCCTCATCTTATTTCAATATGGCATTTAAATTGTTAAAAATAAGTTGTCAAAACACCTGGCCTGGGGGCCATAAAACTTAGACGGGCTCACTTTTGATCTCAGTCTTACTTTTACCAAAGGAATATTAAGTGGAAAAGTGAGACTGAGATCAAGTGAGCTCGTCTAAGTTTTATGGCCCCCAAGCCAGCTCTTGCCATGAAAAGAAAATTATAGACTGGTCTGCAGAATTGTTTATGGAATATAGAAAATACTTACAGATATATGTGATGAGAATATACGACAGAGAGGCGGCATAAGACATGGAAAGCACGGCTCTTTGTACATACGTGTATGTTAGTGGCATTTACTATCTTGATTACCTCTAGTCCATGTATTATGAAAACCAAAGAGTCGTTCTCGTGAATATTGCAATTGTCAAAGTCTAAAAGAGTCTTTGCTTTTGACGGTACATAAAAGAAAAAGAAATTCAGAATTGGTTCAGGTTGATTTTTTTTCTTGAACCTCCACTTTCTTCTAAAGCTGGCCCACATGTACGTCTGTCTATCACATTTATTCCTAAAACTACTCTTATTTTAAGTACTCCTTGTTTGGCATTTGATTGGTGATGCCTTCAACATGTGCAAAAAGTTTTTAAATTTTCACTTTTAATCTTGGTGTCAAATGGGCTTAAAAAGAATGCTTTTCTACAAACACAATGGCTCCCTGAACTCCTTACATTTTTCACAGAAGCCAAATCATATTTTGAAATGTGATGTAAAGTGTCCTGAAGCGTGCAACAATATTTTGGGATTTTGTTTGTACCCTAGGGGGTTAATTAAATGTCCTACAAAACCCTCTCCTGAACTCCACTTATTTTTTGGAGTAGTGATTCATATTTTTGACTGTGTAAATTGGCAGTATCTGTAAGTGTGCAATAAGGATTTGGAATTTCGATTTTCATCACACCAGAAGGGTCCGGGGGGGGGGGGGGGGGTCAAAAAGGATCGTTTTTTATACAAAAACCTGGTTCCTTAAACTGCTCTTTCAATTTTGCAAGTTGTCTATTCATGATTTGGAATTAAGGTGATTCAAAGTCTTGTAGGATTTTGATATTAATATTCAAGGGACAGCCAATGGTCGAAAAAAAATGCTTTAAATTCCTTGAACTCTACTTACATTTTTCACAGTTTTGGAAGAAGTCCGAGTGTGTTCATTTAGGTTTCGGAATTCTGATTTTCATCCTGGGGCAACTTGGGTTGAAAGCCTCCCTTTTGTAAACTATATAATTTTTGTGACTTCTTAGTATTGTTATCAAAATAGGATTGTGAATACATTTAAAACGCCGAAATGTGGCTGGGTATTTCTGTTTTATGACTACAACTCTTTTAAGGGTCATTGATACTCTGATAAGAGAGATAACTCTTAATGACATAAATGTCTATTATTCCTTTATAGATTTGCCAAGTTGAAGTGTCTTTTTTGTCCAATTTTGCCCCGCAAGCTATGCTATAATTGTCAGTATTTTGCTTGTATAATATATATATTTCTTTTGGAAAATCAGTAAGGTTCAAGCTGCATTTTTTTATATGAGTGAGCAGAGGGTTTATGAACCTTAAAACTATACAATGTCTCATTGATTCCATTTGTATTCTTAAGACAATCACATTTGTACTATTTTAAATAGGTACAAACAGATAGACAAACTAGACTTGAAATTATGTTTCTCCATTTTTTTTGGGTAAGAAATCTGGTTTCTTGCAACCGGCATCGAATATATGTGAAGCTAAAATTGTCTGAAGCTCTGTGAATAGATTAAACTAAGCTAATTATATACATGACTTTGTAATTAGACCTTGACTATATGAACATTTTATTAGTAACTTTAAATGACAAACTCCATAAATTACTTAATTATTTTACTAGATATGGCATTACATTGTGTAATAATTAAACGGCTTATCAGTCTCGCGTAAGAATGAAGTAAAATGATGTAAGGCGATTAATACTGCAAAGAATTTTTTTTAGAAGAAATAGAATGATTATTTAACCACAAAGTCAATAATATGTATTTTTAAAGAGAAACATTATTGAACGACAAAATCTTTGGAAACACTAATGAACACAGAACACTCTTCAAAATTTTTGTGGAATTACTAAAAAGTAACATGGGAGTTCCGCAAACATCCCGTAGTGCTTCAGACGTCGTACCTCGCAAAAAAACAAGTCGTGAGCTGGCGTATATAAGTGCACTGAACATTAACAAGTCCCATATCGGTAAGTACTCTGTCTCTTTTAGTTAATTAAACCATTTCATAGTACCATGGAATAAAAAAAAATACAATTAACGACTGTAAAATCATATTGAAGCTTACATTTGTCAATTCCGTATCAATTTTTTTTCAAACACTACAAAAATCCCATCTTTTATTAGTACTTTCTCAATTAACGCTTAGGGATATCCGATCTGTAGTCAGGCAGGATAACTCTTCATTTTATGATTTAATTCAAAAAGTATCAGAATGAAGCTTGAAATGGATATCTTTTCATGCAACAACATTCGTCTCAATGTTTTTAATTTAAGTTTTTAGAAACGGTCTTATAAAAGTTAATATTTGTACTCCATAAACATATTAGAAGAAATCAAATTTCCTATAATCTAGCCGTAATATAAGTACCAAAATTTATTAGCTTGATATGAAATTAGAGGTGATTGAGGAGTTTTACAATGATAGAAAATGCTTTATATATACACTAAAGTAGGGAAAATGTAGAAGTCCTTGGTATACGTAAGTTATAAATTAAAATTAAATCCAAGATAAACAAACAAGTTCACGTTTAATTTTTACACTCTGTTGTATAAATCAAATGTAAACTTCGTTGTTTGTTTATCTTGGATTTAATTTTAATTTACACTAAATTATACATGTGTATGCATTTATAATTATTGAAGTAAACAGAAGAAACTTATGTTCCATGCTTAAAAAAAATCATGATTTATTTTTTCAAAAGCTACCTATACTGTATAATTTTTATCCTAAAATGTATTTGTTGATCAATTTGCAGTTGGAAAATGCAAAAAGTATGTGTTTTTATTTGCATTTCCTGAAAATTTATTGGAGATTTACTAATTTTCCCTATATAATATGATTAATTTTAAAAATGAAGTTCGAATTCATTACTTTGAGAATTCAGAGACATTTTTATGTGATTTTTTAAAAATTATTCACTGTCTGATTTTCAGAACCCGGGGATTGGACTACCTTAATAAATTCAGTACAAGTTGTTCCTCCGTGTATTGGTTTAATATGATGATAAAAACTATGCACTCTAAAAATATATCAAATAAGCATATAAATTAAAATTTTAAAAAGTTAATTATATATATAGTACTCAAACGAATTTGAAGAAATCTAGTTTTCTAGCTCTCTTTTGTAGGTGAAATCGTGTCTGGGCGGAATATAACAGAAACTAAGCTACTGGAAACCCGACTGGAACTTCTAGAAAAAGACAAACGAGTTTTGGAAAGGGAACACTTTTGGAAGCAGAGACAATTCTTCATAGACAAAGTGTTTGACAAGGATCGCCGTCTAAAGTGAGTGACAATAGATCCTTTACTGTGCCTTAATCGGCAATATATCAACTAGATTTATGTTTATATAAATAACTTGAATAGTATTATTTTCCCCATTAAATAAAGAAATGTTGTAAGATTTAGTAACAATAAAATAACGTGTACAATAGAACGCAAAGAGTGATATACAAAAATCTGGTATCCCCTACTGAATCCCTTTATGCAGGTGTTCCACAAGGCTCTGTATTAGGTCCTTTGTTATTTTTAATTTATGTGAATGATATAGCTGATAAGATGTCAAGCTTCTGTAGACTTTTTGCTGACGATAACAGTTTGCAGTATGCATTTAAATGTGTCAAATCTATAGAAAGTCATCTGAATGATGATCTTTTATCTCTTGAAGAGTGGTCTAAAAAATGGCAGCTCGGATTGTTACTGGACTAACTATGATTGCCTCTAGAGACTCTTTGAATTTTGAAACAGGCTGGGAACCACTCAGCGACAGACGCATGATCCAAAGATTAAATACCATGTACAAAATTCACAATGATCTAGTACCAGATTACCTATCTGAGATTATACCAGATATGCAATGTAATGCTTCTGCATATACAACAAGAAACTCACAAAATTATAGTATACCCATATGTAAATTGCAAACTTGCAAATCATCATTTGTACCAACTGTAATAAATGAGTGGAATTCCTTACCGCTAAAACCCCTGTCACACCAGGGCTGCGTCCTCACGGCGACTGCACGACGTCCTGAAAAAATGCAAAACGCCGAGGTGATCGCAGTAGAGTCTCCTACAGCGCCGTGACAACGCGGCGAGATCTCCACTGAACGCCGTAGGGTCGCATAGGGTCTCCTAGAACGCCAGTGGACGGCGATCACTTTGGGCATGCACAAAGTACGCGCCGTGTGATCGCGGTCTGATAAGAACGCAGTAGAAACGTAGTATGATCGCCGTAGCAGCGCGGTGAGATCTCCAACAACGTAGTGGGAGCTCCGTACGAACGCCGTGAAGACGCACATGATCGCGGCACGAACGCAGTGATAGTAAACTGCGCTTCCACGGAGACCTCACGGAGTTGTCGCGGAGTCCTTGGAGATGTCACTGCGTTTCTAACTCGTTCTTACGGCGCTTCTAATGAGATTTATCGTCTTGTGAATTTTTCGACGGCGACTACACGGCGACAGCACGGAGTTGTCACTGAGATCATTGCGCGCCCATGGCGTCTCCACAGCGTCCGTTTGCGATCACAATGCGCTTTCACGGCGTTGTTAGAGCGCTGTCAGCCAACTCACAAAAACAAAAGCAATGGGATCATATTTGATCAACAATAATTCAAACGTATTTGTTGCACTGGGAGCATTAATTTTTTAAGGATAAATAACACAAACAAACTTTTTTCAGAAATCAGCATTATTTCTCATAGATTTACATTTAAATTGACAACCTGAATAATGTTTACCAAGTAGAATGGGAGAATTTTTTAAGATTTTGTCATAAAGTTAAAAAATCGTGCAAAATTTTGTATGGAATTATATAGAAGGCAAAATAAAATCTCAAATCTAAGCACCAAGGAAAACCTACGATTTCTTTATATTTCAGGGATTTATTATTTATATCAATACAAATCAAAATCAGTCAAAAAATATATATCAACCCGCGCATGCATTTTTTGTTTGTGGTAAGTACCCTTAAGTGAAAAAAATGGAAGATAGAATTACACCAGAACTTGTTCTGTTGTTTCAATTAAATTTTGTAGAAAACTTTTCAGTGTGTTTATTCATTTATTTATTTTTTTTTTTACATTCACAATAAAATCAAAGAAAATCTAACAACGCATCTGAACCGATAAAATTGAAAAAAAAAGCAGTTTAATCATTAAATTAAATTATTAAAATAGAACATTTTTTGATTATTAAGAATATTTATTAGAAGTCTTTTCATCGTGTAACTTGAGTCTTTAAACAAAAATGTTTTACATTCCTTCTGAATATATATCAATGAATATAGAACGCATTGTGAACGTATTGTGAACGCAACCAGCGCAGTGAGAACGCCGTGAACACGAGGTGAAAACTCCTAACGCGCCGTGAAAACTCCGCGGAAGCGCAGTCAATCGCCGAGAGATTTCCATGGAAACGCAGTAGAACGCCGTGAGATCGCCGTAGAATCGCGTCCGTCGCCGTAGGGACGCCGTGACACCTTCATATTGTGAAAATTTTACATAAATTTGTGCAATTTCCCTGCGATTCCACGGCGATTATAAAAATTTAACAACGCCGTAATGACTCCGTGTGAACGCAGCTTGGTGTGACAGGGCCTTAAATACCAGACTTTCGAGCTCTTTGTCTACTTTCAAAAGTAAAATTAAACAAAAAATAACAGAAGCTCCGCCTTATTTCAATTTCGGTAAAAGACGCAACAATATACTGCATACACGGCTTAGGCACAACTGCTGATCTTTATAGATGTAATATAATATCTAGTCCACTATGCTCCTGATACACATCAATTTTTTTTTCTCCTGACCAACTACAACGAGGCCAGGAAAGAGTTTTTCGATAAGTTCTTGAGATTTAATAAAGTCCATATTGTTGACATTCAGACTTTACTCTGGGGGGATACATCACTAAGTATTGCTGAAAATGAATATCTATTTTCTATTGTACATTCTTATATTCAGCATTCTGGTAGATTTAACTGATTGTACTCATTTTTTAAAATTATTTGTATAAACAGTAGCAGTATATATATGTCCACAATGAGAGTTTATTTGATTTACTTGTAATCTATTTTGTACAAACTGTTGAACACTTCTAATTCATCCTGTTATAATATCTCATGTAGGGAGAGGGCGATTTAAGTTTTTAGAACTTGTGCCCAATCCCATTGTATATATTTAGTACAATAAAATATGTTCAAATCAACGTGCACAATTTGTTAAGGTAGAGAATTCTATTTTTCTGAAGATTACAGAGAATTGTTACTTAATTTGATATCTTCTTTTTTTGACTTAGGTATGCCGGTATTGCCAATAAGATTTCCGAGGAAAAGAAGAAACACGTGAAAAGCATTGAATCGTCCAAAACACCTGCTAAACTTCCTAGCATTTCTAAGTCTGCAAAATATGACGTAAGATTTTACTTCATGTAATTTTTTTTCACACAATTGACATACAGATTATGTATCGCACGATTTATCTTTTGCATTTTTTAATTAGGTTTCACTAACTAAGCATTTCTTTCCGGGAAAAATTGATCACAGAAAGAGCGTTAATTACAAACTGGTACAACATGGACAAGAGAAGCTAATGGCTGCCGTGAGAGCATTTCAAGCTGCACTAGAAATTCGAAAACGTTATTTGGAGAGAAAGAGAAATGAAGGTCTTGAGGAAGAACAGAATAGTGAATTGGTAGATGAAGGTGACGAAGGCAAGAGTAACAGTGAAGGCGGTACTGATGATTCCAATGACAAGTCCATCTCCGAAATTCAAAAAAGCAAGTTCATTAAATACGTTGTGAAAAATTGGAGAAACTATAAAAAATCAGAAACACACCCGACGCCAACAAACAGTAGCTCAAAAGAAAAGACAATAAAACAAGTAAGAAATCGCAAAATGTCCCAAGATGGAGAGATGCTTGGCAACCGGACACGTGACCGTCGACGTCACTCCTTGGTGAGGACTGATGAGGACAAATTGCTACTTAAACTGGCCATGACTCTCCCTCCAAACGTTATGTCGGAGGCTAACGACAAGTTATCAGACCTGAGCTCTGTGTTGGGGTTCTCCTCACGCAATGAGAGACTCCGCCAGCAGGCGGCGAGTGTCCTACACCGACCCGTCCTCACCGACCAAAGATTTGTCAACCTCCAGAAAACGTTAATTAGGTCATCAACAACTCACTACTGATGTTTGAATGGCGATGGAAATAAAACTTAATGATATAAGTTTTGCCCTCATTTACCCATAATATCTGAAGTTTTCAAATAAGAATAATAATCGTTTTAACTGATAAAGTATGAATGTAGGAAGTACATGTATTAACATCGTGTTGTTTTGTTTTATAGAAATGTTTATTAGTACAAAGTTCATAAAACTGTCAGTTTACAATGCACTTTTGGTACTGAATGAATACATTTTAAACTTAAATTCAAGACAATACAAAACTAAGAGCCAACGCATGCAAACCAAAGAGGATATGTATGCATGTTGATGATATGCAAATCAATAAAAACTTTAATTGTGCCAAATATTTGTCTTTAACTTGTTCATGTTGTTTCTAAAGTCATTTAAGCTACCCTTTTGTAAATAATGTTAATCTAACAACCGAGCTTTATGATAAACGTGATGACTAACTTTTCAATCGTCAACTTCCCTTACTTATGCAGCAATGTACCTCTAACACCTGCATACGGGGTTTATTTCTATTAGTTGATTCGATACGCAAGACCATGCTCTACACCAGTCCGAAATATCTTACGTTTCCCAGGCTTTTTTACGATTTGGATATTTTTAACGTGCCAGGAAAACGTCAGAACCGGTTCCATTGCAAAAACTGTGGAAATTTCGCCATCTCAAACCAGAGTTGATTTTCAATACTTTCAAACCGAACTAAATGTCGAAATAAGATTTTATCCAAAGCACATTTCTTCTGGTATTCACCAATATTGATGAAAAGAAAATAAGACTCCAAATTTCGATGCAGGTCTTGCAAGATTTAAAAATGCAAGAAATGAAAGCAGATCTGGACAGTCTGGGAAAATGTTTTAACAGATTGTTTATTTTTTAAATGATTGATAATAATGACGTTGGTAAGTACCAAAAGTATTGTTTATTGTTTCATTGATGAGTTGTGAATTTGACATTTGATTCGATTCGCAAGTCTCGAAAATCGACTCGAGAATGCCGCTTCAGGTTGAGGGCGGCGATTTCCCAGTTTTTGTAATGGCGCCGGTTCTGACGTTTTCCTGGCACGTAAAATATCAAAATCGTAAAAAAAGCGTGGAAAACGTAAAACATTTCGGACTAGCTCTTCGTTTGAAAGAAATTAATTTTTGACAAAGAAGTTGATGAAACAAAAATATCAGCTGTATCGTTTAAGTCATCATTTTGTGGATACAATGACCTTATCAGCAAATGCTGATTTTCATACTAATTGTTAGGCCATAATTTTTACACTGAATTGTCGACGGATTTTTCCATTTTTCCCGATTATTACAAGGAGCGCATGGCGGGTTGACCGGTCGGCAGGGGATGTTAACTCCTGAATGGCACCTGAGTCCACCTCTAGATCTGATGTTTTGAAGGTCCGTGTTTGCTCTGTCCAAATTTTATATTGATTAATGGACTTAAATTGAGCTTGAATACTGTTTGTTTTCTCCATATATTTTATTAATATCCTTTTTTATTTCATCAACATCTATGGACATTTGTTTTGCTCTGATAAGCATAATACAAGTAGACTACCTATACAATAAGGCATATCTAAATTTAAATATGTCATTTTAAAATTGATAATCAGAATACTGACATTTAATCTAGGTTAAAACATATGACATATACATCCTATAACTTAAAGGTTTTTGAAATAATTAAATCATACATCAATTTCAATGGTCGTTCAAATGGAAGAGGAAATTTTACATGCATTCAATATTTTCGAGGAATATAGAATAACACCACAATATTGACCTACAAAAGAAATACGTGATTGAAGGGAAAGGAAGTGAAGTTTTTGAGTGATTAACCTCGATAAGAATTCCCCCGAGATGTCGCCACTTGTTCACCTTTCGTGCAAGATTTAAAATTTACACCTTATCAATTATCATAAGTACTGAGATGACAAAGAGTGAGAGGTCTCAGTCAATCACATGTCTATTAATTGATAAATAAATTATACTGTCATTTCATTAATATATAATAAGTATCGCATGTTTGAAAGAATTCAATAAATATGAAATGTGCATTTTCCCTGTTCAATTTTAAATCCTTCTATAAATTAATTTAAAAATATCGATGCTATGCCGAGAAAAAAAATCGATCTTAAATTCTGATCAAATCCCTAAGCATCGCAAAGACGAAGCAAAGGTTCAGGAAATCTCAGAATTTTTAAACTTGAGATTCTTTAAATTAAAGAACACTCTATGTACACTTCACACTCTTAAAACAAAGGGATCTTCAAAGACCCTCTGGTCACAAAAATGGATTTTCCCCAGAAATTATTTAAAATTTGTCAAAAAAGAAAATCAAAATTAAATGTAAGTTAATTTAGAAACCCACATATTTCGAGAAAAAAAATCATTGTCGAAGATGAAAATAGCAGTGTAGATTTCAATATTAATTTGACTTTAGATCACTCTAACTGGACAAAAATGCAAAGGGAATTGGAACTCTCTAGTGTGTATGATATACATGTACTAGTACGTAGAAGGTCATAATTAAAAAGTCAAGCCGTCAATAAATAAAATCACAGAACCGCAATTTTTCCCCTTCATTTTATTATTAATAAACCAAAACCCAGTTACAAAAAAAGCCAAGAAATCTGAACAGACAAAAAATTAATGAAATCTTTGTCCATTTAAGCTTAATTAAGGAATGTGCATGTACTACTGTCGATGCACTATATTTCAATGATATCATTATCAAAGAATTAAAAGCAAAAATGGATTTTCATTAGCATTGTTAAGCATATTGATGAAAGCACTCATAGGACCCAAAGAATATCTTTGAAAGACAATGTCAATTAATATTTGCAATGTTTCTAATTAACATAAATTTCGTGCATCTAATAACTTTTTTCATACTTTCCCTATACCGGCCTCCCTCTCGTGTCGTACATAAATTAATCACAGAGAAAAAACAAGATATTTAACAGAATAACAAAATCTCAGATGCGCATTTGTTTATTTTGTGTTGAGCATTTGCCATGGAGGGACATAAATTAGTTGCACTACTTTTCCTTATCTGTGTGGATCTTCATTATTCCTTGACCCAGGACACACAACTTCTGGGACCCGCTAACCTTGATAGTAAGTAATCCATGGCAAACATATCCCCCCTGCTGAAGCAAGTGTTATGTAGATTAATAATTTAATTGGAGCTTAATATATGTATCAATATTGAGGTAAGTATGCATGCTATTGTTTTTTCTGGAAAAAAATCCAAATGATCAACAACTGAATTAAAAATTCTTTAACGAAAAATTAAGGACTCTGTAGGATGTCACACAAGTATACTGTAGATTTTTTTTAAACACTCAAATGATTTATCAAGTATTTATTATCTTCATGTATCACAGTTACAGAATGAAAAGCAAAGGTTTTCCCGAATTAATTATTCAAATTCTGCAGATTACATAATGACACTAAGTGGGCGATGACAAATAAATGAAATAATTAAAAGGTTTTAAAATCTTGCTTCATTAATACGAAGGTCGACAAAGAAAGCAGTTTATTTGTAATGAAATTTCTCCAATAAAACCCCACAAACATTCCACATACAAGTAAAGTTTCAATGTCCCTTGTTCACACGAAACATAGTCTCTAGAAACACCATGTTGTAAAAACTAATTGCTTGATTACATTTTAAATCGTTGCTTACACAAGAGAGTTTAAACAAAATGCAAAACTTAATGAGCTGTATGTAGTAACAATGTTACATCACATTAGATAATTGTCGGGCGTTAAATGTCCACAAATATTTTGCTGACCAGACTTTCTGGAAGAAGTACATGTATATGGAGAAAACGAACGTTATTAAAGTTAAAAAGTCTATCCAAACAATACAAATCAGGAGCAGAGCAAACACGGGTCTCTAAAACATCAGAGGTGGGATCAGGTGTCATGGAGGAGTGAGCATCCCTTGCTAGTCACTAGTCACACCTTGTTTGTACTCATTGTTATGATCAAGAAAAACGGTCGACAACTCAGTGAAAATTAAATAATGAACATCAACCTGTGTGAAAAACATCAGTCAGCATTTCACTCAGGGAAAGGTTGTATTCGCTGACAAGGTCATCGTATCGCCTAGCTGCAGAACTGTAGCTCTCAGAAAAAATATATATTGATAGACTAGAGAGCTACAGTGCCACCCATTGAAAAAACTGTATATCTATTGCGCTCAAAAAAGTGCGCTGTTTCTGGATTAATTGTTCAAAATTCTTACCTCAATTGCAAAAAAAGCTAGATTTCAATAAATTCCTTACTCCTCTATCAATTACTTTTGTAGTTTACATCTGTACGAAGCGCGTTGGACCGAATAATCTTGCAAACCAAAATGGCAGTATAGATAGGCGAAATTTTCGATGATCTCAATTTACGGACCAGGAGGGCTATTAAAAACAATTATAAGGAATGTTTTGTTGTGGAAACAGTGAAAGATTATGTTAGGAACACACGGTTAGTAATATTTTGAAATGACGGTTTTAAATACATAGAGAAATAAATCGAAAAGCAGCGCACTTTTTTGTGCGCAATAAATATACAATTTTTCCATGGGTGGCACTGTAGCTCTCCAGTCTATCAATATATATTTTTCGGAGAGCTACAGTTCTGCAGCTACGTATCGCCGCAAAAAAAATGACTTCAAACTAGACTGTTGATATCCATGTTTCCTCAACTTGTTTGTCAATAGCTTGTCTCGTTTTAGAAATTATCCATACATCCTCGAATCACCCGAGACACTTAAGCCCCATAAACAGGTGATAAGGGTATACATGTATTGCTAAATAACTGAGGGGGATTTTCTTACTATTGAAAAGTTGAAGTTAAGACATTTATCATAAAGCTTGATTGTTTTAAAGTTACCACTATAGTCTTTTTTAACAGACTCTGTGGTATCTTATATTTCGTGCTCAATGGGATATATCGAGTCGACATACGAGTAGAAGTAACTATTGTTGATATGATGATACACTGTACATCGTCGATACCATGTATATCTAAATGTCGAGTTGAAGGCCACGACTTGTGTTTTCTTGTTAAGATGTTTTTGAATAAATTTTGCTTCATAGGACTACAAA